TCGCACGTTCTTGGCAAAACGGCGCATCTCCACACAAGCACGCATGGTGTTACTCAACGCATAGAACAAACACACACTCGCAGGCGCACACACACACACACCATCACCACCGTTTGCCTACACAGCCGCAGTACGGGGTAACCATCAGATGCAAGCAAAGCATTTGAAAGAGAAGCCCTTGGCACATTCATGCCCAAAGCGAGCATGGCAGCGCACTGGGATAGTTAGGCGGATTTTTAGGAGGATATCGGTGGTGGGCTCCGCACCTGACAGCAGGGATGAGAGACGATTCATTTAATGGATGGGAGATGGGATGGGGGTAAGTAAGTACTGTGTTTTATAAAGTTTAGTCCTATGCATCGGATTATTGGCACCTCTTGTTGCGTCACAGGTCCGAGAAGTTTCTTGACGGTGACGACTTCATCGGTGACGGCCGTAGCTGGGTCGAAGATGTCGTTGTTTTTAACAGAGATGACATTTGCTTTGAGTTTTGTTTCTTTGGTCGTTGTGCCGACGTCGAAGTCGGGGGAAGGTAGGATGGGTTGACCCCGCAGTTCGCGGTCGTCTGTTGCGATGAAGCGGATTAATCGGTCCCAGTTTGGTGGCATTTTGCTTTGTGGAACGATCAATTGTATTGAACCTCAAGGTGTAGAGTCATGCGTATGTTTATTTGTAGATTTTAAAATCTGGATATCCTGGGTATATGTTCTCCCGGAACGGCTCAAGGCAATGTGGAAACCATGTGGGGAAGTTGCGGGATTGACAGAAGGTTAGTGCGGGGCATCCTTTCGCAGTTGTGTTGACGCGGTATCCTAGTCGACACCGGGGCTTGTATTAAAGCCGATGTAAGACGAAAATGTATACGTTGGAATATTTGTTTCTAAGTCGTTACTCCAGCTCATTGCCTACAAGTCTCTGTCGCTCTTCTTCATCCTCCTCCTTGTTCTTCTCAACGTGCCGATATAGCACGTAATGCTGGATCATAAAGATGATATCAAACACGATTGTAATGTTTCCAAGACCGAACTTGACAGGATTGCCCGTTACTCCACCCCAATCATTCTCCAACGCAGAATCAATACACAGCTGTGCTAGGGATAGCCAGCCTCCAGCGAAATCGAGGAGCATGGGGTAGATACTCCAGCCAGCCGTAGACTTGTGCTTATAGTTGACCCAGGCTTGGGGTATATACTTGACTAATACAGTCAGGAGTTTGACGTAGCCGAGGGTATTAATCTGTCATCGTGTCAGTAAGCAGTATTGGATGTTGGGGCAAATGAGTACGGACAACATCAATCCAGGCCCAACTGTAGACGTCAAAGTCATCGACAGATCCGTCCCTCAACACAAGCAGCATCACAAACACAATAGCAAACACACATGCCCACCAGATGAACAGCACAGGCCGGCTGACTCTCTGACTCTTCCCCACGTCGAACCCCCATATGCGTTCGAAAAACTGACTGTATATAATCACACACATGACTGCGCCATGTGCCGCAAAGAGAAAGTCATTGAAGCGCACTGTCGTCTCAGGCGCATTCAGGTGGCGGTATGCGTATTGTGATTTTATTGTAGGCGAATAGAGGAAGGAAGCGGTAGAAACTGTATAGCATGCGAAGCCTAGCACATTCAGGGTAGGAAAATCAATTGCGAGACCGAGGGTGGATTTGCGAAAGTAATTCGATATAGGTTGCGGGTAGAAAGATAAGCTCCTGGAAAGGGGGTCAGTATGCGATTTGGATGTGATGAGACAGGTATCATACGTACCAGGCAAGGACATAGGCCCAGCCCAGCACGCGCGATATGGCGCGCGCAAAGGGCTCAAGATCCGGGGTCATTTTGAAGTTTGTGGAAGAGTCTGGGGTTGAGGTATGTACATGTGCGGATGCTTATCGTGACATGAGGCTTGCGACGTGTCAGAATGAGGTAAAGCCGAACGATGGGAAGCTAAATGACAGACAAAGCGTTTACGAGAAGGCAAAAAGGGAGGAAATGAGGCTGAGATAATCGTCCATGGCGAGCGAGCGCATGATGCTGCGGCGTGTACTGGACATGTGTGATTGCGCGATAGAGATGCGCGCGGATGACAGGGGGGGTCGGCATTGCTTCATGCCGATGTCTTCGTGTTATCGGCTCTCGGAATACATCTTTAGCGACTTCCCCTTGGGAATACAGCAACAGTGTCTGTTTATCCCTAGTCTGTATCAGCCAGCGCAAATATGTCTCTATTCACGATACACGGTTCCTCATGTCGCTAAGCGCCTGACATGTGTTGTAAGTAATTCCGCGGGAACTGCTCTACTTGCGTCATCCGTCCCAACAAGAACTTCTCTGGAGTCTACTCGTTTACTGGTAGCAGCCCAGAGTTCTGTATCGGTCTAGAAAACGGCTGTACTACACGCTCGTTCTTCGCGTCCATGGTATCACGAGGTGGAGTGTATACCGACGACGAAGCTAACAATCTACTTTGCTTATCGGTATACAGTAGGTCATGTAGAAGTTTGTCGTTGCTGATGTTGGGCAGTAACACTCGCGGCCAGTGATGAGAAGGCACATAGGGGGATGAAGCGGTCCTACCCTCACATGGACACGTGATGCGCGATCATCGGCCTCTTAAGGAGGAGGCCTAGGGTGGGTCTCGTGCCACGATAGACGTCAGCGCTCGGAACGCTTCGCGGAACGGCGCATGTGGCCGTGGCCATGCAAACCTGACCCCTAAGCAACATGCCGGTGTCTGATGCAGTCACTTGACATTTCATCTCGAATGATAACCTACGGATGACTAGATCTGGCTAGAGAGGGCTGGGTAGCAGCGGTCGAGGGCGGTGCTGGCGGGTCTCAGTGGCGGGCGAATCGAGAGTGTCTCGGGCTCAGCATGCTACCTGCATAAGCTGTGGATGCCCCTCAGTACCTACGTGACGAGCGACCCAACAACTGCATCTTACGACGACCTGCATACATCTCAACACTTGTAGCTTCCTCATAGCTGCAAGTGAACTACATCTGCTGTCTGAACTCGTCTTCGTCTGCATTGACTACTGGCGGGCTATCTGATACAAGCCTACAAGGTGCCGCGTGAAGCTCCCGCCCCCGCGGCTTAGACCATCCCATCCACGAGCCTCCCGCCGGTACCGAGAGAGGGATAGATAGGGCAAGATAACGCGCCGAGTCAGGAACAAGGCATCCTTATACATCCAGCACAAGTGTCTTGCTGTGCAGGCACGACATTACACGCTCCACGAGCCGCCGTGACGACGGCGTATGACGCATCGGCCTTTGTTTAGCATTCATCCCGTCTCGACTCACCCTGCTCGCCCTCTTGTCCGTCGCTACCACCATAACCCACTCTTGCAAGTAGACGCATACCAGCCTCCTTTCCACTATCCGCAGGTTGAATGACCTCATCGCCCGAACACGTTGACCAGTACACGGCGCCCGTTTCCAACCTCACGTACCTCCACAAGCAGCAGTCCAAGAGCCACAAGGTGCACGACACGCCTCAACCGCGCGGTCGCAACACGACGAGATATGAGCTGGGAAGAAGAAATAGGGGAGGTGAGAAGGCTACGCGCATTTACCCCAACATGTATGTCGTGCCCCCTTCACCCCTGTGCCTGCCCATCTTCCATGTGTCCTAGGGAGGCTGACCGGTTGGCACGGAAGGCGTCATGGAAGTGACTCCTGTTTGCTCGGAACAGAACTGACTGTCACAGAACAAAGTCGCCGTCGGCAAAGCGCCTCTCGTCCACGTCCCCACCCACAAACTACAATGCGACCACGTCCCCATTGCTATCGGCTATCGGCGCCTCACGAACCCCCGCCGCACAGTACACAAACGAGTGGGCCAAATCTGTCCCATTCTTTCCAAACTCTGGTTCACCAGGTAATGGTGGTATAGCCATCGCTGGCTCTCCGCCCACCTTCCAGAACTCGCCCAGTGCGCGAGAGGGACTGTACGCACACCAAGCCATGTCCAACTCTCCGCCTACTGCCCGTCCCCTCAGTCACCCCAATCAGTACACCACGTTTGGCGGCCGCATGCAGAACTCGCCGGGCAGAGACCGCCGGGCGTCCATCTACTCGCAGGGTGGCCGCCCCACTTCACAACAGTTCGCTGCGAACCCGCCCCTGCCGCATCAGGCGCAGCCCCACTACTACGGCTTGCCGAACCTCGACTTCCTCAATACTGCCCCAAACAAGGGCGGTATGCAACCAGGAGAGGGAGGTCACTTCTGTGGCTTCGACACCTTGTCCATGGCAGGAGACGAGGCGGCTCGGACGTCGGAGAACGTACTCGTTGTCGGTTCACAGGGTGGTCTTGATGTCTTCCGTGTTGAAAAGAGCAAGATGGACCTCGTGGGAAGACTGGAAGGTCTTCGTGGTGCCGTCATAGGCGCCAAGATCTTGCCCTGGACTTCGCGCATGGACCCGTCGGCTCCTTCCCGTCCGCTAGTTGCGCTTGTCCTACATGGTCCGGTTGTCAAAGATAGTAGGAGCAGCAGTGGAAGCGGCGCGTCTTCTGCCGCAGATGACTCAGCCTCCGATTCACCCAGCAGGCCATCCTCGCGCCATGGAAACGCTAACGGCCAAATTAGCGGTTACCAGACCACCGTTGAAGTCTACTCCCTCAAGGAGAGGCGGAGAATTGCAGTCTTGTATCGGACTCCGATGACACCGCTCACCAACCCCATCGACAGCCCTCTGTTCCAACCGCCACCTCCTGTAGGCGACTTTGTCGTCGATGCGAAGGGCAAGTTTGTCATTGTTGCATCTGGTACAAGCGGCGAAGTCTTCATATTCGCTCCATACTTACAGGGTCACTTGGACTATGCCGAGAGTTTCCATTGTATCGGCAAGATTTGGACATCTGTACAGAATCGTGAACGGGTAATACAGTCAGGGGGCTCGAGCGCTGCGGATGGTAGTCAGGATGAGATACCTCCTGAGAAATATGGACTGCCTGTTTTCTCGCTTTCTGATCGCTGGTTGGCAGTGACGCCACCGGCATCGAGCGCATTGTATCCTGTGAATGGTGTGGCTCTGACATCGCCTTACTATGAGCGCGCCCCTGGTCTTGCGCATCACAGTGTACCACCTCAGCCATCGCCTAATTGTGCCGTTGATGCACCCAACGAAGCAGGCCTCATCGACAGACTCACCCGAGAAGGTACTCAAGTCGCAATCAAGAGTGCCCGCTGGGCCACCGAGAAGGGAATGCAGGCATTCAAGAGCTACATGAACAAGGGGCAGCAAGGACAGCAGACATATACTCAGGATCCCATGCAACACTACTTTCCACCCACACATGGCCACGATCAGACACAGCCTCGACAAGAATCGACTGTAATCTCCGTCTACGACTTGCAGAAGCTGCTAGATGCGGAAGAAACGAGGAGCAAGAATTCGCTGCAACCCATTGCCACAATCCCAGCTGCCTTGGGATGTAGCTTTCTGTCATTCGCTCCCAGCGGACTGATGCTCATGTCGGTCAGCAAGAAGGGCGACTATCAAGATATCTGGGACCTCAAGCGCATGACGTTTCGACGAGCCCGTAAGACGGCACGCGAACAACCTACTGGACCTCATGTTCGACAAGTTGCTCGCTTTACTCGCATGACTGTTGCGAATGTTATAGACGTTGTCTGGTCTGCTCCTAGAGCCGACAAACTGGCGGTCATTACCGACAAAGGCACTGTACATATGTTCCCCATGCCAGCGTCGGCGTTCCAATGGCCACCGCCTCGACGAATCCGCCCATCCGCACCTCCACCTCCACCCAAGGAGAATATTGCTCCTGCAGGCGCTACTGGTGCCGTCAGTTCAGCCATGCAAGCCATCAGTAGTGCGAAGCCTTGGTTTGACGCCGTTCGAACCAGGGGTAACAACAGAGGTCCTCGGTTCAGTCTGAGCAGTCTTGGTGTTACTCCTGCTGCTGGCGCAAAATCCGGCAAAGCCGTAGCTGCTGGCGTTGGAAAATCTATCAGCAACATCCGACATGCCGGTGACAACAAGATGACGCTTCCACCATCACCTAGTGGCATCAAGCCATACAGTGTACGCTGGATGTCTGGCAGAGGCCGCGGCTCGATTGCACTCGTCTCTGGCGGTGTCCTCCAAATCTGGCGCATACAAATGCGACCTCCCACAGGCAAAGGCAAATCCTCAAACACAGCATCAATCACCAAGAAAAAGCTGGTCGAGTTTGTCCTCGCCCCCATTTCAGACGCAGGCCTCCCCCCTTCTGTCGCTGAACAGCTCTACCCCCAACCCGGCGATCCAGAGCAAACCCTCGACTGCTACGGCGACTGGTTCCCGCGAAGCCTGTCTTCCCGCAAGCCCATCGGCCCAACCCTTGCACCCCTCAGCTTCTCAGAAATTGAAACAAACCCCCCTTACCAACCCTTCTACACCGACAAACGCGTCACCCGCTTCATCTACTCGAGACACATGCCAGAAGCTCACAGTACCAGCGCCAGCGAGTACCTCCCCCCACCCACAATCCCCGAACTAGTCTCTAGTCTCCACCACGAAGACACCTCACCCTGGCTCTTTGGCGAAATTATCGAAGCTACACGTATCTCGTCGCCCACTACGCAAGCTTACGACTCTGGGGGTGAAGAAGATTTCGGTGGTGTCGCGGCGCGCATTGAGAACAAACTCGTGTTGAGAGATGGCGAGGAGGAGGTCGAACAGGTTGTTGTTACCACGAGGAGGCGACGCGTCAAGCATGACGGTGAGGAAGAAGGGTTTTTTGAAGATGATTGTGAGGTGCTTGATTTTGCCGAGGATAGGGTGTAGAGTTGGGTTGGAATACCGTTCTGATGTGGGGTGGATTGGTTAGTTACCATTCCCATTCCTGGTTACATTCGCGCCCTTCTACTCATATCGACTCGGCGAAGAAACATCGCCAGTGGTTTTAATCGCTGAGGACTCATACATTGTTTCCTTATTTGCTTGCATGCATGGATGGATGGCGTGCGGGTATGGCGTAACATGGACTGGGCGCTGAGCCTTTACTTAGAAATTCTCTCTTCACTCTCTATCTCTCTCGTTTGTCTCATAAGCATAACCGCAACTCTCTCAGAGAGGACATCGCTCGCCCTCCCTGGCTTGCAAGGAATAAATGGGTAGTAAAGAATGGAATTCATACCCTTGTAGACATGTGCGCGGAATTGTGTAGTTGAGTGTCGTGGAAGTGAAAGTCAAAGGGTTGATTTAACTTATTTCGGTGTTATATGACAGTGCAAACAAAGCCTGGAGTACCTGGGCCTTGGTGGAAGGAACCAGGGGATAAGGGGGGTATCTTTTTCATTTCCAGCCCATGAGGCTAATCTTCGTAAATGGTGATGGCCGTTATATGAGAGAGTTTAGTGTATACATCGCCATGTTCCCTAAACACAACTCCACCATCATCCACCTCCACGACACATGCCACACCTAATCCCTCAAAAACATCCTATAACTCTCATTCTCCGTAACATCCATATACGGATACCCAATCTCCTTCAAAAACTGCTTCAACATGCCCCTCTCCTCCTCTTTACACTGAATGCCCGCCAGAATCTTCGCGACATCGCCGCCGTAATTGCGGTAATGGAATAGACTGATATTCATGCCACCTGGCTGAAGCGTATTTAGAAATTTATACAGTGCACCACCGCGCTCTGGAAATTCGAACATGAACATTTGCTCATCAGCGGCATTGCTGCGGCCACCGACGAGATAGCGAATGTGCGATTTAACCAATTCATCGTGCGAGAGGTCTTTGGCGTGCATGCCTGCGATGGCGAGACGCGCGATGAGGTCTTCGATGTCGGCTTCGCGGGAGGAGGGTTTTACCTGGACGCCTACGAGGATATGGGCAGAATGCGGGGAGCTGTAGCGGTATGAGAATTCCGAGACGGGCATGGGATGTATGATATCGACGAGTGCGGCGAAAGAGCCGGGGGTTTCTGGTATACGGACGGAGAGGATGGCTTCTTTGTTTTCACCAATAGAGGCGCGTTCGGCGACGAAGCGGAGGCGGTTGAAGTTCATGTTTGCGCCTGATGCTATGGCGATGAGACCGCGTGTGCGATCTGGACACGGGTTTCTCTGAACCCATTTTTTCAGGCCGGCAAGGGCAAGGGCACCGGCTGGTTCGACGATGGAGCGTGTGTCTTCGAACATGTCTTTTATGGCTGCGCAGGTCTCGTCGGTTGTGACTTGGACGACTTCGTCGACGACTTCTTGACAGATGCGGAAGGTTTCTTCGCCGACTGTTTTTACGGCGGCGCCGTCGGCGAAGAGACCAACGTCGTTTAGGAAGACGCGTTTGCCTGCTTTGAGGGATTCTACCATGGCGTTTGCGTCGTATTGTTCTACCCCAATTATCTTCACGTGCGGCGCGATGCGTTTGATGTAGACGCCTGTTCCAGCGATTAGACCGCCGCCGCCGACGCAGCAGAAGACGGCTTTTAGGTCTTGGAGGTTGGTTTGGCGGAGAAGTTCCATGCCGACAGTTCCTTGGCCGGCGATTACATAGGGGTCGTCGAAGGGTGGTATGGACACCAGACCGTGGAGTTTCTCCAACCGCGCAGCTTCGGCTTTTGCCTCGTCAAAGTCTGCGCCGTGGAGAATAACCGATCCACCTAGTCTGGACACGTTCTTGTGTTTGATGTCTGGGGTTCCTGATGGCATGACGATGGTAGCGGGTATCTTCAACTTCCGCGCTGAATATGCAACTCCTTGCGCGTGGTTGCCTGCACTACATGCCACTACGCCACGCCACCGGTCTTTGGGTTCAAGATGCGCCATTTTGTTGTATGCACCGCGCAGCTTGAAACTAAACACCGGTTGCAGGTCCTCTCTCTTGAGTAGTACATTACATTCTAACCGATTACTCAGGTTCGTTGCATGTGTCAATGGCGTCTCTTTCACTACTTCGTACACGCGCGATGTCAAGATCAGGCGCAGGTAGTCTGGGTACCCATTCGGTAAAAGGAATGCGTCGGGGATGAGGTGGTGCGGTGCTTTGGGGGATGACGACTCAGAGCGTGGACTGGGGTTTGCCGTGTATTCGGTGAGTGCGAGACTGGATTTGGGGGTACGGGGCGAGGCGAGGCCATTGGGGTTGTACGAGTCGGGCGTCGTGGGCCGTGAGTAGTCTGCTATATTTGCCATCGTGTGTTGTAAGGAAGGAATTGGAAATGTGCGTGTTGGTGAAAGCGGTCATTAAGCCAAGTTATTTTTTTGGAAAGTAAGATAGCTCCGGCTTCGGCCTGCGTCGGAGGCTGGGGGGTGCAGCAGGGGTTCGGAGTAGCGCGTTGTCGGGAGCTTGTGGTGGGGTAACTTGCTGTCTTCATCACTTCCGACTTCTCAACCAACATCATCTCATCTCAGTCCAGATTCGCTCATCTGCAAGCATGACAGCGTCGGCACATGTCGTCGCGCGGCATATTCATTCTCGTTATCTCATCCTGTCTCTGTCTCTGCACTTCCTACTAGTCAAAATGCGCCTGTTGTGATACCCAGTTTGTCATCGTTCATGCAATGCTGCAGCTTTCCCTCTTCGCTTTTTCCTGATAATCAAACACCCTTGAACGCCATCCCACAGTCGTCGCGAGTCGCGATAGCAATCACGCCACAATCCTGCCAGCTAAAAAAAGAAATCGACAAGATTAGGTCTCTCTAGACTACCCGCTTTCAAGGCTTGGCTATCCGGAGTCTGTTTCCTCGTGACCGGCGTTGATGACCTCAACAGTAGGCGCAGACATGCGGCGGATTCCTCGTGGAAGGCTGCAGTAGGTGGGTTGTCGGGGAGGCTCTGGGCGGCCAGACTGCGCCACATCATTGGTTGCGATCTCAATGTACGCGTGAGTTGGCTCTCTGTATGAAGTGCAAGAGAGAAGGCGGAGGGTGCTGCGGATGACGTTGATGATGCTCTCCCGCTCATCGGTTGAGCTGCCCATAGACGACATGTTGAGTTGAGAGTTTGTGGGGTGTATTGTGGGGATGGAGATGTTTGTGACTTGTAGTTGCGGGCTGTTGCTGTTGTCGGCGGGCAGGCTGGTGTTTGTGGCTCTAGCGCGAAAGGGGTCGAAGGTTTGGTGGTGGTGATTCGGTTCCCAACTTCAAAGTCCAAATTCGCATTCTGCGATACCTGTGCACCACATTGTTTGTTTCATTCTCCTAATTCAACCACTCGCTCGTTGAGGTTCCCCCTTTCAATTCCTTCTTCTTCTATGATGTGGTAGGTACGTAGTCGAGGAGTTGTGGATTTGTCGCGGCATTTGACCAAATTCGTCTACCCTTGCTGCGCTAGATCGGATAGTGGATTACCGACTTTCATGCGCGCTCGGGCGGGCAAGACATCCCCAACAACTGATACTAAGGGACTCTCAACGCCCCTCGTAGTTTGTTCTTCGCATAGATCATGTCGCCATCTCTCTTCGCGCCTAGAGGCCTCGTCCACGTCCCCTGCCAGCGCCTCCTCTTCTGCGACCACCACCACCGCGACCTCGGCCACCTCTACGGCCTCTACCTCTGACTGCCAGCTGCGGTACTGGTGCGGAACATGGACTCCTTCTTGGTAATACCCTTCCTGGTGGCCTTGTTCTGAAAGTCGTTCTAAGCAGACATTCTCTTCTTGAGCGTACCCTTGTTAGGGACTCGACTATTCGCATAGATCATGTTACCTTCTTCCTAACTTCTCTCTGCTCCTCTTCCGCGACCACTGCTACCATGTTCTCGGCCACCTCTACGGCCTCTATCTCGACTGCTAGCTACTGTACTGGTACGGAACATAGACTCCTTTTTGGCGATACCCTTCTTGGTGGCCTTGCTCTGAAAGTCGTTCCAAGCAGACATTCACTTCTTCAGCGTACCCTTGTTGGGGACTCGGCTACCTTTCTTTGGTTCTCCATCATCAGCGGTCAGTGCCTAGATGCGTCATCAATGAGAATTGTATCGAATAAAAATGAGCAAGCCAAAGCTGGATTTCGAGTCGGGAGCTTAGATATCGCTGGCATCTCTGTCTTGCCAACCGCCCAGAGTCATGCACATCCGACCGTTGTTGCACCGAGCTTTACCAATATACATGGTCTTTTTATTGGAGTCCGAGTCACCCTGGCACCTTGATACCACAGTGGGGGTTGAGCGAAGCAATCCGCCTATCAAGGCTGGGCCTGGACATTCATTTCCTACGACATGACCCCCGGGAGTCACCAATGTGCGTTCCACAAAGACCAGCACAACCGGACAGAGTCTTCCCTTGTGTCGCCCCTCGAAGCATGTGTCCTGGTTTCGAAACTGGTATGGTTACTGACTATGCAGCCTCCGCATTGAACATCGATGCGTGCTGTACACCCTCCGTTGTCTGTGCGTAGATTGGGAACTTTTTGTAGTCGACCAACATGACCGGCTACTTCGTTGTATCCGCCTTGCTCGCACCAGCACTACTATTATGAGAACACGGTGCTGTCCTGGAGCACCAAGGACCGTGCTTTCCTCGCATGAAGATAGTACCCGATGCTGATGTTCTAGGCCTCTCAATCGATGATGCTGCTTCCATATGCCGTGCGGTCTTGATGGGGCTGCCAGCAATCATGGTCGCTTCACTTGCTTGAACAGTGTAGTCGCCCATAGACACTCTGATTCGAGATGTGAACATCCAATGCGGCATTATACGTAAGGATGAGGATTGCCGAAGTCTAAAGTTTGACACGGAGTCTTGGTTCTCAGTACGGATCAGTTTAGATGAAGCTGTTCCCTTCAAACTCAGATGCCAATTGCACCCATCTTGGGATATATGAATCTCCTCCATTGAGGCCTCGGGGAATTGGAACCAGGTTGTGTTCCGGTTTCTTTCCTGCAGTGTCGACAATGGTTTGGACACGATGACGGTGTTGAAGAGACGACAATGACCTGAAACCCGTTTGACATTAAGAGAAGACAGATACGTCAGGAAAGAGGTGGGAGATAACCTGCCCATGCCGGTACTGGTGCATTGGAAGGCAACGAGATCGAGTGTTCCGGAGCCGCGAGTTGATGCCACGCTGTCGAGGGGCCTACGACAAGTGAAACACCGAGCTCCATTTGTGACTCTGCACCGTCGCCGTAGACGGTAGCAGCGACTCCTTGGTGAGTCGCACAAGGGAGAAAGGGATATCTGCGGCTGGGGTTGATAAACCAAGCTCTTGCGGTACCACATCGCCTTCGGTTTGTTTGCGAGCCTAATGGTGGGCTTCATAGAAATCTCCCCTCACGAACATCTTCTTGTAGCCTTGGTGTCTCACTATTCCTTCTTTTCTATACTGTTGAAGACGGGGAACAGCTCGGAAACCCGTTCTTTGACCTCTGAAAAGAGAGAGGGTTGAGTTGGTAATATCAGCAAGGCTGGAACCATCACCTGTGTGGCTGGAACCCAAGGGTAGGTTCCTGCATCCTTTATAGAGGCAGTCTACAGTCGCCGTCAGTGTGTGCCTGGCGTTGAAATCTTCCTCACAAACTACAGAACATCCTTTGGGCTCATTGTCTTCATCAGCAGACTTGGGAATCGGTCGTACACTTCTTGGACTTCGCGTTGGCCGTCTTCGGTTCACTTCCAGATGAGGAAGGCATCGTCGAGGTCCTTCTCTTTCTCCAGCCGCTTCTGGTATGTTATGGCCTTTCCGCCAAACCTCCAGATAATTTCTTCCTTGCCGTCTGTATGATCTTTTGTATCCGGCTGTATGATCCAACGAGGAGGCGGATTGTGACGAGAGCTCTTCCAAGCTTTTTCAACTCTTGCATCTTCAAGGAGGATGGCGGAAGCGCCGCTTTATGGCGACTGTTATTAGCACAGCTGCCACCATACATCAAGAGAAGGATACGTACAATGCAGATCGAACCACCTCACGTTGATGTTGAAGGTGGGGTCTTCCACGGCTGTCCGCCCCAGGTACGGACGATGCCGATGGCAGTCGATTGTGTTCGGCGGCGTCCTAGGCTAGCAACGAATTACGAGTATGAAGAACTGAGGTTTTCGGCGCCGTTCAGTAGGCTGAGTGCCTCTGGTGTTGTGGTAGTATGCTGCAGGGGATGTTAGCTGCGACCGAGCACCATCGACAGCTCGACTACGGGGTCTACCGCCGCCAACGTGTAGATGTAAAGAGCACTGAGAAGAGAAGCTGCTCTCATCCAACGCCCGTCACAGCACGGTAAATATTGCTGGTGGTGGTGTTGGCGTAGCGTAGCTGCTGTCGCGAGCTCTCGAGGGTGTCTGCAGAAGGGCAGAAAAACTTACATGAGATCGGTTACAGACGTCTGTTACAAGTCGACTGGCTGTAACCCCTCTGTAATCTAAGAACAATGAGGTTCTCTTGTGGGGAATGTCGTGGGTGAAGGTTCTTGGAGTTTGTGGCCAAAGAGTTTGTGAGAAGGGGCGGGAGACAGACGCTGAAAGTGAACCCCGCCACAGCGGCCAAACAACGCCAGAAGCTGCAGATGAAGCCGAAATCCCTCACGACTTGAGAAAGCAGTATCCTGCTTGAGGCTGTGGGGGTCAGGTTAAGTTTGTGATTACACAGCAGTGGCTTCTTGCTGTAAACATCTTTTCCTAGACCAGGCGGGTAAGCAGCATGCTCGGTGCATATTTTTGCTTAAGAGGTACTCGGAATGCATTGGCTATTGCCAGAAGACGATGTACATGTATCTAGCAACCTCCACAGGGCTGCGAGAGGCAGAATCAGATCTGCGATCCCATGGCAGCACAAGCGACATTCTCCCAGCCTACGCGAAAAGGCACACTCAGCGCAGATGCATGTTCAGGCTATCCTCAGCGTGTATCTAGCACCCCCACAGTCCACCGCATGATCTGCAGTATCTCCCACATAGGCCCCAGCCCATCAGAGTATCGTGCGCGTTACCATAGTTTGCTCGCAGATCACTGCAGCGAGTGCAAGTGCAGTCAGCTCCTATATGGCAGCAAACATGTCATGGTTTTCAGAGCATACAATTGTGGCATCAAATATTATGTAACAAGGCCAGGACACAGCTTTTCATACAGCACATTTCCCGTAGGCAGGGGCGTAGGGCTAAGCATTTTACTGGCCTTGGAATTGTCTTGGCTCTATGAGCGATGAAATATACTACCGATCTCTACTGTCACTTTGTTATCTCATGCTGCGCTAGTTTGGTTCGACGACAGTGTTAGGGCATGAGGCCTTGAGCCTCATGGGCGCCGTGAGAGTGGGGCCACGTTTGGGCATTGCAGAACGAACAGGTGAACTACACAACGAGATCATGTTGCTCCAAGAGCAGAGATTGTCTTTGATTTCAGGTTTGGAGATGCTCGACAGGACTGCATCGGCGGAGACGACGATATCACCAACGGGCGCAATGCACGACGGGTTCACATAATGATGCGCTTCATTCAGATATTACAAGTAATGGCATCCAAGCTCAGGAGCTCTTTTGCCACTACACCCCGCTGCCATCGAAAAACGACATCCGCTGCGACGTATTATGGCGGCCAAGCACCCTACAGACTTCAGCCTTGATGGTAATAGACCGTAACTACTACAAGCATTGATTAACTGTGTTATCCTGATTATCACTACAAAGGCAAGCTTGATTACAGCACTTTTCTGGGTGAGAGCAGTTACACGGTCCATGTTGCAGTACAATGCAGTCAATTAAAGTGTAACCGCGCGAGGCAGTCATCAGAGTATATTCTGTTCTGTTGTTGTTGTGCTGTCATGGCCACCTTATATGTAGCCATAATCAGGGTCTATTTATATGACGTATCTCTGATGCTGGTGAGGGGAGAAGGTGCTCATGGAGGGGAGGGAGGAGCGCCAGGACAACGCACGTGACATGCGCAATACCCTTGCCTCACAAACCGCAACAGTCCACCTTGAGGAGCGCATGTTGTAACCGTTGCTATCAAAATTTTGTGCTGGTCTGTGTTGTAACCTAGATGGATGAGGCATCAGCGCGTGACACAGAAAACAACAGGAAGCCAGTTAAACATACCGGTGTTGGTGCCGTAATTGTTAGGGTAATTGTCTTAAATGGCGAGATCTTAAGACAGGCGCATGCGGAAGAGATTTCTGCTACCGCAAACTTGTCTAAACCTTTTGGAATTGTTCGAGCCTTGAGGTAATGAACTGGGGCAGCCATGGGGGTGATATCAGAACGTTTGGGGAAATTGGCGTTTCCGAAGACGGTCGTGGTGGTAACAATGGTTACGATGACGTCCATGGTACTGTACGAATACTCATTAGCTTACTGATCACCGGCCTTTCTTAGTCAACAGCTCTTACCTTGGTCCTGGGGTAACAGTAGCTGGAACCGTTGTCGTTCAGGGAACACGTAGGTACGACTTGCAAAAAGAAGACGCTGGTGCTCCTAGTCCTTTGAGTAGTCCCAAGGCCCCCTTGACAACATCGCAGTCTACCTTCACATCACCACGCGGTGAAAGCAAACCATCTGTAGCAGAGGCTGAACAAGAGGCAGGCGGTATTTGAGGTGAGCAGCTTACGTCCATGGTTGCGGCGGCCACCGAGAGGAGCGAGAACAGAGATGTCTTGAACAGCATGATGATGAAGAATTGACCTTTTCGTTTTGAGTACAGACTGGAATGCAAGTTCAGGCCATATATATATATATACATCACAGGAGTCAATGGCTTTCTAAAATTGACTGAGTCCTGAGTTTTGTGGCGCTGTTGGAGACAGCTGAGAACGAGGCTGGACTTGGGGATATTCACGACCATCGCAGTTGTCAGAGCAATAAACTAGGATGATTCTAGTCGCCATTCGCCGGGTCAGGTACGAATCTCTTAAAATCGTTGGCATTGTTAGTTCCAGACCCCGACCCGAAGCACTTCTTGAGAATAGCGTGTAGTTTCGCGTCGGCATTAATGGGTAACGTATCGTGGCTGTACCCCTTCTGGAAAGTCCGTTACCGCTTCTTACTAACGATAGGTATAGCTATAGCCTCTACGCTTCTCTACAAGTAGGTAATAGCTACTAAGAGCAGGGAATTTGACATGTTGCACTTTCTGGAAAGCTCTCTCATTGTCTAGAATCTGTTGGAAGCTGCGTTATATATTGAAATTCTACGAATATTAGTAGATTGTTGGTAGGCCTTGTACGATCGTACGGGTGAATAACAACAACGAGGTTCTTCTAGTGACTGGTATTGGTATTGATTATCTACGAACGTAGGTGCTACGAAGGTACACCTAAGCTCAGCGCAAGTTGGACCGAAGTCGGGCCGAAGTGTCAAGCAGCCGACGTCTCTACCGATACTCACGATCCGACATAGATATTAGTATTCCATGTTTGCTAAGCGTGCCTTTCCTGTGGAGTCGTGCCTGTACACGCTGTCATGCATGATCGACGCTGCTAGCGTAAACCTTAACGCCCCGTGATTGCTTTAAATTACTCCCGAGGTCCTTCCAACCTTAAGGTCACTAGCAGGCACGGCTCGGTACGAAAAGGATCTTGCGAAAATCTATGGACAGTCTCGAACGGCCATGATCTTTGCTCAGAGAAGTGCAATCTCCGTATTCCACTCGCATTATCTCGAACATGTGGAGTAGTTCTTAAGATGCCCCCTTAACGTGCCCACCCAGAGTTTTCTCGATCAATATCCTGTGTCCACTGTATATAAAGTAGTATTGGTCAACATCGCGAATTGAAGCTTCAGTACTTCCCAGGTACCAAGCATGTCATCAAAATCAACCTCTAGCGATCAGTACACGATATAATCAGAACCTCCCCGGCTTTGAATTTACGAATTAGTAAAAATAAGAGCCATATAATGTAGAATCACTGCCTTTAAATATAACAATCCCAGTAGATTAGGGACTACTTGAGTGAAATGAGAATAGCCTACCAAGGAAAGGTACATCATAGACTAAGTGGCGGAGGATCTCGAAAAGTGCAATTCGTAGAAGAGTGCAAACAGCCTAGGAGCTACGATTTTCGCCCCCATCTAAGCTAAGCTGATCTGCCAGTGTGAAGGGCCCGCAAAAATGAGTAAAAGCTGTTCGACATTGCGGGATCACACAACCTCAAGTATGTGGACCTTTACCCGCACCAACATCTCGTATTGCTCAGTGCCTTACCTTAGACAAAAATAAAATGGAAGCTGAATAATTACATCATTATTGCCCGGCATTTACAAGAGGAGGCACTATCGGAAGCATCTTGCGCTTGCGCAATTGCAGTTGTCAATTTCATTACATCACGGATAAAACTGCGCTCGTGGTAAGTCGCGACCTCGCTGTAAGTTGAGTCTAATACTGACAAGCTACCTGATCCAAGGCCCCCCAAACGATACTAAAGCTTACTTTGAGCGTCGGCGACGGTCACTTTCGGTCTCTAAAGTCTTATTTCGAATTACAGCGACCCTCAGGTGAGTCGCGGTCACCCACGTACGTTGTTGGTCGAGCGATAAACTAACGAATTGAGTAGCGAAGATCCCCGGAGACACGGAGATAGTCACAGTCGTCCAGTGCTAAGCTATTACACGACGCAGACTCACCTGAGGTGAGTTATCGTCATCCAGCCGGGTGAACACAGAATTGACGACCGGATTATTCAAAGGTTCTCCAACAATGACGGGACATCGTCATGAATCTTTGCGCTAATTGCCGCCTGGGGACAGACAAACCATAATTGATCATCAGCTTCAGCGGGGCTTTACAGCCAAAGAAGTCGAAGAACATTTTCCTGGCGCACCGGTGGATGGCCAACTCCAAAAGGAAGTCCTGAGGCCAGGGTCTACACTAGGCACTGACTTACACGAGTTGCTCCATGTACAGCTAGGCATGCCCAACTTCATCAGCGACTTTGAAGCGAGCGAAATTATTGCGATCGTACTCTTGATGGGTAGGTCCCGAAAAGCAACGGAGGATCAGATTCTCGGCCGAGCTCGCAACCTACCCTACTTCCATCGTTGTCTTGAAACCGGATCTGATTTCGAAAGGCAAACCATCAGCCACTTGATTTTGTGCATTTCTAGGCAATTAAAATCAGATAAGTCAAAATTTAACGCAAATTTCCCACATGAGCAGCACTTCGAGCTTCGAGTGGAGCCAAGTCTTGGCGCCCAGAGGACTGACAACTCCCTCCTGCCTGCTTGGAAGGCTAAGGCTGGCGCTGAGATGGCAGAAGAAGAGGGTGAAAACGAAGATTATGAGAAGTTCTTCGATCCGGAACACCACGATAATACCGATGACCTTGAAAAACACTACGACGAAAGGAAAGTGTTTAAGACGCGAGGAACTGGCCCGTGGTAGAGTGTCCATGTCATCGAACACCAACTTTTCGAGATGACAAAAAGGTCCTGGATTACCCTTTTTTCATCTCAATTCCATTGAAATGCCTTCCTAGAATCAGTTTCCAACGTCTGCTTTTGCGTGCAGGCGTTGTGGCGGGCGCGCTGGCCGCTGCAACTTTGACAGAGTTGTTACCTGGCCTTAGTTGAGAGAAATCTCTGCAAATGGCCCGTGCGCCAACTGATTTTAGATGTTCGATCGAAGGCACCCTCTACGAAACCGACAGAGCAACGGCTCTTCCTTAGGTATATATCTCTATTGCTGCAAAGTAATAGGCCTATATATCTAGATGCTACCTATACCCGAACGCCCTAAACCAACTCGATATACCGACCCCATATACCGAACCGCTCCAGCACCTGCTGTCACCAGCACACTCACGAGCAAAACACCGACCAGGCACTAGATGTATAGATCTATTCTCTCTCTTGTAGATCCCTATATACAGACGCCTACACCAAATACCCTCTCTACCGAACGCCCTAAACCGACTCGATATACCGACCCCATATACCGAACCGCTCCAGCACCTGCTTTCACTAGCACACGCACGAGCAAAACATCGACCAGGCAATAGCTGTATAGATCTATTCTCTCTCTTGTAGATCCCTATATACAGACGCCTACACAAAACAACAGACAGACACTGTATAAAACTACAAACAATATTTCTTTTCGCAAAGAGCTCGCTGTTACATCTCTTTCTGTTCACCACACTGCTCTTTAGCACCCGCGCCAATGGAAGACTAGCTCGGAAATTGGACTACGCAACTATCCTCCAAATTGTACAAGACCTATAGAAACTCCATATTGAACAACATACATAGAACGGCTTAGCCAAAGTCCTACATAGTCACCGACTGATACAGGACTCTAATGGAAATATAATAATAATAATAATAATAGAGTGTCCATGTTCTACCACCAGGCACCGAAAACGCCATCCTTGCTCGTCACTACAAGGTTGATTTCTTTAGTAGGCTACCACTAGAGATCAAGGAGAAGATATTTCGCCTTGTTTTGGTATTTCCTGGAAAACTTCAAATCAACTCCGAGGTTCTCCAGGACGAGTATGATGACTGGACTAGTGGTACCACGCAGAGGACTATCACATTCAAGTACACTTTGAGTTTCAAGCAACCCATTTTTATGCATCCTTCATATCAAATATCCCGGGATAAAATTCCCGGCTTGCCGCTCGGTCCCCTTCCAACACTGCTCTCGCCCCTTGGTGTCAACAAAGAGATAAATTCAATCACCAAGCGCCTCTTCTAAGGACACAACTATTTCGAACTCAAAATTCGGTGCACACATAAAGCTAATGACTGTCTGGCACATCCCACATATCGGTTCCTGGAGCTTATAAGTTGGGGATACGCTCGCGATGGTACGAAGCGCTACGGTGAACGTCCATTGGAGTTCATAAACAAACTCAACATCGACTTGTACAGCATCAACTACTCACATTGGCAATTCGATCGCGTGATCAACACCCCCATTACCATTCCACATCTCACAAAACTTGTCATTCACGTAAAGGCGCTAGACCCGTGGAGGTGGACCGGGGTTCCAGGCGCCCCAGATCATGAACTACAATTATTCTCGAACATTCACGACGCATGTTTGCCAATCTGGCGCAAGCTCCCATGGGCAGCATCCAAGGTCAAGATATACACCCCCGGGTACCGAAAGATACAGAAGTGGCTGCAGAACCTCATCAACATGCCTGATAATGAGCAAGCGAAGATCTACAGTGCTACGCATGCGGATTGGAAGACAGACAGATTCTCCTCTGACTTGATCGTTAATGGGGTGCGCAAGGCCGAGTGTCGCTGGAAGAAGGCAGTGCTAGAAGCCAACACCTTCAAAGACAAGGAGGTGAGTGCGAAATCAGACCTCGCTCATGTACAAGAGTCTTAGAGGATCGATACGAGATGGCGATTCGTGGCTCAGCAACAATGAGGAGCGATCTGACTACGAAGACAAGGGGCAGAACTTGAACGACATCAAGGAGACAAATGAGGTCGAGATTGAGGATAATATGTGAGGTAGATTTCTAGGTGTATGGTATGGGTCCAAGGGTGAGCTTGGCAACATTGGAGTAAGGTCATGCATGACTACAGCAAAATGAGTTCTCGGCACAGCTAGATAGATATACGCTGCATATGATATGCTTCGTAGCGGATGACACGCAGAACGAGTCAAATGCAGAAGATCCCATTTATCATCGTATATGCCCAGTTCTTGCGTCAACAAAACCGCCGTATGCAAGGTTCATCACCCGACTAGTTGTCAAGTGGCGGCAAACCCGACGCTTCCGTGCACTAATACCGTGAGTCTACTCGCGACTCGGATCTTCACGTGAAGATTATGTACGGACTTGAAGACTTGGACAAGCGCCTGCTGATGCAGTGTCTTGACAACCCAAGCGAAGTGCCACGTAGCTGCTTGAATTATTTTGCTAAGCAGCAAGCACAGCATACACAACCAACAGGACGGTGAATGCGTGGAGCAATAAGAGTGTGGCCTTTCGCTGGGGTGTACGGACATTCGGAAGTGAAAAATACCCGATGACATCATCGACTAGGGCGACGTATGTCTGTAGGTACGCTGTACGATAGACCGTATGATCCACTGCACAAACCAATAGGTCAATTCCTCGTGTATGCATGAATGCATTGACTAGTACGTACCGAAGAACGATAGCACTGTGCTTCCGAGATCAACGCAACAAGGAACTCGGTGCGTCGCTATCCAGTCCCCTTAGGACGCTCTCCAAGTATACCTAGTTATGTATCAACATCGAAGCTATACAGGTACATAACTCCTAGGTAGGCGATGTCCACATCGTAGCGAACTGTTTCGAAGAGCGCGCCGTGTATGCGACAGTATTTTGCGAGTACAACAGTGCGGTGGGCGTCCTGAGTGCGTGAAGATGGTCTACTCCACAGGGATGGGCTCATGTCGATTCGTGGCGAAGCCAGAAGAAGATGGGCATGTATACCTAGGTAGATATCGCGGTGGGGACGATGAATACCACTATGTGTCCGGCAGTTTTCCAGCGCCAGAGACTGCCGGGGCGGACAATATGTAACTAAAGGGCCGCGGTGATCAGGGGAGCGTAAAAGCCCCGAGTAGTAGTAGTAGTAGTAGTATCCATTAACGTCCTTTTTCAGTCAGAGACTATGTAGGACGGTGGCCTAGGGCCGTTTGACTAGTTTTTTCCCTCTATACCCGTAGGATTTCGTTTCTTTGGTCGAGTTTGACTATGGGGGTTTGGGTTTTTTGCTTCTATACAGGAAAGAGAGAGAGACCTTGTAATAGACACCCGTTTATCTCCACCTTTGTGACCAATCCCTTTGCTATAATAACCCCGTGCTCCTAAGACTGAAAAAAACCTCGTAGGGGAAAAAGTCATGGGACCTTGAACGTTTGTTGTATATAGCGGCAGTTGCGGCATATTTTCGTCTCGGCGGTACTTTGTGGCTCGGTTGTACGGCGGCGGCTAGCGTTAAGCGTGCGGGGTATTGGTGAAAAACTTTCCAGGTTTCGAAAGGAGCCGTTCGATGTTTTTTGGTAAAGCTAGAATAATAGAATTATTATAGCGGTGAGGGGAGAAGGATTCGAACCTTCAACCTCTGCGAGCAAGCTAGCAGAAGCAACCAGGCGCACTACCACTGCGCCATCCCCCCATAAAAAAAAAAAGCCCCGAGTGGATGTATGCGCATCGTGCTGGAATGACTCGATCGGTATTCACACTTGTTCGAGCATCCCGCTCTGAAATATCGTGATTTTTATTGCGTGAGGGCGTTGCACCGTTGCTCGTCGCGAAAAGGCCATCTCAACGCGTGGTGTTGAGGCGTGTTGGGCCTGTCTTCTAAGGTTGGCTTCAGGGAAGCTTCATTGCGCACATACCACCCCACTCAGAAGGTGATTATCTAACAGTATCGTTCGCCTCTGGTCTGGACGTGAACGTCTTATCATCCACGAACTTCGGCCTACGGGCTACCTAGGTATCCTGAATGCCACTGACAATCTTAGAAGCTTATAAGGCTTTTCCTAGATGATGGCTGGAGTAATTTCGCGTTGCGCGTCGACATGTAAGCGCCGCCTTCCTCCTCTTTACATCCGGCATTTGGATGCCACCAATTTCTCGGTATGCGGCGCCAGTCACTTGTGCCAATTCATGCTTTTTCGCAGTCTATAGCACGCGCACATGTTCTCGGTCCCACGAGATTTACCGTTATCTTGACGATGACCGCTGTTAGGACCCGCTGGTGATCATCCATAACTGCCTAGGTATGCGGGATGCTTCAACGAGAAAACAAACGCAATCCGTGCCGCAAGAGCACGCCTGGCGAACTACTCAGCCGTGTGTTTGATCACGATAGCCATATTACGCGATGGCTAAGATGAAAAATCGCGCATCGAAGTGATTCGACGTGGGAGAGCTTGTTTCTGCACGAGGCAGTGTGGCAGTGCTGTTATACGAAAATCGCTCATGGCTAACCAGCAACAGCTTGAGCTCCATCATCTTACCACACCAAAATACGGATCACGTGACAGAACGAACCACGGAATACCCTTGACGGCTAAAGCATGTCGGCTGCAGCGCAGCCCTCTTACCGTCGATTGTAATTCGTGAGGTATTTGTGCGTCGAATCGTTGGAGATGAACCATGTCAATGACTCCAATGTCGCTTGATCCATTGCGGCGGAGTGATCTCACTCGGCTTTGTTCTCGCCCACACTGCGGTGGCATGGAGGAAGGCCACTTACACTCGCGCCTCTACAATCAGTGTGCAGTACGCGGTTCACTCTGATGCCGCAGGGGTTCTCAATCTTCGATGTTCCGCAGGTTCTGCTGAAACTACACAAGCGCGTGTTCAGAAGACTTGTGGGCCGGGCATGGCCACACCGCTGCTGAAAGCGGTTATCGTTGACATTTCCCAGGGTATAACTGGGCGTTCAGCATCATGAATTCTTGTGCAACTTCTCATCTCGCCTTTCTGTTCACCTCGTCTCGTGGGTCGTCTCAGCGTCCTCGCTGTGCTCCTAACAGCCCCCTAGTGCGCTTCATCTAAGCACGTTATAATGGATCAAGAAGAGAAAGGTGCACCCCGTATTCGCTTCGGAGAGCTTCGTCTCCCCGAGGAGGAAGATGGATATGTCAACCATGAGCGGCGCCATGAGAGATCATTGTCAAGACGAAATAGTGTTGGCAGTCTCTCGATTCGCAGCGTTGGCGGTGCTCGCACCGTCCAGCCAGAGACCGCTCTACCGATCACCTACCGCACTCTGTCAATCGAGATTGATGAGGGTCAATACAAGAAGCAAAACGAGGTGAAGAAGGCGAAGGAGAAGGCAGCCGTCGGTGCGTATCTTACAGAAATGATACATGAAACTATACCAATTGACGTCCTACAGATCTGGCTGACCTGGAATGGCACACGCTCGCTATCCATGAACTGTGTCGCCGACTTTCTGTTGATCTTGATCAAGGTCTTTCTGACGACCAGTCCAAGCGTCGCCTCAATGAACATGGCCAGAACAAGATGACTCCGCCACCCTCTGGTCTAATCCGCGATATCATAGGTTACTTCTTCGGTGGCTTTGGTAGCATTCTCGTTGTAGCCGGCATATTGGTTTTCATCGCTTGGAAACCACTCGGAAAACCCCCTGCCGTCGCCAACTTGGCGCTCGCATGTGTACTGATCGCGGTCTGGCTCATTCAAGCTGCGTTCAATGCATGGCAAGACTGGTCAACAAGCCGGGTCATGGCATCCATCGGTACTATGTTGCCCGATCAGTGTATCGTCGTGCGTAATGGAGCGCAGACCAACATTTCGGCTCTCGATTTGGTTCCTGGTGATGTTATCGTCATCAAGCAAGGCAACAAGCTTCCCGCAGATATGCGCTTTGTGGAAGTCTCTAGCGATGCCGTGTTCGACCGCTCCATCCTTACTGGTAAGCTTTGGCACTAAATAATTCCATTACACAAACTAACACACGTCAGGTGAATCTGAACCCGTCGTAGCCACTCTCGATGCAACCGAAGACAACTACCTCGAAACCAACAATATCGGACTACAAGGCACGCACTGCATCTCTGGCAGTGTTCTTGGCATATGCGTAGCCACCGCTGATAACACAATCTTTGGACGCATCGCGAAGCTGACCTCGGATCCTAAAACTGGAATGACGCCACTTCAAAAGGAAATCCTACGCTTCGTGTTGATCATTTCCGTCTTCATCACCTGCGTTGTGATTCTAATCATCATCCTTTGGGCAGCATGGTTGCGGAAAGATCATCCGGATTGGATCAACGTACCACTTCTCATCGTCAGTTGTGTTTCTGCGGCTGTCGCTTTCATCCCAGAAGGTCTTCCAATTGCACTGACTACGAGCTTGACAATCGTCGCGAACATCATGCGTAAAAACAAGATTCTTTGCAAATCGCTCAAGACTGTGGAGACGCTCGGAGCCGTCTCCGTTATCTGTTCCGACAAGACTGGTACATTGACAAAGAACAAGATGGTGGTTACCGATATCTATGCCGGAGGAGAAGAGTACACTGCCGACGAGGCGCGTGACAAGATGGCAGTCTTCCGCTCGGAGGAGAAAGACTCAACTGCACTGTCTTTGTCAAACATCATCGACCATGTTCGCGTCCTTGGCGGTCTCTGCAACTCTGGCGAATTCGATGCTGCAACTATGGACCTGCCCATCGCGGATCGCAAGATCAATGGGGATGCCACAGATCAGGCTATTCTTCGACTCTCTGAGACTTTAGGTTCAGTCACTCAGCTACGTCGGGACTGGAAAAAGGTCTTCGAGATCGCTTTCAACAGCAAGAACAAGTTCATGATTCGAGTTATGACTCCTGCAAACCAGGGCGCAACGAGTAACAATGCTACACTCATGATCAAGGGCGCTCCTGATATCCTCCTTCCCCGCTGCGATCTCATCCTGAACGCGCTGGGCGAAGAGGTGGAACTTACAGAAGCACAACGACTCCGCATCGAGCAAATCAAGGATAGCTGGTCTTCCCAGGGCAAGCGTGTCATTCTCATGGCCCGCAAGCCAACTATTATGCCATTCTCCAACGACCAGGAGAAGGAGATCCTTGTATCCGCCCGTGAAGGCCTTACCTTCGTTGGTATCGTTGGTATCGTCGATCCACCTCGCGATGAGATCCCAGAAGTCGTGAGCATCCTCCGTGGCGCATCGATCCGCATCTTTATGGTCACCGGCGATTTCAAGCTCACGGCGCAAGCCATCGCTGAGGAGTGTGGCATCATTTCGAACTCCGCTTTAGTTGAGGATATCGATGCTCTCAGCCGAGACTTCAAGGGCGAGTCTAGGAAACAATCGATCGTCTTGAGCGGTCCGGAACTCATCACGCTGAACGATGCGCAGTGGGACCAACTCTGCCAATACCAAGAGATTGTGTTTGCGAGAACGACACCAGAGCAGAAGCTCCGCATCGTCAAGGAGTTCCAGGCTCGCGAGAACATCGTCGGCATGACTGGTGACGGTGTCAACGACGCTCCTTCGCTTAAGGCTGCCGACATTGGTATCGCCATGGGCAGCGGTTCAGACATCGCCATCGAAGCCGCTGACATGGTCCTTCTCGACTCGTTCGCTGCGATTGTGCAAGCTGTCATGTACGGTCGTCTCGTCTACGACAACCTCAAGAAGACTATCGTGTACTTGCTACCAGCCGGTAGTTTCAGTGAGCTTTGGCCTGTTGTCACAAACGTCGCTTTTGGTATCCCCCAGATTCTGTCCTCCTTCCTAATGGTAAATTACTCCAACAGCTATTTTGATACCATCAGCTAACATCACCAGATCATCATCTGCTGTCTTACCGATTGTGCCGCTGCTATTACGCTTGCCTATGAGAAGCCCGAAGCCGATCTTATGCTCCGACCTCCTCGTAACCCCAAGAAGGACAGGCTTGTAAATGCTAGCCTCATCTTCCATGCGTACTTCGTTGTCGGTCTGCTCCAGTGCTTCCTAGCCTTTACCATGAGCTTTTGGTGGATGGAGCGTCAAGGGATCCCATTCACGGCGATGTGGCTGAAGTACGGCAATTACGACAAGCAATACGACCCGAATTACATCAACGAGGTTGTGAACCAAGCTTCAAGTATCTACTTCGTCACTTTGGTGATCATGTAAGCTCTGACCGTGGTCTGGAATGAGAGAATGGGGACTAACGGACTACAGGCAACTCTTTAACCTTCTCGCCACACGCACACGTACACTCAGCATCTTCCAACAGCCACCTATTCTGAACAAGGCAACTCAAAACTTGTCGCTCTTCCCTGCCATGATCTTCGCCATCGTCGTCGCATTCATCTTCAACTATATTCCGTCACTCCAACGCACCGTTGGCACACGATCAGTTCCAGTCGAGCACTGGTTTCTGCCAGCTGCTTTCGGCCTAGGCCTACTTCTACTCGATGAGGGAAGGAAATATTGTGTGCGCAGATGGCCCAAAGGCCTTCTCGCCAAGATTGCTTGGTGAAGATGTTCATACCCTAAGGGTAGCATGACAAGTCGGCCCCCCACCTGTAAGATACACTTGCGGAGTACCGCCCAAGAAGTCTGTCTCAGATATAGATTTAAAAGTACAAAAAAATCCAAAGTTTCACAAGTTCACATCAAGCCTAAGATGCTCCTACCACCCACTTCATTCCCCAGCAGCGCAGAGCAACTCTCACTCCTTCTGAGCCCAATGGTCCCACATCATACACGTTCCTCCGTACCTTCAGCTGCAATATATAATAGTGGAGCCGTTGTCACCGGCATTTCTACACATGTACCCCACACTGTCCTCATTAACGTCTTGCATGACTGCCAACGACATGCTTTAACGGAGTAAGTGCCGGTGAGTGATGAGGCCCTATCATCTGGCGCCGATCTTATTACCATGCAATTTGAGAATTGTCATGTAAGGCGAGGGAAGGCCCCATTTGTCTCGGCTAAATGCTTCTTCCACCCGATTGGCGAGAATGCCAATTGTGATTGGATGGGAGGGGCGAAAAGTAGATGAAGACAGAGCTCGGAAAGGGTTGAGGTGGCGTCGGCGGGCAGTTTGTTCCACGAGGTGACGGGTGTTTTGGCTGAGTGGCTGGCTGAATGGGGTTTAGTGGGCGTCTGCCTGCTCCCGAGTGAAGTGGCTAGTGAGGACGCCCCGCAGAGTTCGGCAAACCTTGGTTTGACCTCATATTAGCAACGAAGGGTGCGTTGTTGAGCGCCGATGTTGAAGTACAAATAATGTTGCTTCGAGATGAAGACTTGCACAAGGTATCATGACGATACTACACGTAGATATCTCTCTATCTACCAATATGCCTCAGAGGCCATGGACAACTTCATGAGCTGAACGTAACAGGCATTCAGTGTTGACGTGTATACTATATCGGAGGCAGCATTCTTGCATGGACTGTCATATACAACTCCCCACATCGGCGGTTATAGAACCTCACTGGGCGATGATGTCAACCTGAGAAAATGGAATCGGAACGACGGATGATCCAGTCCATGGTATGCATGTTATAATATCGAAGATGTGGATGTCTTCTCTTTTTGGGGTCTCAGTCATTTTTACATTGACGTTGCAGCCTATTGAAAGGCCTGGGCGCGGTCAAGACTCTTAGCATACATGTCGCAAGATGGTGTTGTTCAGTGGCGGATGACGAGCTCTATCAGGATGCTGATGCTTACCCCATGCAATGATATGGTCGGTGTCAGCTTCATGACTCTTAGTCGGTGTCGGCGATGCTGTGCTGCCTTCCGAATCCAAACGTGCAGTGGGTCGCCAACACTGGCTGATCAAATTCTCTTGGATCATCACAAGTATATTCTCAGTGAAGGAGCTACTGTATACTGTATCGGACTGCCAAACACGAAAACATACCTGACAGCTATCATACCGGCACATACATGACCACCACTCGGACACCAGAAGTCAGCACCTTCCCTGCGAGGCGAAGCAGTAATATAGCGAGCGGCAAATTCGTAGCCTGTATCCGGGGGACCGGAGTCTTCGATACCTAAGCCGACGATTCGATTCGACAACTATAAGAGCGGTATGCAAAATTCTCATGGCACACTACAGAGTACGCTGCCCACAATGGGATATGCATTCAAGGTGAGTGCGAAATATCGGAAGTGGAGTATCCTAGCCAGTGATTGCGCCACCATAGATTGAACGTGATATTTTCCAAGACTTATTGGTCAGAACGCCCTGTCGTCCGGCACCTGGCCTCGTGGACGCCATGTCTTTCATGTCTACGTTTCCCTTGGTTATAAGAGGGTATCCGCTGCGAATTAAAGTTCCGCACAGTCCCGTTTCGTTCTGGTATATCCTTGCTAGAAGACCTTTATTCGAGCCTTTCGAGTGAACGACTTCAACGTTACAATAGCTACGACATCATTATGCTCTGGACTAGCCTTCTTGCCGCCACTGCGGCGCTTACCGGACATGTTTCTGCACAAAACATGTTGCGGTTCGCATGCTCACAGCTCGTCGTCGAACGAACGGATCCACTTGTCAATCCTGGGATGAAGTACACTCCTCATCTTCACCAGATTGTTGGAGGCAACGCATTCAACATCACCATGAATCCTGCCAACGACATCGCTCAAATGTCCACATGCACATCTTGCAGCTTCACACAAGACAAGTCAAATTACTGGACTGCAGTCATGTTCTTCAAGGCCAAGAACGGCAGTTACATACGTGTACCCCAGGTACATGGAATCTATCCCCCCATCGGACATGGCGCAATACTAATCAGATCCCTAGATTGGCAACGGCGGACCCCAAGGTAAACTCATCAATGATGGCGGTCTCGACGTATACTACATCCCCAGCGGCAAAGTTACCGCCTTCAAGAAAGGCTTCCGCATGCTCGCCGGCTCAGCCACCAACACCGACCCCAGCAAAGTCAAAGGCTCAAACATCTGCCACCGCTGTTGGACCTCCAACTCCGAAAGTACTTTCGTCGGCGGCGCACCTTGCACTGGCTCTGACACCGTCGCCATCCCAAAGGACCCCAAGTGCAAGCTCATCCGACAAACCATCATCTTCCCAGCCTGCTGGGACGGAAAGAATCTCGATTCACCGGACCACCAAAGCCATGTTGCTTACGGTCAGGGGTCGGGTGCCAACGGCGGTGGCGCATGTCCGTCGACACATCCGGTTAAGCTGCCGCAGATCATGTACGAGTTGATGTGGGATGTGAGTAAATTCGCCGACAAGAGTTTGTGGCCGACGGATGGGTCGGATCCTCTTGTTTATTCGATGAATATCGGGTGAGTCTGTGCTCCACTTCCCCGGCGTTGTTGTTGAGGTGGGCAGCTCACTGACATGGCATGACAGTGGCCCCGCCGCCCATGGTGACTACGTCTTCGGCTGGGAAGCGGATACGCTACAGAAGGCAATGGACAACAACTGCAACCTAAACACTGCATGCCCCAAGGCTGGGCTTACAGTGCAGCAGCCTGCGCTGTATAATGCTTGCAAGAAGAAACAACAGGCGCCGGAGAATGTTGATGGCTGTAAGTCTCTCCGGTGACTTCTATTGATACGCGGGATTATACTGACAAAGTTACATAGGGCTTAAATCGCTGCCTCTTGGTGATATGGCGGTTAAGGCCTAGACGAGTTTTTTTCTTGGGTGCAGGAAAGGTGATTCATAGTCTGAATGTGTATGCTGTTTGTGTTCCCGGTGTGAGTGTTTAGATTTGGTGGTATGGCGTAGCACTCGTTTAGATTTGTCGTATTTGTATCTGTTTAGATGGTTAATCTGAATTTACGATCGTGCTGCATATGTTATTTGCGCTATCTTGGAATGGTACGCGATGGGATTGGTGAGGTTTTTCGCGTGCATCCCGGATGTGAACCTTATCGGGAAAATCCACATCAATTGCGGCAACGGGTATCTCGATCCGGCCGGGTTCAAACCATATGTACTTTTCGCTAGCTTACAATAGTATTGTCACATCAGAAAAGGTGTTTCGCCGATTCTCGACGAATGTACCAAGCCCTTAGAAGACAGAAAGCACTGCGGCGGATTTCTAGAGAAGACATCTTTGGCTGATTGAATGAACATGCAACCGTAGAAAGCTGGAGACAAAAGTCCCCTATATATCAATCAATTAGGCTCTGGACGTATACCGACTTCGCCTCACTCTGGCCTATTTCCAGGTCATTTTGTCATACCACATACCTTAAGTGCTTCATGCACAGCGACACAGGATTGGCAAAAGGCGATAGAAAAGACGAGAAAGACCGAAAACAAAACAACAAAAATGAGAATGGTCAGAGTGTCAATGCCTCACTTTTCGCAGGTCGTCGCAGCGCTGTCGCGTATGCTTCTAGACGGTGTTTCCACACTTGAGATAGATGATTGACATGTTGTTAGGCCTACGCAATGCGAGGTGTACAATATATACTATTCTACCACGATGATCAGGAGTTCACTGATCATACGTACCTTTTTGGTTGCATAGCGTAGTGGGCGTAGACCTACGTTCTGACACATGTCAGATGAAACCTCAGTCTATACTCTAGCATGGTTGTGGTGGGTATAGTCATTCCCAGAGTCTAATGCAGCAGCAGCTTACATCAGTCCGGCCCTTGTAGGTATTACACGACACAAAGTGCAGTCATCCATCTCTTCGCGAGATTATCCCAACCGAATGCACGATGCGCTTCTTGTCCAAGGAAAGATAGGTGATAGCAATGAGAGTTTGAGAGATGCATAGAGTAGATATAACGCTTGCATTCAGGATTTTAAAGGCGGTGGCGTTGGTTCAGGAAGTGAGGACATTACCACTACTAGGGCTAGTCAGGTATTTAAGGTCTTTACCAACCCACCTTATACGAGGCGTATACCTTCCTGCAGATTTTAGACCCCTGCAGTAGTATGAGAGTATAGATCCGGACAGTTGGGCTTACGGCGTCGCATGAGGGTTGAAGGTCGTCTTTGGATCTTGCGCGTGAGCTGCTTTCTAAGATCATGGGGTACTTGGCTGCTACGAGTGGAGGCGAAGTATGATTACGGAGTTTTTGAGTGTTTAGCTGCTATCGAGATCGCCCGCCTATCGTGAAGGCATGGGGAGCGATGCACCTAAGTAGATAAGCAGTGTTGGTTCCCTAAGTAGATCTGTATGTACAACGTCTTGTTGATCCACAAAGGAGCTTGGCTTCCGAGTCGAACATTTGTGGGTGAACTACGTGGTAAGTAAAGCGGAAGCTGCACAAATCGTCTTATGAATGGTGACACATTCTTGTTCCTTGCCGCTAGTTACCAACCTCGTATCTCTGACTTTCTCTAAAACAGCTATTTGACCCGACTGCAGAAAAGGACCCCGTAAACTTGGCAGTGCAGGTTTACCCGTTACCTCTTCTCCCATATAGATTACTGATGAAGGTGGAGAAACGTCCGTGAACTTGTTGTATTGGAGCTACGGGAGAAGGGAGAATATCTATGGTGCGCGCACGGAGCAGCTGACTAATCAGTGCCTGGCCAATCAGAGCACGGGAAGCCTGATTCACCGTGAATACTAGTGAAGGCTCTCACCGCGTCTCGACAATTACCACACCATCGCTATCCCTGGTGGCGTATCGTGCAAACCTCAGCCAAGGCGGCTGTGAACAGATAATAAACTACAGTACCTACATGAAGGCAGGGGAACGTGGAAGAGTTCCCTCGTATTCGTGACAGCGGGTGTTTCGGAGCGCGGTGACATCGCACGCTCGATACGCACAAGCGTCCTAAGAAATGGCCGTCATTACTCGCGCAAAATTGCCCATTTATAACCAACATGCACTACTAACGCAGTCAGCACCAAACACTTGACAAACACTTGAGAGAAATCAGGCCCCATAAATGATGGTTGGTAGTCGTAAACCAATGTGCACCAGGCAGAAAAAGACAACTCACCAGGATTTGCATCCTCGATGCAGTCGACGATACGCGATGATCCTTTCCCCGCCATGGCAAATGCCCGGTAGATTCCCCACTATCTTGTCATAAGTAATTTGCACATTGCGTGGGTAGACAACTATCCCGAGGATCGTGCTAGTCAATTACCGGATCGCGTTAGGTACTCCCGACTCGGGCCTCATCGAAGCCCTAAAGTCCAGCCAAGACCTATAACAAGAGAAATCTGTGTTGTTCAAGCCTCGTCTTGTGAAACAGCCGATATGTAGTAATGTCTAAGCGCGGCTGCGTGGTGTCATCTGGCAAGTGAACTTGGAATTGTCGCGATCTTAACCACCGGCCAAGACTGTAGCGCCATCACATACCTGCCATGTAGATTGTTGTGCAGTATTAACGGCTCGAGCTAGCAGCGATATTAGATCAGGATTTACCCCGGGTTTCGCTTGTCTTGTTGTTTCAAGCGACGAGGTGAGCGCCGTTGTGGAGAAACTCCCAAGAGGGAACTTTGGATCGAGACCCTCAGGGATCTGATTGGAGGGAAACAGAAACAGAGATAGATTGACTGAGGGGACATTAGATTGTTTTAGATGATATAGAGGGGTCGGTAGCGGCTGAGAGCTTGCAATGAATGACGTGTGGAGAGGATGTTGGTGTCGGGTTGGTAACAGGTATAACGGACCTTTTGAGAGAATCCATATATAGAGATGGATCGCTACTGACAGAACTCACTGTGCTCATCACAACTGTGCAACCTTTTCTCCCCAGTCTCACCGTATCGCATCGCCATAGTCAATATGAAGAACTTCTTTACCATCGCCATTGCTGCACTCGTCTTCGACAGTGCAGTCGCATCTCCTCTCATTGTAGAGACGCGCCAGGTAAGCCTTCCCAATCAATCTTCCTCATACCTTACTAACCACATGATTAGTCAGGAAGCGGCAACGGCCCCTTCGGCCCCGGCACTTTCAAGACAGACAGCTCCCTAGCTGGCCACACAATCTACTACCCCACCAAGAGCACCGGCTCAACCAAGATACCGGTACTCGTCTGGGGCAACGGCGCCTGCAGCACTGACGGAAAGTCTAACAGTGCGCTCCTCCAGCAGATCGCCAGTCATGGCTTTCTTGCCATTTCTGAGGGCAGTCCCAATGGCGGAGGTAGCTCCAGCGCTGCTACTATGAAGGCAGCGATTGACTGGGTCACAAAGGTCGCTGGTACAGGCGCCTATGCCAACGTCGACGCTAGCAAGATTATGGCGGCGGGATTCTCGTGTGGTGGTGTCCAGGCCATGGACAACATCAATGATCCTCGCGTCGACACCATCGGTGTCGTCAGTTCGGGACTGCTCTCGAACACAAACGCAGCAAAGAGCTGGAAGAAGCCTGTTCTATTTGTTATGGGCGGTTCGGGAGATATTGCCTACAACAACGTGAGTTGCACGTTCTCTTCTCCAGTGCGATGGATATGCTAACATTATGTTTTAGGGCGAACGCGACTTCAAGAACCTCCCTGCTGGCACACCCTCATGGAAGGGTAACATTCCTGTCGGTCACGGCGGTACTCTGGGCGATGCCAACGGCGGAAAGTTCGGAAAGGCCATTCTCAACTGGATGCTGTGGACAATGAAGGGTGACCAAGCTGCGGCCCAGTACTTCACAAGTGGATACCAGGCCGATGGATGGCAAGTACAGACGCACGACTTGAACCTACTCAAGCCGTTTTGAGGGTTGATTGCTGTATAGCAACTCTTACCAGAAACGTGCATGTACATATTGTTGAGGAGCCATTGTAAATAAGAATTAACGTCAAACCTTGATTGCAAGTATCCCCGTGCATGAGATGTAAAGATATTGCCAACATACCTATCTTAAGACGTCAGTATCAAGTGCTTACGTGCAATATGGCACGGCACCTTCCTCCCTTCCCCGCTTACCGGCATTGTTGTGCTGACAAGGGTCGGCTAAAACTCCGACCTCCACCACCATCAGACTATCATATAGGTACAACACCCCCACCACCACCTGAACATCTCAAACAACTTCTATAGAATTAGTGGTTCGCAAATATGCCACGCCCAGTAGAAGAAAGCATCATAGCCATCTTCTCCATCGGCCAAATGGGCCTCGGCATCGCCAAACTCCTCCAAGCGCACAAATACCACGTCATCACAAACGTCAGTGACCGCAGCGCAGCAACAAAAGCCCGAGCCTTGTCCGCCGGCATCCAGCTCTACGATACCGATGAAGAAGTCATTAGGGAGGCAGAGTACTTCATAAGTATCGTACCGCCACTCGATGCAATCGCAACTGCCGAGCGCGTACGCAATGCCTGGGCAGGCTCGAAAAGGATTGGAGCACGAAAATTGTATTATTTGGACTTAAATGCGATTAGCCCTGCGACGGCGAAAAAGATAGCAGGAATATTTGAGCCACCAGAATACGATGTGCAAGTTGTCGATGGAGGCATCATTGGAGGTCCGCCAGCTCCTTCAAAGCAAGACCCATCTGGCTGGACGAGACCTGGGATCCCTCTCTCAGGTCCCCGTTCACTAGAGAACTGTGGCATGTTGGGCTGGGAAGTGATGAAAATCCTGAATGCAAAGCATATTGGCCCAGAGATCGGCACAGCGTCGGGGTTAAAATGTTGTTTCGCTGCTATAAGTAAAGGCTTTACTGCACTGGCGTTGCAATCTTTTACCACAGCATCTAGTCTCGGGGTGCTGGAGCACCTGAAAGAATACATGGATCTGTATAATCTTAATGCGCGGCAGAAAGCTGAGAAGAATATTGTGGGATGTACGGGCAAGGCGTATCGTTGGGTGGAGGAGATGAATCAGATAGGCGAGTGTTTTAGCACAGAAGGCGCGTGGCAGGATCAAGCGTGTGTGTTTCGAGAGATTGCGAGTTTGTTTCAGGGGCTGGCTGATGTTGTTGAGGAGAATGGGGGCCAGGGTATGAAGAACGACGAGGATGTTGTTGAGGCGTTGGGTAAGAAATTACATTCGAAATCGTGAGTATTGGAAAGGCGGCTTCTTCTACGAAAGACCTGGTAAACTTACATTCCCCCAAACGATAATTCTGCACATCTCATTTATCGTCATTCGTACAAACCCCAACTAACCCTAACGCCTATCCTCCCATCCCCAGCTTACTCACCCAACCAACCCCCCATAAACACCCTTTTCAACCTCCCCCCATGCCCTCACAACATGTTCATCCCCACCCGGCAGAACCTGCGCTCCAAGACACCCAGCAACGCTCCTCTCCCGATCCACCCACCAAAAACAATTCGCAAGTCCCATCCACCACATCGTGCCCCCACTCCTCCCCGTCTCACCCTCTTCCAGCGTCAAAAACCCGCCATACCCCCACCCCTGCGCAGGATCGCCCTTCTGCGGATACATATCATCCGCCTCGTTTACCAGACTGGCGTCCGCCGGCGGTGGGTTCCCGCGCGCAAAGTTGGGTTGGGTTGGGATTTGGTTGGTGAATAACAGGTCTACGGAGGAGGGGGCGAGGATGCGAGTGTTGGTGCTCGGGCAGGCGCCGGAGTTTAGGAGAACGGCGAGGAGGGTTGTGAAGGCTGTTGGGCGGCAGAAGAGACCTGCGCCGCCGGATTGGTAGAAGGAGGGTTGAGTTTGGGGTGGGCAGGAGAGGGCGGCTTGGAAGAGGTGGGGGCGTTCAGACAGGACGTGTGTGATGGGGTCGCGAGTGTGGAGTTTGGCGAGGTGCGGGTGCAGAGTGGATGGGGGGAAGAAGGTTGCGGAGGTTGGGGGGATGGAGAGAGGGGTGAAGATGTGAGCGGTGAAGTAGGTAGATAGGGTTTGCTTGGTTACGCGTTCGAGAATTATTCCGGCCCAATCCATGTTTATCTGTTTTACTGTGGTCAGTATGGAGCTTGATTTGGGGGTTTGGGGTCAATGGGTAGGGAGGTAGGGGGCTCACACCGTACTCCCAGGCATGTCCTGGTTGATTCACCATTCGTGCGTCTAGGACTTCGTTTATGTCGCCACTTGCTCCTTCTATCCATCCTTTTCCTCTGTTGACACATCTTACATCACTGAATCCATAACCGAAGCCCGCTGTATGACTTAGTAGCATACTCATCGTAATTCCCTTCTCCTGCTCTTCACCATCTCCCCATGACCCCGCTCTGTACACTTTCTTCGCCTTGATTTCTGGTGCTATCTTTGCCAACCACTCTTCATCGTGTAGAGGGATTTCCCCCTGTTCAACGAGCTGTAAGATCGCGATTGCAGTGACGAGTTTAGTACACGAGGCCATCCAGAAGAGTGTTTCGGTGGTGTTCATGGAGATAGGCGTATCCACGCCGAGGTTGCCAGCGGCGTGTGAGACTAGTGTTGCGCCGGACTTGTCAATTGCGTGAAAGACGAGGCCTGGGGCGCCATTTTTGACGGCCTTGTCAAGGGTTTAGATTATGGAGTCACAGGCTTCGGGTGAGAGAGGCATTTTGGAGTGAAAGATTCTCGTGTTCGTCTTAAGTCAGTAGTGGTGGTATAGGACGAGGTCCAAGAGACATGGAAAGATAACGAGCAAAACTTTCGCACAGAATACGAGTCTAGACATTCATCAGCGTCGCCCAATTGCCGAGGGTGAAAGTACGCCCGAGGCTGAGTAGTCACGTTTTTATCAACAGATAGCGGGACATGGTAAATAGATTATTCAAGGGCGTACGTACAATCGCCCTATACGAACACGATAGAAGCGCGTGGGCGGAAGATGGAGATGATAGAAGAGGTAGCTACATCGCATAGCCCAAGTATTGGCATTGAGCAACCTCCTGACGTGGATGTAATCTGGTGGAGCACTACCCGCCATCTACCCCGCTGCGGGACCTTAGTGCAGCTACCCGACCCGAGTGCTACGTGCTGAAATCGTACAACCAGCGATTCTGTTGCAGGATAAGCCTCGTACACCATACTTAGGTCACCAATGCGTCTCATTCGAGCGCGTGATATTCCAGCCATACCCTGCTCGTGCGCCAAATTTCCACCCCGCCGGATGTAAAAATGATACTAGCACGAACTAGGTTCGTGCGGATCTCAACTGCGCTTTAGTGCTGACTTCAATTCCTTCAGAGCGGCCATGACGAGGGGGACGGCGACAGGCCCTAGCAAGGGTAGATAGACGGCAACCTTATGCTCATCTGGAAAGTATACCTGGCCAACCATGGAACGTTCGAAGAAAGCCTTCTCAGCTTCAACTTCTGCAGCCCGAGCATGTTCAAGGGCGCTGGGAAAGCGGCCGTCTCTCAAGTAATCGCACGCTTGCTGAAGATGTGCAATGGTTTGGTGTGTAGATTGAGCAACGTTATCAGGAACTGGAATGGACGGGAGTTTTTGGTAGACCTGAGCCAATGCTCCCAATGTAGAAGATGCCGAGAAGATGAGTGATGCGGCTCGTACGCGCTCGAGGGTCGCTATGCGCAGGGGTAGGGAAGCCGGACTTTGTGGCAAGCCGAACAAGGAAATAAGCTGGTTCGAAAACGTGTGCATTGCCGGCGCAAGCATCTCTGTTGTTAGGCCATATGGCGTCTCTATTATGAAGCCTTCCGGTGTCTTCTCTTCGAAGTTCAAGATATGTACACCTCCCCACTGTGGAATTAACCAGCTATTTCCGCCATTCTCCTTGACTAGAAGCGGAGACTGCGCATGGTCCGGCACGTATAGAATGAAGTTGACTGTGGGTCCTTCACCGATGCTTGGGCTCAGAGGCCACTCAGCAGCGTTGACAAAGCCACTCAGATCTTCCTTGCGCAGCATCCACGCTTTGTTCTCTTCGTCATATTCGGGTTGGCGAACAGAAGGGGCGAAGGCGGCGTAGAGCTGTACTTGGGTGTCGACAGTGAAATTGCTAATGGCGGAGAAGGCGTTGAGAAGGGGACTCATATGCTTCTCAAGTGCTTCCTCGATCTGCCATTGTGAGGGAATGAACGAAGGAGTGAACAGGGAGAAGGTCAGATGGTATGTAGGTGCATACTTGAGTGCGCGGGTCGACTGGCGCTGGAGCTCTGCGGACGTCTCTGGGGAAAGGGCCTTCACTTTTGCAAGATGTGCGCCGGAGCTAGTGGAAAGTACATGCGCCAATTGGGCCTGCTCTTCTGTAAATATGCTGCGCAGCTCCTCGGCGAGAAATGTAGCGAGACTCGAGCCAGTAGAAGACTGCGATGGGATCTGATTTGGCGAGTAGTATACGTCGAGCGTGGGTGAATACGGCTGCAGGTGCGATCGCGGTGTCGCACCGGTTTCGACAGGTATCAATCGCACAACCAAAGCGATGTCGCGGTCATTGCTCGAGACACTTGATCCGTCTGAGATGACTTGTTGCGAGGTGTTCGATTGTGGGGGGTCGGCAAGCATTAAGCGGAGATGGTGTGCAGAAAAGTCATTGATGTCATCGAGCGCATGTTGCGTCGTGAGGAGAAGATGGTGCGCGTCCGAGGCGGGAATTGGGGCCTCTACAGCTATTCGAAGTGGGAAGACTGGCTTGCAGACCTGCAACTGTGTTAGTTCGTATGCGACTGCATCCGGTCTTTCGCCCTACCTTGCCCTCAGCCCAATCCGTCATTTCCTGCAGCGGCAGCTCCGCTCTGTAAATGGCCGTAGTCTTGAGCCATATTGGTAGACCGAGGAAGACAACTACAGCCCAGAACGAGGCAATGGACAGGCGTCGCAGTAATAAGCTCTGCTTTGACTCTGGCGGCGGCTGTTTTGGAGTTTTGGGGACAATTGATGGAGTAGAAGAAGAAGAAGAAGAAGGCAACGGCTCTTTCGCCCCGGCCGGTAGCGACGCGTCAGTCCCTGTTGGAGTCGCCATGTTGCGGTTGAGTTGTTGACGGCTGTCATTTCGACCATGTCGCGCTAACGCAGGGGTCTGTGCGCTCTCACAGCCAGCAGGGCATCCACTTGATCTTGATATGTACTGACTACACCAGAGTATGTATGAACCTGCTACAGCCACTTGAATCTAATACTACAAGGTCCCATAGGTGACCCCAGAACTGGTTTCTTAGCCACTCAAATGTGTGCTCGAATGTCTCCTGAACTTTATAGATTGGCCGACCCCTCTTTCAAGATGCATAGCCCAATACTTTACATACTGCTTATCCTGCAGTTCAAGAGCTTAAACTTGGTCCATGATTCAGGTTCTTGCTCGGACTGATTTACGCGTCTCAAGGTGCTTGGTCACGTAGCATGGCTGACATCACACTTGCTTTGTTCGTGAACGCGTGGTCTGTGCGCGTTAACTTGGATGAATGTATCCGCACGGTAGAGCACCCGCAGCTTGCTGCAACGCGAAAATATCATGAAAACAGCACAAGCTCAAGGCCCCTTGCTCAATAAATTTGTCTTTCACCTTGTCACTACATGATGGTTGGTATCAGTCGGGGGAGAGCTAGGGGCCCGATCGACGCGCCTGCCCCGCCCGAAATGCGGGGTTGCATGTATGGGGAAGGGACGAATCGAGAGGTTGTGACGCGGTCGATCACGAGATCAGGACGAGCAGCTACCCCTCTCGGCTGATACAGCTGAGCTCTTTCTTATTACTTCCTCTCCTCGCTCACACGACAACTTAATGCTCAATCCTCTCCACTACTCAATTCATCCCCAACAAATAAATCAAATCATTCACAATGAGTGCAATCGCTGAGAACAGCACCGATGGCCCTGTCGAGCAGGTCAAGGTGCTGTTCGCCCTGTTCCCAGGATACAACACGCTCGACGTGGCAGGTCCGCTTGAGGTCCTGAGCCGCTCCCTTCAGGACCCCAAGGACAAGGGCAAGTCGCGTGCTCAATGGCTCAATTGCTCTTGCTGACAACTTAAAGCCAGCAAGGCTTTCAATTGCCAGTTCGTAGGCACCGCCGCTGCCATGACTTCCGTCCAGGGTCTCACCATCAAGGCTGACATGGACTACGACGTAAGCATTGCGTTGGGCATACCAATGACAGTCGCTGACTTTGTTTGTAGGACGCCAACGATGAGCTCGAGGACTTTGACGTCGTCATTGTTCCCGGTGGTGAAGGGGTCTTTGATGTGCTCAAGAACAAGTCTGAGCCTCTAGACCTCCTCACCAAGTACGTCGAGCTTCAAGAGAAGAACCCAGCCAAGGAGCGCACCATCCTCGCCATCGACGTCGGTGCCCTGCTCCTTGCTCAACAAGGCATGCTCGAGGGTCTCGCTGCTACAACCCATCCAGACTACTATGTCCGCTTGGAGACCATATGCCAGGATGCCGCTAGGCGCGACATGTCTATGCGTACAGACGTCATGGAGGAGCGATACGTTGTCAACAACGCTCGCTTCGACTTGGGCGAGAACCCCGACGACAACCCGTAAGTAAGCCCTAGCCACTTTAGTATACATCCAGCTCACTATACCAGGTACATCATCAAGAAGTCGCGCGATATCCCCACCGCTCCAGAGGGCACCAACACCGGTCATGCCCGTAGGAAGTCGATTGCTCGCAAGGGCAGCAACGCTCTACGCGACTCTCGCCGTCGTGAGTCCATCGCTAGACGTGCTTCCATGCCTCTGGGCGGTATGCGTGTCATCACCACCGGCGGCGTGACTGCTGGTCTCGATGCTAGTCTATACTTGGTGGGTTCTTTGGCGTCGCACGAGTCGGCTCTGGAGGTTGCTCGTGTCATGCAGTACACTTGGGTCAAGGGCGTTACGGTTGATGCCATCGATGTTTGAGCTGGAGTTCCAGCACGATGCGCGAAAGGCGTTTAGGGGAGTGGGTTGTACAATGATCTGGAAAGTGATCATCTGAGAAATGTCGGGAATCTAGAAGATTGACCACGGCGAATCATGTGAGGATTCATGAATGAATGTAAAGAAGTAAGAAGTTCATCAAGCTTTTATCGTGGGTGACAGTGATGTTGATGTAGTTGAAGTCAAGTCCCCGCAAATGGGCCGGATGGCTCCACAACGATAGCCGATATCGCCACTGACTCGTGTGGTATATCTGATGACGGTCTAGACGAATGCGTCTGGATTCCATGTTGATAAGAACATGCATTAGGGATGATCGCGTCACACCTGCTACAATACGTCGTTGTAGGGTATAGTTTTGGCCGGCTACCGTCAATGTCAAAGGTGAAGGATGTGAGCGTCAAGCCGACCGCCTAACTGCGCGTTGGAGGTTCTCACCCAAGAAACTCTACACAAAATGAATACATTCCAACAAGACTTATCTGGTGGCTGGACGTTTAGTGATGGGTTTATTGTAGAGCTTACCTTTGGTTTCACGTGATGATATGATGTAATACGCCATATTGGTAGTTCTTATTACTTAGCCGACTGACTCTTCGAACTACCCGTATCAGCCTTACTATCACTACTTCTATCCCAACACGAACTGATCTTAGATTGAGTATGTAGGTAATGATATGTCAACTACAGGGACTGCATCACGCATCGTCGTTAGGGACCCATACTCAACGTTTCATCCCCTTGACCACAGCCCATTAAGCATTGAGATGTCGACTCGCAATTACCTCCTGTATGTAGTAAAAAAATCCATGGTTACATATTCTGGTTGTACACACAACGGAAAGAGAAGCTGATAAGCTATTTACTTCCATACTGTAACAGGCTGAGCCTGCTACATGCGCTACGCTGTGAGCGTAGCTGTCGTCATGCGATTCCTTCGAGATGTATCTATAGGTTTCTTTCAGCATCCATCTGATTCGACTTCGGCCCGTCTTCGGTCCGGCCATGTATATATCTACAGCCTGCATCCTTCCGTAGCTCTTTGTCAAACCCACTCTGTTACAAGGCATCTCTTGATCAGTCATCTGCGTATCGTCATCGATACGGCCGCTGGGGTCTAGCCCCTTACACATACACCTGGGCAGCTATGGATAGAACTCGCGGCAAAGCGAGTAGGAAACCCATCGTCACGTAAAATCACAGGGAAAGAGAACATTTTATGTTCAAAACACTCAGTCAAAATTGGATATATGACGGAACCAAGCAATCATTACGCGGCAACAAACAGCGACCTAATGAATGAGCGTTTTTGAGCTGGCGAAAGCTCATCTTTTGTCGGATTTTTAGTACGAAAACTTCAATGTTGAAGCCAGGAAATCAAGTAACGAGTGTTGCCCCTACGGCCCCAGAAATCCAAGATCCCTCAAACAATCCCCTATGCCTGGAAACCTCGAACACGATGTCCGACTCCCGTGTCACAACCCTCACCGCATCCGTACGCCTTGGCGCAACCCTTATCTACACAGTAGAAAAGAGAGATAATTAGTATATAGTCCACATGTCTTGTTGCGGCAAAGGGGTGATGAAGCATCTTGCTGCTATAATACCGTAAGAGACAAAACTTACCGCAGCTATAGACGATGTTAGTGAAGAGTTGATACTGGGGGTAAAAGATGTATATAGTATTGAGACATACTCGGAAGTTTTACACTGGGCAGCGCATGCAGTGCAACGGTTTGAGTTGCAGTCCGCTAGTGTCCCGCCGAGCATGGAGGTAGCAAGGACGATGATGGCGAAGATGAAACGCATTTTGATTGTCGTTTTGTTTGTCTGGATAGGAAGAGTTTGGTGAAAGGTTTGGTAATTGATATTGTTATGATGATTTGCTTCGAAGAGAGATGTTGTGTGGAGCAGATGAGTTAGACGACAACAAAACACAAAAGCGGCAGACCGAGCACCTTTTATCTTCAACAAACACTCAATCGACCATACTGTGTGACCTCATGTTACGCGTGTTCAAGTTCATCATAACACCAAATGCGAACTAGTCAGGCAGCCTACTGAGTGAGGCTTGAGATGTCGCCGATGAAGCACCCTCGACTCTTGCTGATAGCTACCCATTCGGCTCCTGCCGTCCGTGTGAAACTGGCTGTACTCAAAATTCCAATAATCCGTGTACTGTGCAGATCCCATTCGATAAGAGAAAATTGTTACGAGGTTTGGTAGGTTGGTATAATCTCGGAGACTCGTTGCACAGTCAGCTTACGATCTTCCACGCGCCGGGCCCAGAACTTGCCCGCGATTACTTTTTCCCCTCTTTCGCGTGGAGCAAGATACGATTGCCGGACGCCACGCGGGGCATCTCTGCAGCTATTCTTACAGGTTAGTCTTCACAACATCATGGAAGCCCTGACTCGGGATCTTCATGAATGCGTACGTCGCGGTGCCGTGCCAGACCACCCGGTGTTTCTCAAAATAACAAGGTGACATATGTATGCTGACTGCCAACTTGAATTGATCTGCAGTCAGCTTCATTCTTCTTGTGTTGCTTGTTTGTGCTTGTTCGCAAAGATGTTGGTTGTGGGCTCGATTCGATCACTGCTTACTCTGGGGGTGTCAAACGCTTCTGTAAACCATGGGTGAGAAGCTGGAGAGTTGTACAATGCGCAGACTTCTAGCATGTTGGATACATGCCAAAATCGACTTCGCTTTCTTTGTCTCATCTGCATCTAAGTGCTTACTCCGAACGCACAATCAGTGCATAGTTAGTCGTCTCCTCGAAGCATTGTCTTTCGTAAACTCTATTCTTTTCAGCGAATGGAAAACTTCCCGCAACAAAACGGAAATATATATTCAGCTCTTATCTCTATTCCAGCATATACATCCAATCTCTTCTCCATCATTCCCTCTAAGCACTCCTCCATCCTTCCCCCTACACCTCCCCCTCCTAAACCACAGTAACAATCCCCCTCTCCACTCCACCCTTCCCCTCTATCCCCCAACTAGACCGTCATATTCCTCCCCCCATTCCTAGCGAGCAACGCGTCCCACCCCGAATTCGCGCCGGCGGCAAAATCATGCGTAATATACCCATACACATCGTGTACCGGGATACTCGCCGTCGCACTACCGGGGTTACTCACTTTACTCTGCGAGCACGCGAAACCAAATCGCCGACTACCTGTGGGGTCGATGACGACGGCGCCGGAGGCACTCGTGTACGAGGTGCAGCCGCTGCATTGAACGGTGTATTGGTAGTGTGTTGAGTTTGATTTGTTGCCCGTGCGGAGGGAGGTTAAGGTTGCGGAGGGATAGGCGGAGGGTGTGGAGTGGGAGCTGTGTGATGGAGGGTGTTAGTTGGGTGTTTCTAATTTTGGATGTTTGTGGGAATTGCGTAGGGTGGCTTTGGTAGTGGGAAGTGGATGTACATACGTAGCCCATCTTGAAGACACAGTAGAAGCTTTGTTCCCATTCGGATATCCTACCGTGAGCGGATTTCGTATCATACCCCCGCCCCAGGCTAATCCCACCCAGCCGAGCGAGATTGGAGCTACGACTTGGAGGACGATGTCGTAGGGTGTGTTGGCGGGGACATTTGCGGGTTGCGCAATGCGGTAGACTATGTTGGAGGTGAGGGTTGCGGCGGCCTTGGTTTCGGAGAATGTGAAGCCTGTTTCGGTGTCGTGGTAGCTTGTGGATCGCGGGGAAAGGGTGTGTGGGTTAGGGGCTGGAGATGCGTAGGCTGAGGGTTTTTTAGTGGGAAGTGAATGTACTGTGAAGGTTCATGGTACGGACTTAAGCTTGTCAAAGCGGCGAAGAGGTGTGAGAAGTGCATTTTTGCGGCGAGCCCTTCTTCTCAGAGCCCTAGAGCGAATAAGAAAGAAAGTACACTATGGTCAGAGAAGCTTCACTTGTAAGGGCGGGATCGAAAAGTCTGTGTCGAACATAGAAGCTCAACTTCGAGAATACTTGAGAACATTTATGAGGCTCGCCAAGCTACCACACTTACGTTCCATGCACTCGATGTATGCATTGTAAAGTAGCACATGGTGATAAACAAGCATGCGGGCAAGAGAACCAGAATACCGTCTAGTTAATCCCTGGTTCATACCTTGTGACTTGGATTACGACCCGGATGTGAGCTAGCAATGCGTCTAGGACATTTAAAGCAGCCCATAAGAATGCTTTGATTACTTTTTGGACGCATCATTGTCAAAATATTGGGTCGAGTATCCTTGCCAGTGCCGTGAGGATACAGCTTCTGGAAGGTCAAGGCCCATATTATGATATCGATAGCTTGGACCGCGGAGTGTATGCATATTTACCCATATAGCTTGTAAATTGTGTGACAAATATATCCATGTATAATTGGACTGGGAAAATAGCCGATGCCTGAAATGTCGACAAGTTCCTGAATGAGGTCGTGTGTCCGGTGTAGAGCGACACCTAACGAGGGGTGTCGGGCCATCTATCGCCTGCGAAAAATCGTGGATGCACCTGTCATGCAACAAGAAACTAACAGACAACATTCTTGTCGTATTCGAACATCTCCAGTACTTGCGTTCGGATGTTGAGTACAGTGTGCCAAGATGTTGCATCTCGCTCCGAATCACACTCCCCACATGTCGCTTGCTTGTGGGGCACAACATTAATACCCATGCGACCTCGCGTGGCAGCTCATACTATAACACCAAGTGGCTACCTGTGACAAGATAAATCTCATGCGAAAAAAGCTGCGAACTCATTGCTATATCGTTATCATTGGTTCTGCAGAGGTCTTGGGGGTGGTGTATTTCCATAATTAGCGGTTATCTATGTACTCACTAAAAGCTGATTTCAAGATCCATGACCACTAGAGCGGAGATTTGATACTGTGCCCATTATTTGCTCAACCTTTGGTGAGCTTTTGCAGCCTTTGCGCCGCTACACAAATGGTTCTCATGATGCCTTTCTTTGCTTGGTGTCCACCACGAGATCTTGCAAACCAGAAAGCACAGCCGATGACCGAGGTAAATGCGAGACCGACGATGCCATCCAATATCTTTGCCTGTCTCTGTGCCGCTTGCTGAACTTCGGAATATCGCATGTTGCTAAAGGTCACCCGCGAATACTGAGTGGCCCAGCCCAGACTTGGCACGTAAAGGTACAGCTGTTCCTCAATCCACTTCCTCAAGAGATATAACGGCTTCTTGACATCGCTAGCCATTTCGTAATAGTTTCCCAGAGCGAGGTCGTTGATAGTTTGCGCATCGGGAGTGCGCTGCTTGGTATATTCATCCAACGCCTTTGTCCAATCCTTGGGGTACTCGTCGAGGAACTCGAACAACACACGGACGTCTTCCAGTCCAGCATTCATACCCTGGCCATAGAAGGGTACCATGGCATGAGCAGAGTCTCCCACAATGACCCCAGAGTCTCCGTAGTGATATGGTGTACATTTTATCGAAATCAAGGGAAGATGCTGATTGGAAGTATACTGTTTGCGGAGTTCATCTTCTGTGATGAGATCTGGTACTACACCCGGGAACTTCTTGTCAAAGTATTCGACCACTTTTCCTGATGCATCCAGTTGTTTAAAGCCCTCCCTGGTCAGAAAAAGAGTAGATGTGAAGGTTTTATCGAGATTTGGAAGCGCGATGAACATTGACTCATCTTGAGGCCAGATGTGCAGGTAGTTGGGTGGTATCCGGAACTCACCATCCGGTGTAGGCGGGACATGAAATTGGCACCAGAGCTTATCGATATACTCCTGCTGAAATGACATGGGCACAAACTTCATCAAATGATATCGCACAGCGGAGTGGGCTCCGTCGGCGCCGATCATGAGATCGAAGCGGATCTCGAACTCGTCACCCTGTTCTTCTGCCGACTTGGTCCGATGCTCGAACCATGCGACTTTCTTCCTGAAATCTACACCAACAAGCTTGTGGTTAAAGACGAGCTTGACATTAGGCATAGCCTCAAGATGATCGATTAATGTCTTGTTAAGGCCGGTACGGTCCATTGCCAGCAGGCTCTGTTACAATTAGTATACTATAAGTAGTTTCGTGAGATGGACCTACTCTTCCTCTCGCATCGTACATCTGTGGCTGACGAACATATTCTCCGTTTTTCCTTACATGGATCATGCGACCATGCATTGGGAAGGTGTCCTTTAGTACTGCATCTGCGAGTTCGGATAATCCTGTCTTACGCAAAGAGTTTATGCCGCGCTCGGAAAGTGCAAGATTGATGGATTTGGAGAAGTTTAGTGGAACGGTATTGGGATCCCGGAGATCTGGCTAGCGTAAGCATGTTTGCTCGGTGGTATGTCGGTATACCTATGACTGACCTGCTCTGAGCTCATAAACTTCTACATCAAATCCACGCACAGCAGCATACAGGGCCGCTAGAGACCCGACTGGACCAGCTCCTACGACAACAACTTTCTGTGTCATCGTAATGGGAGATAAGGAAGATTAACGAAGAGTCGAGTGGCTTATGTACAGCCCGGGTTCAGATTAAAGAAAGAATTCAGAGCTTTACGAAGATGAAAGAACCCAGCGAAGCAAGTGAGTTGTGATGGATTCATATGCAGTGAACCCAAAGAGTCAGATACATAGGATGGCAAAAGGTGGGCAGATGATGCACGTAAAGACCTAAACAGGTAAGTGCGCATCGCACCACCGCTAGTTAGTCATCAAAGATCGGCCGCGTTGGTGTCTGGACCCCTGCAAGGAATTGTGACTTGACTGATGATGCGGCGTTAACGTTAGAGCGAGAGCAGCAAACACTCATCTTTTTGCGCTGTCCACGACTTCACACAGAGGCGGACTGGGAATTTTGGAGAAACCAGTCTTGCATTTCTCAGGCGACTACCACTATACATACGGCTCTTTTGCACATTACCAATTTTTGCACACACGATGGCTGTAGACGCCCCGCGCAAATGCTCGGGCAAGGATTGCGACAACGACGCCGGCACGTTGCAGTGCCCAAACTGCCAGAAACTTGGCAAAGAAAGCTTCTTTTGCTCACAGGACTGCTTCAAGCGAAACTGGGTATATATTCACTTCAACTTTAGACTCGAGACCAACAATCTAATAGCATGGCAGGGTGAACACAAGAAGGAGCACAAGTCACAAAGTAGTATTCTCCAAAGTATCTTTACGCCGAAAGTAGTTTCTTACCCGGATCCAGCCACCGGTCATTACAACCCGTTCCCCACGTATCCGTACACTGGAGCCCTAAGACCTGTATACCCGCTGTCGCCGCGACGCGAAGTGCCGAAGCACATCAGGCTACCCGATTACGCAAAGGATGGCATACCGCGTTCAGAGCAGGTGTTTGTCAATAGGAATAAGATTACGATTTTGAGCAAGGAGGAGCAGGATGCGATGCGCAAAGTGTGTCGATATGGACGGGAGATTCTCGACATTGCAGGGCGAGCTGCAAAGCCTGGCGTCACGACCGATTACATCGATGAAATTGTCCATAATGCCACCATCGAGCGTGATGTGAGTGGTAGCAGCAGGCCCTTATCTCAACGCGCTAACCGTAGCAGTCGTATCCATCGCCCCTCAACTACTGCAACTTTCCCAAATCAGTTTGCACGTCGCTCAACGAGGTCATCTGCCACGGCATCCCCGATCAGCGAGTACTCAAAGACGGCGACATTCTAAACATCGACATCTCGGTATACCATGGCGGTTTCCACGCGGATCTGAACGAGACATATTACATTGGTGACAAGGCATTGGCGAATCCCGACGCGGTGCGGGTGACTGAGGCAGCGCGGGAATGCTTAGACAAGGCCATCGAAATCGTCAAGCCCGGCACACTCTTCCGCGAGTACGGAAACGTCATCGAGAAGCACGCAAAGACCAAGAACTGCAGCGTAATCAGGACGTATTGCGGACACGGTGTGAACCAATTGTTTCACTGCGCACCCAACGTACCGCATTACGCAAAGAACAAGGCGATCGGCCAGGCGAAACCAGGCATGTGCTTCACAATCGAGCCCATGATCAGTCTCGGTTCACACAGGGACAAGACATGGCCGGATGATTGGACTAGCGTCACACAGGACGGCTCTCTGACAGCGCAGTTCGGTACGTACTCTGCTAATTCCAAACATTTGTATATCTAACATGACCCAGAACATACCCTACTCGTAACCGAGGATGGTGTCGAGGTCCTGACGGCAAGACTGCCAGATTCACCAGGTGGCCCCGTACAAATACCGGGAGTCACAGACGGTGAGAAGAAGGAAGAAGTGACGGCCGCGTCTTGAGGAAGTTGCCAAAAATAAGGTGTATACATATAAAGTAAAAAGCGATTGGCCCGGGCGTAGTGGCTCGACCCCCAACTTTGTTCTAGTCGATAGATAGCTCGTATCCAGTGATGAGTGACGCCGGCGTAGAAGTTATAGCGCTAGGCTTGGGTGCATCGATATCTTGTCAACTATGTTCCGACCACAGCGACCGATCCGTCCTCCGAGGTCACACACGATGCGAAGCGAAGACGCTAACGGCCATGCTTGTCGCCCGCTGTTCAGGGAAGCATTGGCATCTCGTGTCTCCGCCTCAACGTCATCTACGCATCTTTGCTCAGCCTCCAGCAGAAATCGGGCACTTTGTTAATTCCAACAGTACCCTGTGCCATTTTCCATCGCTACACAATCTCAGCTGTCTACCGTGCACCCGACGTCATCGCAGCTTGTAACCAGGCCCCGCGCACAAGCTAGCTTCCCGTGTTTAGCCCGCCAACGTGCAAACACACGACCGCATCCGAGCCTCGAGCCTCACACATACCTGTTCATTTGCGCCGAAGCTCTTACTGGCGACACAGTCAGCCGACTCCGACTCGCTTTCATACAAAATACACGTGCTACACAGCACACGACATTCCCACAATGACTGGTGAGGCGTGGTTGTACCTGTTGGCGGTGTTGATAAATGCCGTCAACCTATTCCTTCAGGTCTTCTTCACCATTATGTACAGCGACTTGGAATGGTAAGTGATATTCACGAGCAGATTGGGGCGCATGGCGCACGTTGCGACCTCTGAAATTCCACCGAGCACATGCTAAATTTGCGACAGCGACTACATCAACCCCATTGATCTGTGCAACCGCCTGAACACATACATCATCCCCGAAGCCGCCGTCCACGCTTTCCTGACCGTCTTGTTCCTTATCAACGGATACTGGATCGCCCTGCTCCTGAATCTGCCTCTATTGGCATGGAATGGAAAGAAGTATGTGGCTTTGCCATTTACATGATAAGAAAAATGCTGATTATAATAGGATCTTTGAGAACCAGCACCTCTTGGACGCGACGGAAATCTTCCGGAAGCTTAATGTGCACAAGAAGGTATGATGGTGAAGTTTGACAGCTTGGCAGCGCTCGAGACTAATATCGACCAGGAATCCTTCATTAAGCTGGGCTTCCATCTGCTCATGTTCTTCTTCTACCTCTACAGCATGATTGTCGCCCTCATCCGCGACGAGTCTCATTAGGTAGGGACCTGGCTGTGCATCGTGTTCGTGATGATTTTCGTGGGGGTATTGATGGCGGCCAGCCACCACAAAGAAATAGAGGAATGGCTAGGGAGACAGGACCAGGGGCTTTTGATATCCGGCTCGAGAAGCAGAGCCACGCGCACGCATGTTTATAGTGGGGTAGCATGACAAGGAAGTTGAGCTGGGTTGAGGGGGAATATTTTATGTGACAGGCTCTAGGAAACGAAGAGCATGAAAGAAGAGATTTGGACGGACTTTGTGTCCTAATGGCGTATGATAGCGTTATATTAGCTTGTTGTGAATGGACTATTTTTCACATGAACATACCGCGCCTTGACGCTAGTCTTGGCGTGCTTAGTCACCCATGATTTGTGTAGGATGCTTCTCCAACTCGCTCACCACGTCCATCATTCCACCCTGCAACCTCCTCAATCTTGCCCAGCGCCAGACCGAATTTTCCTTCAAGCTCACCAGTATCACGCGACTCCCCTTTTGGCAATAAGAGTGCCCGCGATGGCCGCTGGAGGTTCTGGCAGAGTGCCAACCGGATTCGCAGCGGAGACGTACATCAGCGACCACACCTTCCGACAAGGCCAACGCACAATCGAAGGGGGCGGAGGGTCAAAGAAGAGGAAGCGAGAGGGCAAGGGCGATACGAGTATCGTCACTGGAACTGGCGCATACAAGGGACCATGGGCCAAATACGAAGAAGAGAGGCCCGACGCTGCCTCGGACGATGAGTTTGGGTCGGACGTCGAGGTTGAGATAGTCTACGAGGAAGACGAGATTGTCGACACCACTGCGCATGCGCCGAAAAAGCTCGCAGGTACAGACTACCGCGACACCGATGCCGAAGGCGAGACGAGCGAGTTCGTGGGAAGCCAGCAATACGACTACCAAGGCCGGACGTACATGCATGTGCCTACAGATCTCGACATCAGGCTTACCGGCGACTTTGAACCTAAGAACTACATACCAAAGAAGCTCATCCACACGTACAAATATCACACCAAGTCGATTACACAGGTGCGCTTCATGCCCGACAGCGGCCACCTTCTCCTCTCTGCTTCGGCCGACTCGAAGATTGCGCTATGGGACGTCTATCATCAACGCGAGCTGCTACGAACATACTCTGGGCATACAAAGTCTGTTGTTGACATTGACTTCAACCCCACCGGCACGCAGTTCATATCTGCTAGTTATGATCGCTACATGAAGCTGTGGGACACGGAGACGGGAAAGTGCCTGAACAAGTTCACAACCGGTAAGACACCTCACGTTGTGCGCATCAACCCCAGCACGCCCCACGAGTTCCTAGCAGGTATGAGCGACAAGAAGATTATGCAATACGACACAAGGAGCGGCGAGATGGTACAGGAATACGATCACCATCTTGGGCCCGTCAACACTATTACCTTCTGCGACGAAAACCGTCGCTTCATCACCACATCCGACGACAAGTCACTCCGCGCATGGGAATACGGCATTCCCGTGCCCATCAAGTTCATTGCCGAACCGTACATGTTTGCCATGGTCCGCTCGTCCCCACACCCATCGGGCAAATATGTCGCGTTCCAGTCGTCCGACAACCAGATCACGGTGTACAGCTCTACCGACCGCTTTCGGCAAAATCGGAAAAAGAGTTATAGAGGACATAATGTGGCTGGGTATGCGCCTGACGTTGCGATTAGTCCCGATGGTCAATTCATCAGTTCGGGTGATAGCGGAGGTTTCTTGTGTTTCTGGGACTGGAAGACTTGTAAAATGTATCATAAGATTCCGGCAAGTGATGCGCCTGTGTTGGCGGTGCAGTGGCATCCTAGAGAGACATCAAAAGTGATTGCCGGAGATCTGAACGGTGCATTGAAATTGTACGATTAAGGCTTGGGGGATACTCTGGGAGATTTCAAAGGGCAATTAGCGATACCCAATGCATTCGATATCAAACTAGACCAAACCAATGGCTGTGTTTTGCCACTCGGTCCCTGCGCCCTCTGAACCAGTTCAGTGATGCATGGATGCCGTACTTGAGCCCCCCAGCAGTTCACCACTTCTGCGTTGGCAATGGTTTGCGCGCATGCGCATGGCACAGCCGCGCGCTCATCGCCCACTCATGTCTTGAATGAGTCGAGCATGATCCAAATGGCGCTCAGCCTCGCGGCAGCCTTCCAAGGTTGGTTCTCAACTCCCTCCGCTCGCATGCACCACCCCCCACCATGAATCAGCAGCCTCTCCACTGCGCCTTCCCTCATTTCCAAACCCCAGCCCTTTGCCTTTTCTTCATTCACCTTGTTTATCACAGAAAGCTTCGTATGTCATCGGGTTCTGCCGATACGTTATCTCATGGCAACCGTTTGCAATGCTGCTTTCAGGCACCTGCTTTCTCAGCCCCACACCTTTCCTCTTCTGGCGAACCGGTGACCTTGAGCCTTCACCAGCCGTCTTTTTCTGCATTTTCCCTTTTCATCATTGACGCCTGCATCTGGGCGTTCGTCACTAGATAGCGCGTCTCCCACAATTCCTGCTGCCTTCCCATAGGCTGCCATCAATTGTGCCTTGCAGATGGACGGCTGTTGCGCTACGAACTAAGCCCACCTGCGCGAGGAACCAGTCATCGCCAGTCTAGGCCGTGCGCGGCTCTGTTGAACTGGTATCTTTAGGGAACTGCACACACCGAGGATGACTCCTTCACCCAAGATCGGGGTAGGCCGATAGTCCAACCTAGTCGCTGATTCGCTGCTTGACGCGTCCTGGCCTTGGGGCCGGTCCTGGGGAACATAGCCACCCGTGTGAATCATCGCAATCGTGCGCCGGTCGCTGCCCAGCTATCCAGGCAGCGGCATAGCAAGGGCGCAGGAGGGCTCTTGTGGGCAAAACAGTCAACTGCGCAAATGTGTCAGTCTGAAGATGGCGGCCTCAGGTAATGTCTGCCTGGAAATAAATACTCGTCCAGAGAAGAGTCTGTTACTTTTCTTTCTTTCCATCATCAATCAATCAATCAACCTACAGTCATATATCTTGTCTTGCAAAGACTCATTACTGTTCTCGTGCTCCATCTACGGTCAACCCGGCTTCCATACCATCGAAACACAGCACATCATACGCCTGTTACGTCTCGCATACAACCCAAACCAGCTTCATCGCCGCCAACCAACATCTACGGCACGGTCGATCTAAGAGGCTACGAATCAACACTGGAATCTAAACGCCAAACACAACCTCGCCGCCAACTAGCCATGTCTTCCAACGGATCCTACAGTGGCTACTATGCCCAGAACAAGGGTGCCTACACATCCCGTCCTACGACATCTTCCACAAGTATGTTGCCTACATCCACCTCTCACTGGCCGAACATTGTTCTAACATACAGCAGGCTACTCTGCTACATCATCAAGGAGCCTCAACACAAACTCCGGCACCTCATCACGGGGCAAATGCTTCAGCCAACCGCCTGTCGTCCACAACGGCGGTGGTAAACTAAACGACCCCAACACATCTACCTCGGTGCAGAACAGTGGCTACTACCGCTAGATGACTTTGTTGTTTTCTTGAGGGTGGCGCGGGCTTTCGTACTTGAATCTTTATGGGCTGCATGGGAAGGCATCTAGGCCGGCGTTTGTATTTTCTGGACGACTAAGGACATGGGTCAGGTTTCGGTGTTTTTCTTTTGGTTTCTTTCTAAAGGGCTGGCGTTTATCTGGAATGGGTTACCCCTGGGTTGGCATGACTGATCGGGTTGTGTTGGGTTGGGTCGAGGTCCTTTTTTGAGGTTGTATCTCCCCTGATTACTTTCGTGGGGGTTTCTTCATGCTGTGGCACTTGTATATTAGAGTATATTAGATAGTTCCCCTAGCATAAACATATGCATTGTTATCTGGAAATGTACTGTTCTCTGCGTTCGTGAGTGAACACTAGGATGTACATGTCATGTACTTACCTCGATCAATCCCACGTGACCATCTCGCCGGAACCCGAAACATCTTGACCGAAATAACCTTGAACTGTTCATTCATTCATTTTTCGCACAAGTCAACTATAGTTCATGTACGCAGATAGCCTAGTATATGTATATAGCTTTCCCCAATCCCCAACCTCCCTCTCCTTACAGCACCAATCACAGGCCTCGAGTGACATGACATACTACCCGCTCGCTTAACACCTCTCCCCGGCTGCGCTTTCCCCCATTCATCACCGACAACGCCTGGGCCTTGGATACCGGTAGCAGCAACGCAACGTGCCGGTTCTCCAGGACTAGCTCCCAGCACCGCATTTTGGCCTGAGCGAAGAAAGCCACTGGATGGCGCGATGCGTGGGTGGGATGATTGGATGGCGGGGTGTCTTGGTAACCGGTCTTGGCTTACGCGGTTGGAACGATGTTCATTTGTGCCATTGTTAAGAGTCTGACTTGTTTCACTAAACTTTGGCCTCGTCGACTTGGAGCTTTGGCTGTAATCCATTTCGCAAGTAAGGTGAAAGTGCAAGAGTGAAGGATTTATTGAAGACTCCTCGTACTCTCACTCAAGCCATTGTTACCGTCGCAAGCATCGTATCTACATATCCTATTACTTTCTATCTATTTCAAGCACACATACGCCTTCTCAGGCCAGCATCAATCGGAGCATCCACCCACCTACCGACTTGTCAACAATGACCATCCACTCCCTTATAAGCTCCCTCCGCCACCGCCTCAACAACCCCACCACTGCTGCCCACTCGGAAACAGAAAAGGAAACCCTGCAAGCACGGTTTTGCGATGTTTTTATTAGAATGTGGGATTTGGGGTTTACTTCGTTTGGGGGGCCGCCGGTGCACTTTCAAATCTTGCATCGGAGGTTTGTGGAGGGGAAAGGGAGTTGGGGGAGTGGCGGTAGTGAGAGGGGAGAGAATGGGGAGGGAGTAGGAGAAGGAGAGGGGAGGAAGTGGGTTGATGAACAGACTGTGAGTATTTGGCACTTCCTGCTTACATCCACCTTTTCTGCTAGGATTGGAAGAAGAGGTGGATAGATGATTACAACACAAATCCTCAACCAACAAACTAGACCAAGAAGCTAACACCCAACAGTACCAAGAACTCTTCGCCCTAAATCAAGCCCTCCCTGGCCCTGCTAGCACAAAAATGTGCTTCTGCATCGCCCTCCTACACGCCGGCATCTTCCCTGCAACCCTCGCATTCACCCTCTGGTCCCTACCCGGCGCCCTCACAATGTTCGGTCTCGCCCTCGGCGTACACAACCTGCCGTCACGCCTCCCCGCCATCGTGTACGCGCTGCTATCCGGTCTCAACGCCAGTACAGTAGGTATTGTGGCGCTAGCGGCTGTACAATTGGCGGAGAAGGCGTCCAAGATTCGGTTGACGAGGGGACTGGTCGTGTTTAATGAGTCTGCTGAGTTGCGTTATAATGCGCTTTGGTATTTCCCTGTGTTAGTCGCAATTGGGGTGTTAGTGACGGTTGCGGAGGATCTGTGGGAGGGACAATGGGTGAGGATGGGGAGGGAGAGGTGGGGGAAGAAGAGGGGTGGTGCTGGGAGGGAGGAGGAAGAGGTCGGCGGTGGGGGTGGGAGTGTGGTGCAGAGTATCCCGATGCAGATTATGAGACCGGAGGCTGCGGCTGTTAAGAGGAGGACCCAAGCGGGTGTTTCGAATATGGAGTCTGAAAGAGAGGATACTACTGCTGTTGCTGCTACGCCTGCGAGAACGACACAAACTGTTAATCGTGTCCACGCGAGTAACGAACCTACGATATCACCCGTACCGGATACGACGACGCATAATATATCCGTTAAACTCGGATTGTCACTCATAGCAGGTTTCTTCACCTCCTTTATCATCATCATGGTCATCAGAGCTACGCTCACAAACACCCGTCCTTTCAACCTCTTCTCAAACATGTACGTCCATACCCTTCCCCTTCCCTTATCCTCACCACTGACACACCACCAGGTATCTAGCCGGTACCATAATCTTCGGCGGCGGCCCAGCTCGTCATCCCCCTCCTACGAAGCTACGTCGTTGACCCCGGGTGGGTCTCGCCCCGCGACTTCCTCCTCGGCCTCGCCATCATCCAAGCGATGCCCGGTCCCAACTTCAACTTCGCCGTCTACCTAGGCGCTCTAGCCGTCTCCTCCACTTCGACGCCGACCATCATCGGCGCTATACTGGGCTTCATCGGTATCTTCTTCCCGGGCATGGTGCTCGCAGTTGGCGTGCAATCTGTGTGGCAAGTCATGCGGACCAAGAGGTGGGTGTTGAGTTTACTAAGAGGTATCAATGCTACGGCCGTGGGATTGGTTTTTACGGCTGTTTACCGGTTGTGGGAAATTGGGTATTTGATGCCGGAGAGTAGTGATGGAAAGAGTTTGGCCAGTGAGCCGTGGTGGGTTGTCGTGGCTGCCGTGGCATATGCCGAGACGGCTTGGTTTGGGGTTCCGCCTGCGGCGGCGATTCTTATTGGGGCTGTGCTTGGGTTGGCGTGGTATGGGGCTGTGGGGCGTTAGATAGAGTGCAGTGTGGTCAGATGAATGTGAGGCTTTGTTCGTCTCTGGTACTGGGTTTGGTGTAGAGTTTGGTGAGTTTGTATCTATTTGTTCAGTTTGATTAAGTCTAGGATTGGTATGTACTAATAACACTACTGGGTCGTATGTTGAGTAATATGCTATGTTCCCCAAGCGGTATCAAGTTGGCTACTTTTTTCGGGGGTCATCGAAGTGAATAATAGATCAACTAAGCAATAAACAGGATAGACAGTCCGTCGGGCTCCAAGAACATCAGTTACTGGCACATCGTGGCACCGCGATTTGGCCTTGACGATCGTGAATCTGATTGAGATCTCGGAGACTGACATGTAAGATAGACGCACGGTGCTCCGGCGTGTATTCGGCGTATCGTATCACTCGGAGCGAAAGAGGGGAAGGAGGGAAAGGGGCCGCAAATCTGGACTTGTCTTAGGAGATCATGTAAGCTCTGACTATGTAGGGTAATTACTCGAGCTGATGGAGTACCAAATTCCGCAACGATTTCCGATGCTCGAACAGGATCTGCGCGATACTGGCAAGTTGGTTCGACTGCGCTCAAGATCACGAAGGCACAGTCAGCTTTGCACGGCCTGAGCCAAACACGTACCAGTACAGTACATATCAGCAAGATGTATTTGCTTCGGCGCATCTCAGTGCTCGGTGGTTAACTATATCCAGGTTCCCGTCGGTCTCGTAATGGACAGAATAGTAAGATACGTAGCGTCCGAGTATGGCCGAGTGTTGAAGGTAAAAGGCGTCTGACTCCTTCGTGCTCCACGCCGTTCAATCTGCTTGGAATACTCTCGTAACAGCATCCATCACATTCTATCAATCACTACGTCTTCACCTCCTATTTAAACAAAAAATGCGTATTCTATTCGTCTTCATCGCTCTTGCTACCACCATGATTGGCTAGCCTGTAGTATCTGTGTAGGCGGATGTAGGGGATCAGGGAGTTTCGAGTATGTCTCCTAAACAGATATGTTTTGCCTAATCTTAGTTGTTAACTAACTTTTGTCTATAGCTGTGGTAAGTTTTGCTCTATGCTGTATGGCATCAAATGCTTCATCAGCTTTTCTCGCGTTTTTCGCACATGGTTCATAGAACTAATGTTTGCTCCTATGTGTAGCGCACCAATGTCCTCAAAAATATGAGTGCGATTCGAATTGCAGATAAGCAAATTAAGGGCATGATGGCTGGAGTTGATACGGTCAGCTCGAAGAGTCAGCTAAACGGTGGGAACCGGGGTGCGGTCTGGTGTACTACATCATCAAGCGAACTCAAAGATATCAATATACACCAAGAACCAAACATTGAAACTTGAACTCTACCAGAGTGCATGTGTTTTGTGGAGTGTTCTTTGAATGAGGGCGACGTTGCCTACGACGCTCGACTGAGTGCTCTGCTTGACGTGTTCACATTTTCCATTTTTGTAAACCCATGTAGCAGCCTTTGTGTTAGTAAATTATGGCATTTTACACCGTGATATTGACGGAAAAACATAGATCGGCTGCGCATAACGAAGACTGCATAGAGGGTGTGTCAAAACCCCTTCACCAACAGCTTGGCTCTAGACGTACTAATCAGGTAACTTGAGGTAGAACCTGCTTCTTACCAATTGTAGACCATATTGTAAAGAGGTTCATAATTGTAGCAACCAAGACTAGTATTTTTGAACGAATCCAAATAATCACAACGACGCTTTGATTTCGCCTTCGCAAGCCTACTCACTTTCTATCGTCATCTTCGTAGGCGGTCTGAACACTGATTACCATATCGTCTAGCTGCAATCTACAAACGATGGAGTGCGCAAACTACCACTGTCATGTTTTAACGGGTTTCGACTAGAGGTTGTAGGGTTGTGATAAGGTCCACTACCCCACCTGGGCACATAGAACCCCATACGTCATTTTCGACTTTCCCCGTCGGGAATGGTAAACGAACCCCTCATTCCCGCTTTGGACCCATCTACTAACGCGACATAGGCATTTCGATTGCCGAGCTATCTACCAGTTGTATGGCTATAAGTATCGGCCTGGGAACTACAGCTTTCCAAAATTGCGTAAACAGCTCATCCAACTGCAACGTGTTCGCCTTCTGGAAACGCGAACAAGCAAAACATCATGCCTTCCATCACTGAAATCGTCAAAGGACATCAACCGGATCTTACTTCATATGAAGAGCTTTGTGAGGATGACGCTATTTTAAATGTAAAGTAAACTACAGACTAACATGATATCAAGACAAGTGGTTCCACACGCATCCCGAACTATCATTCCAGGAAAAGAACACGGCAGAAGCTATTGTCAAGCATCTCGAAACGTTCAAAGTCTATACCATTCATCCCTCCATTGGCGGCCATGGCGTCGCAGCCAGCTTCTCCAACGGACCCGGGAAAACGGTGCTTCTACGCGCAGACATTGATGCTCTACCCGTAGAAGAACAGACCGGTTTAGTATATGCCAGCACAGTGCGCATGAAAGATTTGGACGGCATTGAGAAGCCCGTCATGCATGCTTGTGGACACGACATGCACATTACAGCATTACTTGCAGCAGCCGAGTGTCTAGTAAAGTGCAAGGACCAATGGAGCGGCGAGCTAATCTTGGTATTCCAGCCCGCGGAAGAAAGAGCAGGTGGTGCGCAAAACATGGTAGACGACGGCTTATACAAGTTGGTTAAGGAACCAGATGTCGTTATTGGAGCGCATGTGATGCCGGAACGAGCTGGAGTAATAGGCACAAAATATGGGTTGATCGCCAGTTCGGCAGATCGATTCCAGTGCGTAAAACCCCATTTTTACTCCCACCCACGTGCACTCTCACATGTCCTGACCAAATAAACCCTTCAACAGACTCCGTATCCTAGGCCGACAAGCCCACGCCTCTACACCGCACCGCGGCATCGACCCCATCCTGCAAGCCGCCTCAACAATAATGCGTCTCCAATCCATCGTTTCCCGCGAAGTCGATCCCCTCGACTTCGCCGTCGTAACCGTCTCTGCCTTCCATGCCGGTGACGCCGAAAACATCATCCCGAGCGAAGCCAACCTAAAAATCGATGTCCGCGCCGCTCTCCCTTCAACCCGCGAGCGCGTCCTCGCCAGCGTCAAGCGCATCATCGCCTCCGAAGCCGACGCCTCAAACAACCCTAATGTACCTACTCTAACACCTACAACGCAGTTTCCCCTCTTATTCAACGATGCGGCTGTCACGGCGCGGTTGGAGGAAACGTTTTCCCAGCATTTCACCCCTGGGAAGCAGGGGTATCAGAATGATATTGCGAGATTGCAGGGAAGTGAAGATTTTGGAATTTTGGCGACGGCGATTGGGAAACCGAGTTGTTTCTTTTTGTATGGGGGGACAGAGCAGGGCGTTTGGGATAGGGCAGAGAGGGAGGGCAGGTTGAGTGAGGATGTGCCTGGGAATCATAGTCCGTTTTTTGCGCCCGTGGTGCAGCCTACGTTGACAGTGGGGATGGAGGGGTATGTGGTCGCTGCGTTGACGTATTTGGCGAAAGAAGGGTAGGGATTAGGTGATGTGATGGTTACTGCTTGTTGGATTTGAGGTATGTATGAAATGATGTATTTTACAGTTACGGATAAAGAACCGTAATAAATGAATGTAGAGAATAAAAGAAACTACGTAGCTTTTGTGCAATGCGTTCCTGAAATCATAAAGTCGTGAATATCTTTCCACAATTACTCCTCCATGCCACTTTCATCGTCCACGTCCTCAACTCATCACAGCCCAACATCCCCCTTCGTAATATTAACTATGCGCAAATTCCCCCGTCCATCCCACGCCCATTTCTCATCGTCCTCACATGGCGGCGGATACCAATACCTCAACGGCGTCTGTCTCGTCGGCAAATGTCCAACATACGGATCAAACCCTGGCTCCACAGCTTGCTGAGCCACGTACTCTGCAACTACGGAACTAGTGTGATTCGCACCCGCATCACCGTCTTTTGCAGCGGTATATAAAGCCGGGCCAGTGGATAGGTCGTCTTCTTCGTCACTATCCGGGAGTATGGGCTGTGGTACTAATCGTGGGGCCTCTGTGGTAGGCAATTCCCAGGCTTCCATACGACGCGGTTGGGGAGGGGGTGGATGCTGTGATAGGGGTCCGGCGTGTGTGGTGGATGGTTGCATCTGTGTTGTTGGGGAGCGCGGTAAGGGACGTATTTCAGTGAGTTTTCTTGTGCTGCGTACGAAGAGGGCGGTCATTATGGCCCAGAGTATGCTAAACAAGATAACATCAGTAATGCAAACAAAGCCATATACTAACTTTTAGGAAAGATTACTCACACTTGAAAAGTAGCCAAGATTGCTCCTGCGATCAAAGCACCAGTGTACGTCTTCACAGCCGTGGTACCCCCGTTTTGCAGCACATGAAAACCCCTTCCTCCTGCTCCGACACCAGGACAATGCATCGAGTATTCCAGCACAGTCAATTCGCTGCATTTGGATCTCTGCCATTGATGCGCTCTCGTGGCCACAAACCCCAGGTTTACAAGCCAGAAGAACATAAAGGACCACTGTAGTCCGATTTGGATGTTAAAGCTGTAGCAATTTCGGAAAAAACGCATGCATGCGATGGAATATGCGCAGACGAAGATAGTGGAGATGGCCTGAGAAAATTTGAATTAGCAGCGGAAAATGATGTTGTATGTGGATTGATGGGCAGATGGTATGAGTGGGTAGATGAGGAGGTACATACTAGAATGAGCGAATAGACCATTGCGAGATCGCCGGAGAAGTGGATGGCGTAGCCGTCTAGACAGAGAATTATCAAAGCTAGGAGTATGCGCACGGCATGCAGTAGTATAGCGACAGTATGTTTTGACAAGAGCGGTCGAGAGGACTCTCCATCCTGACTCTGAGGCATGCCGTTGGACGATATTGAAGGAAACCTGTTCTCCATTGTGCACTTATTATTCGTCGGAAAAGAGAATAAAGACGCCCACAAGCAGCGAGTGAATCGTAGTTGACTTTGCAAGTGGCAGAGAACAAATACATACGGGATTCTCTGGTAGACTTCTTGCAATCTCGGGCCCGTTGACGGTCACTCAAATAGTGTCTCAGACAGTTTGCTTCTGGCCCACTCGGGCGACCTGCTCTGATTGGGTCTACGACTGAGAGGAGTTGTAAGACAGCTGAATTCCAGTCTCGGGGGTTTCAGTACGCGAGAAATGGGTATTTGCCCCTGGTATGTTTTGGCCTTGTTTCCTCAGTCTCGTGGGGAGGGGTTATCAAATTCTGAGATGGCGCTAATGACAACGCAAATACCTCATATTCTTCCGGGTGATTTCTGGTCCCTGGAAGTTGCGAGAAAGGTCAGCAAGCTTGGTGTCATTGGTGCTTTGCTTGGACACGTTAATTTCCGGTTAGGTTTTTTTGCGTGCTGTAGTATCAAGTCGCGTGAAAGCCGGGCAAACGAACACCCCCCTCATTTTCTATTGCGGGATACAACGGATCAAGCGAATGCCATTTCCACCTGGCACGGCTCTCAAATACTCCGGTCGCCAAGGGCTGAGAATTTCGGCAACAAACTGCTAGAATGCCAATTTGTCAGGAGACGGATACATCCGCCTGAGGCTGCTGTGAGGCTTTTTGGACCTTCTCGTAGCCGGATTGGCGAGTACGCCTCCAGCGCCATTGTTCGTAGTGACAGCGTCCCGACATGATGCGATTTGAGTATGACTATGTTCGAGTCTGACGTTAAGGTAGATTACGCCAAGGGATAGAAAGGTGGTTAAGGCGGATAAGCCTCGATAGCCCGACGATCTTGGGGCTTAATTGGACGGATGCCAAAGGTTACCCGTTACTCTAGTGTAGCATATCGTTCGTTCTAGGAAGGATATCACTACTACTGTCGCAGATAAGCGACGCTGTGAAAGCGGGGTTGGAAGGGTCTGGTGTTGGAAGCGCTAAGCGTGGAGCACCACTCCAGGCTAACACTGGAAGCATAGAGGTTCACACTTGCCATGCGCGTCAAATGTCCGTGAGCAATGTAACGTAGATGCTTGCTACCTTTGGTTTAGAAGTTGAGATATGTAAGCACGTCGATCATAAGAGCCTGGATTCAGAATACAACACTAAAGTGACACAAAACACAAAGCAGAACAGCGAAAGTAATTACCAAGATAACTATGTATTGACCACAAGAACAAACTGCATAGACGTCGGCTGCCTCGCTATCTCAGTGTCAAGCAAGTCCAATAGTAATAATATAACACTCCCCCTATCCAAAAGAAACATCCCAAACACCCCGTTTATCTATTTCCAACTTTCCAGTGTCGAAAAATTCCAGTATCCCAAAACGGAACGACCCGCCACTAACACGTCGGTACTTCTTGTTCCTGTTGATAAAGATGTAACAAAGACAACGATGCGAATCCTTGCGATGCACACAATCTTCTGACAAAAGCTGCCTTTCTTTGTTAGGAACAAGACTACAACAGCAAGACAGCAGCACGTTGACGTTGGTCATACTATGACTCTGTCATGTCCTCGTTGTCTTTTTCAAGCTGCCGCTCGAGACTTCCCATGAGGTCTGGTTCTGAAGTTGGGGCTGAGTGCATGACCATTTCTGAATCGACGGGTTCAGGTATGGACTCTGGTGCAGGCTGAGGTGCAGGCTCTTGTACAGGGGCAGGTTCAGGCTCGGGTGCGGGTTCAGGTGCTGGTGCTGGTGCAGCTTCAGGTGCAGACTCGGGCTCAGTCTTAGGTTTAGGCTGGGGTGCGACGACTGGTTCCGGTACAGCCTCCTTTTCTACAGTGGGAGCTACTGTCGGCGCTGGTAGTTCACTCAGGGCTTCTTCGGGAACGACGGCGTCTGTGGTAGCGACAGGAGTGGGAATCTGATTGAGCGAATTCTGGGGGCTATGTGATGTCGAAGATAGCGGTAGATCAGGTGAGCTAGAAGGATCACGCTCTTCAGTTTGCTGCATCGTCTGAGATGAACCAGTCACGACCACAGTTTTTTCGGCCCTCGCGGTCTCTGGTTTATCTTGCGAGGGCGCGCTGGTAGTCGCTGGTGCTTGGGTTGGCGCCTTGATAACTTCTGCTGGAGTTGTCTCCGGTAGAGTGGTAGTTTCCATAGTTGGTGCACTGGTTGGTGCTACCGAAGAAATCAGAGGCGTCGCGGGGGTGGAGGTGCGCTCCATATCTTGATCTTCATCTTCTGAGCCCTCTTCGCCGGAACCCTCTTCTTCCTCGCCGCCAGCATCTCCCATTGGCGTATCTCCACCATCTGATGGTGCTACGGAACCATCTTCTCGTTTGACATTTGGTACTCCAAGCATATCGCCACTGGCATTGGATACAGGCGTTCCCTGCTCTGTAGCTCCTTCGGCAAATATGACCCTCTTTCTACCTCTGCCTGGACCTCCGCGCTTGTTCTTCTTCTTAGGTGGTGGTGGGCGCCGTCTAGGCGGAGTTTGCTGCATGATATCATTGGCAACGATAACGCCCTCTGCATTCACTACACCAACGCCCTCGACAATCGTTCCTGGTACGGCAGTAGCTGGTGCAACCTCAAGGGCAGCGTCCGTGGGTTGAACTTCACCCTCTACCACCTGACCTTCTGGGACGAGGACCTTGTAGACTGATACATTGCCTTCTGCATCCAACTTTTTCACTTTCGTTTCCCGTAGAACAGGTTGGGCCACTACCTGGGTGGGCTGAACATAGGGCGATGGTAGTCCCTTCCTTCTCTTGGCAAGATATTCTGGCTCTGACACTTCTAGATGCCGTGGTACTTTGACATACTTCTTGATCGTGAAACCAGTTCGTATCTCTTTACTCTCCTCCTCTTCATCTTTCATTTCGTTGTCATCTTCCGGAGGTGCTGGTGGCTTATATACCCTCCCGGATCGTGCTGCTCGTAGTATTTGTTGAGAATGTTCAGGTAACATGTGGGAGTCCCGGGGCATGGGTAGTTCGGGCCAGGCATCCTTATCCAATGGTTTGGCATCTACGGAATGTGGTTCAATAGTGATTTCAGCCTCCCGATATTGAGTAATGGGGAGTCCTTCTAGCACATTGTGCTCTATTTGACCGCGCCCTGATCTGTTGGAACGATCCCTGTTCCGGAACTAGTCACATGATGTTAGCTTGGAGATGTCTAGTATAATTCGCGATAAAGGTGGCAGTCGATTGAGATGCGCGATCAAGAACATGAACAAGGATAAGGCTGAGGCTTTGCATGTGAGGGTGCGACTACCGCATTGAGCCCTTTTCGCCTTGTACGCTCACACCCAGGTCTCCATGCATCGTCTTCCATCAATTCAAACAAAAGGCCAAACGGTATGGTTCCTCCGAGATGCTGGCGAACAGAAGGACCGGCCCAGAATATACAATGGCGTATCGATAATGCGATACGCGCAATAACAATAGCCCTAATGCGCGTGGGAATGCAAATGGGTGTCGCAAACGCTCATCTACGATGCATGACAAACAGGAAGCGAGATGACGTACCGGAGCCATGGTGCTGTGTGGCTGCCTCGAGGAGCAGGCGGTGAAAGCGAGTATTGATGTGAATGCAATGCGGCGGGAAGTCGCGATGCGTGAAGGCAGAGCGCGTCGGCCGCGTTTGGGAAGGCGCAACCGTGCACGACCATACCGGATTGGGCGGGGCTCTGGTCGTGCGCTAGAACCTTGGTTGCAGAACATGCCTAGTACTGCCAAGCTTGTGAGGGAATCTGTGTGGCTGTAGATGCTTACATGGTCAATTTCTTGGGATTGATTTTGTTGCGTATTAATCAAGCTTCATAGATGTTAAGTAGGACAGCTAGGGCATGATTCGAGTTCATATGAGCGTCGAAGATCCAGGGCACAAGCATTCATATCCTGGCATCAAGGACTGCGGTCACTTGTAAAGACTAGGAAAAGGCAGGGATGCTAATTGTGTAAAGTGCTGATATACACAATCCGAGTTGGAGATATACAGCTAATCTTGTCACTCCATGTCGTAGAGCTGAATGGCAGGCCCAATATAGTACACTAGAGTCGCACTCTATATCGTCTCATCGTCTAAGGAGGTTCGACTGTTTTTCTGCTACAGATACGCAACGTCCGTCCTTTTGCTGGGAAAGCCAAATCTTGGAAAATTTCTGGTCCCATAGTTGCCACATCAGCTGTTGTGCTATTCTCAATCCCAGCCCTGATCCTTTACTCTGACAATGTCGTTGTGGTCGCCCTTCTGCTTGCCTCCCTTCCCACCTTCGACGACTAATCGGTCGATTTGGTAGAACTGACTTATGACGGTTTGCCTCTGTGAGCCGCGTTAGTTACTTGTTCCAACGTTCTCAGCGACTCGCTTTGCTATCCTCTCCTCTCTGCAAACCAGACCGATCTCATTTTCTTTTCTTCTGGTCCTTTCCCGGCACTTCCATCGACCCTCACTCAGCCATGCCCGGCTCCAACGTACCCCCCGGAATTCACATACCTTCAACATCTGCAGCTCGCTCAGCCCTTTTTGTACCATCTCCTGTACCTGCCTCTCGTCGTTTATGCTCTTGCTGTCCCGGAAAGCGTCGCGCGTTCTCCGTTTGGCGTATTCGCGAAAATTGTAAGCGGCGAACTGGTTACTCTGGCGCAGAAGGGAGCGGTACTGGAAGAATGGTCAACCTATGAATTCCTTGAAGCAGGCCAACATTTCATGGCCTTGCGCACTACATGCGAACATCCGATCGCAATAGGGTGGCGGCTTATCCAGGTCGTGTGCGGTGCATCCGACCCGGCAATATGTTTAGTTGATGAAAAGTAATACGTACAAGCGACCTGACTTGATAGGGCATGTCGCCTTTTGTTGCTTGTGCTAATGACATATTGTGCAGTGTCGAGTGCAGTGTGTGAATGTTGCGCCTGCAAATAAAAGCGGCTGGTTAGGTCATAGGCGTTTGGACTCGTCGGAGGCAAGCTCCAAAAGTCCGAGCTGTCATAGAGATCGCCGGGGCTGGCCTACCCCACACCTGGGTACAGAACGTAATGTGAAATGTATGGCAAATTCAAATAGTGCATTTACATAGGCATGGTTTCATGCTTCTCGAGCCAATTATGATTTGACTCTGAATTGTTGTACAGAAAGGTTTCCGTCATGGTCGCCGTATGACCTCATCCTTCTCCCCAGCTTCTGTGGTACCAGCAGTGGGTATACACGTCTGAAAAGCCCCCAAAACGCCTCCCAATGCAAATAAAACAGGTCCAGACGCGCGCCGCCTCCCGATGCTAACCGGTCAGCTGATACTGTGTTAAGTGTTCACGTCTTTGTAGAACCTTTTGAGCTCGCAAAAGCTCATCTTTTGTCGGCTTTATTTTGTAGCACAAAAACTTCAACGTAGAAACCAGAGAATATTGCAAACAAGACAACGCTGTACAATCGCCGTGAATTTGAAAATAAAAGCAAAACTTACTTTTGGTTAAGTCAGCTTCACTGACCGTGCTTTTCCCGGATCATGCGAACCTGCTCCTGGATAGTAACGCTCTGCATCTGCGACATACGAGCAGCGTCCTTGGCAGGATCTGGCTGCCCGCTGTACGACAATGCTGCCTTCTTCCTGCGAGCTTCTTCCTCCGCAGATATCGGCAACCCAGTAGCGCCGTCGTAAATATCCTCACGTTGGCTGGCAAAGCGCTTAAGGTTGTTCGCAACGTCGGCCGTGTTGATCGTGGTCGCGTACCGAGCTTCGGACTTCTCACGCTGTTCCTTCCAGCGCGGATCAAGTAATTCGACTGAGATACTGAGTTAGCATACACTGCTCTTGAACGGGCACAGGGGAAGGACTTACTGCGGATGTGCTCATCCATCTCGTTGGAAGGTATTTGCTGCTTGCAGTTAGGGCACACGGCCATTAAACTGTTTGCCTTCTTTGCGGCAGCTCGGGGAACATAGTCTGTAACAATGCGACCAGGCGCTCCTCGGGCAGCGGCTTGGGCGCGTGCACGCTGCTCGCTCTCTGCTTGACGGTCTCGCGCCAGACGAGCCTGTTCTTCCTCGCGCGATATCTGCGTGGGCGTGCGGTAGTCGGGCATGGGGGGAGGCGCGTAGGATGGCATGCCATACGCCGGCTGAACGGGCGGCGCCATCGGGGCATAGTTGGGCGCCATCGGGGGCGGCACATGCTGTTGAGTGGCGTTGTAGTAGGGGACATCGTCGGGCATGGCTTCCTCGAGACGCCTCGTCGACAGCGAAATGGCGGCTTTCTGCTCTAGGGACTGGGATTGCAAATCGTTTAGCTGCGCAGGGGGAGGAAGTTGCGCTTCATCGTCAGCCTCATCAAAGAGCACAGTCGCAATGACGCTGAAGTCGTGCCAGTCGATGGTCGCATACTCCTGCTTCTCGGCTTCAACCTTCTTTTCTTCCTTCTCCTTCTGTGCGGTTACGTACTTGACGTACTCGGCGCGCCCCTTTGCGCGATCTAGAATATGGAATCGGTTCTTGATGTTGTGCTGCAGCTCCTCCATACGTGCGTTGACAGTGGCTTCTTCCTCAAGTAGGATCTTGTATTGTTCAACGAGCGATCGGAAGTACTGAAAGAAGCTGTGGTTTGGTCGGAGAAACTCAAACTGATAGTTTCCGGACTCGCGGTTTCGCAGCTCCTTCAACCAGTTCTCACCCACTCGCGCCGTATACATGGCCGTAAGCTTAAGCACTTCCAGATCCTTAGCACTAATGTTGGGCATACGCGCGGAGAATCGGAATTTGGGCGGCTCTGGGGGACCTTTGGGCTTATTGTCGACGACGCGGCCAGCGTTCTGGTGGGCGGATCGTCCATGGCCTTCCCTTAGTTGCTGAAGATACCACAGAAAGTAAGGATTGTACGGATCATCGTCACCAACAAAGGCGAACTTGAGCTTGTTCGCAGTGTCGGCTTCGATTCGCTGTTTCATGGCTACGAGGTGTTGTTCACCACGGCGAGCGATGAACTCGGCCGTCTTGGCTACGGCTTCGCGAACATTGAGCGGGGGGATGACGATATCCGCAGGCGGTTTCACGTCAAGTTCTACGATACCCGAAGCAGCACCGTCTCCGTTAGGGTTGGCCATGGCGGGTGGTATGTGTTGCGTCGTGATGAGCTGTTTGCGAGTTGCAGTCGAGGTGGAGGCAATAGCAGGCTGGGCAGTTACGCGACGCAGTAGTACCGTTCGCGAGAAGTGAAATTCCGTGACGCGATACGTACCAGCAAGTTGCGCGTATGGCGCGTAGAGAAACTGCGGAGTTCGGGTAGCAGCAACTAACTAGGTAAGTTGGTGATGCGGGAGCGTCGCAAAGTTCCAGAAAGTTAGACCGGGGGGGGGGTTCAGTAATTCCGCGCCGGGCTAGCCACGGCTTTGCCACAGTTCAGCCACACTTGCAGTCCTGAAGCACTCGGCGGAATACACATGCCAGACGGCTGTCGGTGTGTCAGCCCGGTCATCAATGGCAAAGGCGATTTCCTATCCTCGTCAGACCTAACCCAGACTCCAGGTCCGGATTGGGTGAAGTCGAGCTGCATTCGTGCCTCGTACCTCGACCTATTTTGAGCCTTCTCGTTCCCAGTTCGGCAAGGCCCCGTAGTAAGGAACAGCTTGCAACAAGGGTCAATTGGTACGGAACACCCCCCTGGCTTAAACCATCACGACTACAATTGCGCCCACCTGTCCCCTCATCTCCATGACACCTTCTTCGTACTTTCATTAATCTCTCTTGTTCTCCATTGCAAGGCCGCGAGTGCGATTGCCTGTGAACTACCAATTTAGTTTTTCCTAACGCTTCCAACTTCTGGTCCGTCTCCGCCCACCGGCTGGTCGAACCACGCATCCTCCGTAACCGCCATCATGGCGAGCGTAGCGTCACCCAACACCTACCTGGGCGAGAAGACGTCGTCTCGTCGCTCAGGCAGATCAAAATCACGCTCCCCAGCACCAAATGGCCGGAAGCAGCAAAAGTCACAACAGAAGGTTCAAGGCTACACCTCCGAGGGAGTGCAGGATCATGACATCCTCAATCTCCCAAGCTCGGATTGGTCATTGCTGGCCATGTTGACCGTTGTAGCTACCGCTGTGCGGCTTTTCAGGATTCAACAGCCGACCAGTGTTGTATTCGACGAAGTCCAGTAAGTGGAGTGATTCTAGCGCATTTGCCCAATGGAAAAGGGCTGACACGAAATTCTCAGCTTCGGTGGTTTTGCGTCCAAATACATCAAGGGCAGGTTCTTCATGGATGTCCACCCCCCGCTTGCGAAGCTCCTCATTACACTGGCTGGTTGGTTGGGCGGGTTCGATGGAAACTTTGACTTCAAGGATATCGGCAAGGACTACCTCGAGCCCAAAGTCCCCTATGTCACGATGCGCTTGTTGCCCGCCATCTGTGGTGTTCTCACCATTCCGACCATGTTCCTTACGCTCAAGGCGGCGGGTTGCCGTACGACGACCGCGGCATTGGGCGCGGGGCTTGTCATCTTCGGTAAGGACGAATCTGGCAAACATGACAACTTCTACTGACTACATTAGACAATGCGCTCGTTACCCAATCCCGTCTCATTCTCCTCGATTCGCCCCTTATTATCTTCACGGCCCTCACCGCGCTCGCATGGACATGCTTCATGAACCAACACGAACAAGGACCCGCAAAGGCATTCAAGCCGTCATGGTGGTTCTGGCTGGCTGCCACTGGTGTCGGACTCGGCGCGACTGTCAGTGTTAAGTGGGTTGGCCTATTCACAATCGCATGGGTTGGCAGCTTGACGCTCGTGCAACTTTGGGTTCTACTCGGAGACACCAGGAACGTGACCCCACGTTTGTGGTTCAAGCATTTCTTCGCCCGCGTGTTCTGCCTGATTGTCATTCCCGTATCCTTCTACATGGCTATGTTTGGAATTCACTTCATCTGCCTCGTCAACCCTGGCGAGGGTGATGGCTTCATGTCTTCCGAGTTCCAGGCAACACTGAACTCCAAGGGCATGCAGTCTGTGCCAGCCGATGTCGCGTATGGAAGTCGCGTCTCTCTGCGTCACTGGAACACTCAAGGCGGATACCTCCATTCCCACAGCCACATGTACCCGACCGGCAGCAAGCAGCAACAAATCACCCTCTACCCCCACAAGGACGAGAACAACATCTGGATCTTGGAAAATTCCACACTGCCAGTCATGCCAGAGGACTACAACGGACCGAATCTGACCAGCCCTAAAGCTTGGGATAACATTGGCCCCACTTATATCGAGGACGGCGGCATTATCCGGCTCTACCACATTACCACCGACCGACGTCTCCACTCCCACGATGTTCGCGCACCTGTCACCGAGGCTGAGTGGCAGAACGAGGTCTCCGCATATGGTTACGAGGGATTTGAGGGTGATGCAAATGACTTGTTCAAAATCGAAATTGTCAAGGCCAAGTCCGATGGGGCTGTCGCCAAGAAGCGTGTTCGTACCATTGAGTCCAAGTTCAGGCTCATTCATATCATGACTGGATGCGCACTTTTCTCGCACAAGGTTAAACTTCCTGATTGGGGATTTGAGCAGCAGGAGGTTACATGTGCCAAGCAGGGCACATTGCCAAACAGCATCTGGTATATTGAAGGCAACGTACACCCTTTGATGATCGACGGCGAGGTGGAAAAGGTCAACTACCGCAACCCAGGCTTTTTTGGAAAGTTTTGGGAGCTGCAAAAGGTCATGTGGAAGACCAACGCTGGTCTTACCGAATCGCACGCCTGGGACTCCCGCCCTCCCTCCTGGCCTATCCTCCACCGAGGCATCAACTTCTGGGGCAAACACAACCGTCAGATTTATCTCATTGGCAATGTTTTCATCTGGTGGACAACTACAGCGCTCATCGGCCTTTACGTCGTTATCAAGGGTATTGCTATTCTCCGATGGCAGCGCGGTTGCCGCGATTACAACAACGTCACTTTCAAGCGGTTCGACTACGAGGTTGGTATGACTATCCTAGGATGGGCATTTCACTACTTCCCATTCTTCCTGATGGCGCGCCAGCTGTTCTTGCATCATTACCTGCCCGCTCTTTACTTCGCCATCCTCGCTCTTTGCCAGATGTTTGACTTTGTGAGCTACCGATTCAGCGTCTTTGGTCTGCGAAAATACCCCGCCATCGGCCAAGCAGCAGCTGTCGGTTTCTTGGCTATCGCTATCGCTGTTTTCACTGTCTACTCTCCACTTGCCTATGGTAATGCATGGACCAAAGATGCTTGCAACAGTGCCAAGCTCTTCAGCTCTTGGGACTGGGACTGCAACAACTTTCTTGAATCCGTAAGTTCTCTTGTATCCTGTGAGGTTCAATGCTAACATACCATAGTACGAAGCGTATAACACCATGACTACTGAGCCCGTGCCTTCTATCGCAGCGCCTGCATCAGCGCCTCCAGTGGTCCCAGCACCTGCTGCGCCGGAGGTTGTTCCCGAGGTTCAGCCCAAGCAGCCAAAGGAGCAACCAAAGGAAGCAAAAGAGGAGAATGTCACGTCTGAGAAGCCTCTTGTATCTGCAGCCGCTCAGGAAGCCTTGAAGGACTATCCCGTTGTAAAGAAAGAGGAGCGCATTGAGTACCGCGACGAAAACGGCCGTGTTCTTGACGACGAGGAAGTGGCTGCGCTTGCCGGTAAGGTCAGCTTCAAGACGCGCTACGAGACTCGCACCCGGGTCGTCGATGGCAAAGGCAACGAGATCTACGAGGGTCTCGTTGAAGCCCATGGCGACACGGAGGAGTACGGTGTCGCGCCACCTCACCCCGATGTAGAAGGCCGGAACCCGGAGACTCGGGACAAGGCCAAGACTCCTGGGGCTAGTGACGTTCCGCCTACTGTTGAGGCTGACGAAGACCAACAGAAGGAACAGAGCGTTGAGAAACGCCGAGAGGAAGCTCAACCTGCTAGCGAGGCAAACTCTGCCACCAAGTAGTGCGCAGAGTTGATTGTTCCTCTACTTCTGAAGACACTTTCATTGTGTTCTTTTCTTCATATTTTTCCTATGTATCGTAGGGACGGGGCATACTTAGCAACGTTATGGAGCTAGTGGCGCTGGGTCTGGTCTCATATACACATATTAACGGCACGTGGTAGAGATGTGTTTCGTCTGCATGTGTTTTGTACGATTATACATAATACGATGTGCGAAAATCCGAGACGTTGATATGTGTTTGTGAGTGATTCGTGTACGCGTAGAGTTCATCTATGTGTGTACTGGATGTGAGCATAACATTTGTACTGCGGAATGGGGACATGGTACCATGACAAAGACACTTGATAGACATCAAGGTACTCATGTAAAGCTAGGCCGTACAATCATCAGACACAAGTCAACAACAGCAACTCAGGTTTATCAAACACCCTAATAGGGGTATCCCTATTGATCGATGTACAATTTAGTGTCAACTATAAGTCTGACGATTTGTGCGCAAAAGAAACCCCATACACACACACACACACTTTTGACGAGTCAGTGTAAGACGTGGCACCATGCTGAAGATCATTCAGGGTCTACCTACAGTAGCGGTACTACCACGTCCATCCCACCACATCACTCAAAGTCCGTTCGCGTTGGATGCTCATCCAGGCTCCCTTGTCCATTGCTGCGAGCCGAGCCGAGCGTGCTTTGTTCGCTAGACCCCTTGCCTTTGGAGATATACCGGTATAGGTACGTACTACTGCTACGCTTGAAAGCACTAGGAACTTTCTTTTGATATCTGCCATGTGGCGATAGCTCAAGCGTGCTGCTTCATTTGTGGAGACTGGCAAAAATGCTTAGCTTGTATCTTAGGTGTGCTTGCTCAAAGCTTCTTGTACGAATATACGAGTATGTTACTAGCAACGTGAATGGAGGAGTCGTATAGCTGGTCAGTAGACTAGGGCTTAAGGATACTAGAAGTGTAGATGGCATGAGCGCGAGGCAGAGATTTCACGATAGTGATACAGCGACTGTCACAGAAGTATCGGTAGTTAGGCGTACATCCCGCGAGCCTGGTTGTTGAGCTTCTACCGTACGCTTCGAAGGAGCCGGAGGTTCCAGATTTCTCCGGTGCCGTCTTGAACTAGCTTCATGTCCCGGTGATCTATCCGAATGCGAGGTGATGCAAGAAGCGCTAGCGACCGTTATGCTATTTCGATTCGCGTGGATGTGGACTGGGTGGGCTAACAGCCCGGGAAAGCCAAAACCACGTGATGATCATTCCAGGTTTTCATGTTCGCCCGAGCTGCTGGACCACAGCCCGGGTAGTAGCACACCCCCCTTGGGCACAAGAAACCCAACACCATACGACCACGTTTTCCTTGAGATCCCGGGTCATGTGCAGTTGGGTTGCAGCAAAACGGAAATGCAGGGACTTGGTGATGACGTCGGAGTACACGCCAGCGTCCGGCTTACTTGCATACGGTCAAGGCCGTAGACGTTGATCTCTCGGGACATACGCCCCAATCAGAGCACTGCACTAGCTGGGGTGACGGAGGCTCACGATTGGGGCTCGGAACTTTTGACCGCACCTCTGTGTTTGCTAGGCCAGAACTTCGCATGGTGGGTTAAGGGTACATGGAAGGGCCATTGCCATTGTCTGGAACAAAACGGATAGCTAGACCGATCGTATTCCGTCTTAGGTGCTAAGCATTTCAAGGGTAGTACCGGTAGTGTTTGCCCCCCTCCTCCCGGGCCTCCCCCCACCCCCACCAAGCCTTCCAAGTCAAACCGTCGCTGTGTCCCCTCTTGGGCGGCGACCGCCGACCATCTCACATATCGCCACATGCCAACGTATCCCCTTGTCGATCTCACTTCTGGTCGCGCCGAATACACGGGCTGATCTCAAGAGAGGAAAGGGAAAAGGATTTTCTGGAACATTCTGCCATTGGATATTTTCTCTATTTTCCCGGTTTTGCAAATCGAGTACCCCTACAATGCGTACTTTTTTCCAAAGCTTTGGTCCTTGATCATGCGGTGGCGACAAGGGAAGTTGTCGCGAGCCTCATGGTTGCTTGTGGAAGTTAGCCACTTACAAAGCTGAGGGCCAGAGCCTTCTCGCTTCTTGTTTTTTTTCTCACCTTGACACCTTTCTGCTTCCCTCGCTCCGCGGAAGCAATACATGGCTAGGAGGACGACTATAAATTAGCAATGCGGTCTAGCCGCGCATCGACGCCTTTTTTTTCTAAACCTCCCTCATCGGTTTGTGCAGATTCCATGTGCTCGGAATCGTGGAATTGCCCCTTCATTGTCGCTGAGGCTGTGCGAGCGCGGTTCCTGGACTTGAATCTTTTCAGCACGAGCAGTCAAGAATCCCTCTCTTCTCTGTCTCTTTTACAATTCCACACATTGTCACCCTCTTGACCATCTTGCCCTGCTTTCCTAGCCCCTCCAGAAAGCGAACAAACTTGACTTGGCATAGAGGAAGGAGGATCTCGCTTGCCGCCATGGCGGTTGATTCCTGCAATGACCAAATGAACCATAGCAGCGACGGCTGTGGCACGTGCTGCGATATGAAGGATGGTCCCACGCCCACGCCGCGCTCCCACAACAACATGAACATCGGCGACTCGTACATCCAGCAAAGCATCGAAGTCTCGCCTCCACCCCGCACCCCCGCGACGACCATGACTGATTCGCCCTCTGGCCCCCACAACGTCTACATAGTAACCGACACCTGTTACCCCACCGCCCACAGCTTTGAATCCAATATTGGCATCACGCAAATCATCTCTGTGCACTCGACCCGGTCTGCCGCCAACAGCCGGGCCAAGAAGATGATTTACGACAACGAGAACGGCTGTACCGTTGACCTGGACAAGGTCATCGAAGAAGTCAAAAAGGGCCTGTATACTGGCATCGGAGTGGGTGGAGAAGAAAAGGATGGCTGTTGTTTTGCGCGAAAGTGTGAGGTCGAGGGCAAGATTGTGGATGAGGACAGTGATAGCGAGGAGACGAGTGGCGAGAGCGGCGAGAGCGATTTACTCGATGGCATGGGCGACCAGGATGTCGATATGGATATGCGATGACTATCCGAACAAGAGGAGATAATACGTGAAATGAAGAGAGGTCTGGCGTGTCTGACACAGCAGGAGGTGGGATGGTGATGGCTCGGTCTCATGACACGCTATTCGGTTGCTCGGATGATGCATGGCATCTCTGCGTCTTTGGTTAATTAATCTTGTAAGGACAAACATGGTCATTGACGGAACGGTAGGTGGGGGCTTCAACTACTCAAGCCGCGGCAGGTATCGCGGGAAGTAGTGATGGTGGTAGCAAGCAAGGCTCGGGCCCAGGTATATACCCTCGATGGATGGAGAGTGGATGAGACAGTTCTTTTTTGCGCGCCCTCTGGAACAGCTGGTCTTTCCGGAGAACCCCCCACACACGGATCGAGCGAAAGCCTAGTTTACAACACAGCACAGAACAAAAGATGGAATTAGTATTTGCGATGCGGATTTCAGGAATGCCTACGCGACACAAACACGAAATAAACAATCGAACGAATACTCAATTTCGACATGACAGCGTGGATACCTTTTGTGATATCAGGGTCTGCGCTTTGATAGTTCATTCATGCTAATGTTTTTGTTCTCGCTCACATGGGCTTGTAGGTTCTGTTACAATCATCAAGATAAGAGGTTGTTTCAAGTAGGTATTTGGAGATGTCCAGATGAACGTCACCCGGGTGAGATAGAGTAACAGTCGATGTTGGTCTCATGGGTATGGGTCGATGCTCCGTAAATTCATGGCAATGACTCGTCATTGTCAGTTGCAGCCTTTTTTGAGGAAGATGTGCGTTTTTGGCGTAGCTGGTGGTGTTGAATGCCATGAGTCGAGTATCGGCGGGGCCTTGTGAGTACATGTTGATACCATCAATGCATGGAGGTTTCTACATCATGGTAGAGGAGGAACAATTCAGGAGGTTTGCGCACCGGCTCCAGCTCCATTCTTTAAATATGAGGAGAGGGAGAGTGTTTAAGGGGCCACATGGCGACGACGTGGCGTGCTTAGGACTAGTCGGAGGGAGGGGTGCAATAGTTGAGTTATGAGTCCTTCTAGTGATGATCAGTCTAACCGTTTAGTCCTTTATGTAGTTATGTATTGAGATATCCTAGACGATTCAAAAAGCTTGAAAGACGTAGTTGCGATTGAAGTGGCTGTTAGGGCCTGTGGATGGTCCTGCCTGTAGCAAGGTGTGGGATAATACGCACCGCGAGCATGAATATACATACTCGTGTAGCTAGCTTTCTGTCTCAGAAACGATTGTTGCTAGTATATATATGCTTATTTGAGCACGTAGGTTATGCACATCTGCAGCGTAAAGTTCGTGGTGTAGGTTGCTCGGAGCTGAGCAAGCGTCACACCCGACGCCATCTCGGCTACTTCTCCGCGGGCGACAGACGTCATCAGGCGTTGGACGCAAGAACGACCGCACCACCATAAGTCCCCAAATCTCGCCCATCATGGTTTACCATTTTCCCAACTAAAACATGTCTGTCGGATACTTCCCTAAACGCGAAAAGGTCGGCCTAGAAGATCTCTTCAAAGGCCTTGTCACAGCCTGCCATATTCTCCACAACAATGACATCGTCGACGCATATGGTCATATATCAGTGCGATCGCCCGATAACCCGGCAACATTCTGGATGCCATGCAACATGCCTCCAGCATTAGTCAGCTCGCCAGATGATTTAGTCGAGTATAACGTCGATGGCGCCGAAGCAGTCGAAAAGAACCCGAAGCCGGGGTATTTGGAGCGACATATCCATAGCGAGATCTACAAGAGGTTTCCAGCAGTCAACAGTGTAGTTCACAGCCATGCTAGCGATGTTCTGCCATATTGTGTTAGTGGTGTACCACTAAAGAACACCATTCACATGGCTGGTTTCTTAGGTACCATTTCCCACAACTCGAGCTACTATGATTTGCTGCTAACACCTCCATTTCAGGCACCAATGTACCCGTATGGGATGCCTCGAGTCACTATCCCTCTGACTCGAAACATGATCTCCTCATCCGCGACAACATACTCGGCGCCTCTCTCGCAGCAGCCTTCAAGCCTGCAACGTCCACCGGGTTCATCTACTCCAAAGTACGCTCTGCACTGCCCACACAGTTCGGCGGCGCGTCCTCAGAACCGAAAATGGAGCCTGATCACGCTGTCGTCCTCCTACAAGGACATGGTTTCACAACGGTCGCGCATGGCATCGAGGAAGCGGTGTACCAGGCCATCTACACGAAAGAGGCCGCAAAGGCACAGACGGCCGCTTTGACCATTTTGAATGCACATACAGGCTATGCGCTCGAGGGCAAGGTCGACGTGGAGTCCGGTGGGAAGATCAAGTCGGGTCATGCGAAGGGTGAGGGCGGCGCCCTGAAGTATCTGAGCGACAGAGAATGTCATGATGCATGGGAATCAATATCAGCTACGCTTACGAGGCCTTGGGCGCTTTGGTGTCGCCAGGTGGAGGTCAATCCGCTGTACAAAAACGAGTGTCCTACAGGCGTGGATTGAGCGGTATGCTTCTTCCTAGAATCTCTGTTCCTAGTCTTTTTCTTTTGCTCTCGGGCGAATGGCGCTTACTTCGTGTAGGTCGAAGCTTTCATTCGGTCTACGAAGGCCCTACAGCGGCATCATTATGTACCGATCTCACCCGAAATTCTAATGTGGAAGAACGGACTCAACATGCTGGCCAAAGTTTATGTTACATCAACATTCACTCGGATCCACTCCCGTCGTCCAAAATAGCCCCCCCCCCTCTTTCTGATGTGAGAACAGTGTTAGCTTGCGGTCACGCTTACCAAAATTAACTTTTCAACTGCGGAGTCGTCCAGCAGCGCATCCTAAACAAATATCCCTTTCCAGATGCTTGTTTCCCAGGCCAAGATTTCTTCCGCCACTAATAACGCATGTACCCAGACTCTCGGGACCTAGACCTCCCCCCCACGCCGAGCCCAAATTACCGGAAAACTCACGCCTGCCATAATGATGGTCCGTCACACTAAATGATTACAGGGCGGGCAGCCATGTTCGAGGCGGATTGATTCGAGCCTTGTCCTCCGCTTCCAACAACGGTTCGCATGGAGCCGCGACGTGAACTGAGCACATGCCGCAGACTGAGTCCTAATGTACGGATTGGGGAGACCATGGGTCAATGGCAGGTGGAATGGGACAAGTCCTTCGGAGCATTTGGCGCCGAGAGCTCATTCTGCAGGGTCACGAGAGCCCTTGTGTAGATCTTCTGTCGGTATCGGAGGTAGATAAAGTACTTTGACAGCGTGATATTTCTAACCACACCGCTCGTTAGAATAGCTTCCTTTCCCATTTCCCCCTCACAGTTGTTTTCGTTCAGCTTCTTTCGATCATGTTGTTCAAGAGCACATTGCTGGCTGTGGCCACGCTCTCCGCGCCAGCTTTGGCAGGTATGCAGGTACCTGATAGTGGATGGTGCAAAGCGCTAAAGAGTTGATCTAGCTTTTGGCGTTACACAGACTGGTACCAATATTGTTGTTGATACAGGCTCGACTGCCACTCTAGTCTTCACTGTAGACTCCACGAACTGCGATATCATTTCGCTCAAGTACCAGGGCGAGGAGCTGCAGGACTCCAAGGGAGGGTCACAAATTAATTCTGGGCTTGGCAGTGCGACGGTTAAGTTTGAAACAGTTGGAAGTTAGTTCGTCTCAACCTTTTTTTCTTTGATACAAGCTTACAGATGTGGTAGACCAGTATATCAAAATTACTTGTGTTGCGGGTACCCTAACGCAATACATGGTTGCAAAGTCCGGAGAAGCAAATATATACATGGCGACATCTACCACCGCTGAGCCCGCCGTTGGGGAACTACGCTTCCTTGCTCGTATCAAGAACACTGTGCTACCTCTGGAGTATCCTTTTGGTGTCGTGTCGACGACTAATGGAGAAACTTCCACAGTCGAGGGCTCAGATGTCTTCATTGTAGGCAGCCAGACACGGAGCAAGTTTTATTCCAGCCAACGCTTCATCGATGATGCTGTTGTACGTGACATTCAACACTGGTTCCCCTGGTTGGTCAAATTAACTAATGAATTCAACAGCACTGCGTATACCGCGACACAACCCCGATTCATGCCTGTCTTGTCATGAACTTCTACTCCTATGAGACCTCCTCCGGTGGTCCTTTCCACCGCGACATCAACACCAACAACAGACCCGAAGAATCATCTCTAACTTTCTATATGAACAGCAATCACGTGCAGCTCGAAGCATTCCGCCAGGGCTTGCACGGCCCATATGCACTAACATTCACCGGTTCCTCCGTCCCATCCGGCGGCTCCTCCCTCGACACCACTTTCTTCAAAGACCTCAGCATCCCCGGCTACGTCGGCCCCTCTGCCCGCGGCACCGTGACCGGCTCAGCAACAGGCGTTGCCTCTGGTCTCCAAACTGTTGTCCACTGGTACAACAGCGCAGCCCAATACTGGGCCTACGCCGACGGTTCCGGAAAATTCACCTCCCCAGCCATGAAACCAGGAACGTACACCCAAGTCCTGTACCAAGGCGAATTCAAAGTCGGCGCCTCCACCGTTTCTGTCTCCGCCGGCGCTGCCACCACAGCAAACATCGCCGCGTCTACCGACAAGAGAACGACGATCTGGCAGATTGGTGTTTGGGACGGCCAACCAAAGGGGTTCCGCAACGCGGATAAACAGCTTAGGATGCATCCTTCGGACGCGCGCATGGAATCTTGGGATCCGCTTACGTATACCGTTGGTACTAGTACCCTAGATAGCGTGCCCATGGCTATCATTCAGGGAAAGAACCCCTTCACTATCAAGTTTTCCAGCACGGAGACGGGAGCTACGACACTTCGCATTGGTACTACCCTCGCTTTCCAGGGCTGTAGGCCCGCTGTCGTGGTTAATAGTTTTAGCCCTGCGACGCCTGCGGCGCCCACGCTGATTGATTCCCGAGGCTTTACGAGAGGGGCGTATCGCGGGTTCGGCGAGGTTTACGATTATGCTCTCCCGGCTGGTACGCTGCTTAGTAGTAATAGTATTACGATTAGTTGTGCGAGTGGGAGTTCGGGGACTGGGTTTTTGGCGCCTAATGTTATTCTGGATGCGATAGAGTTGTTTAAGTGAGTGGTCGAGTAATATCTTTTTAGGCTGGGGAATGGGTTGAAACACAATTTGATGTTTCACTGGAAGACATTGGTACTATGGATGTGTGTTCATCGTGCTTGGATTCTCGAACAGGAATACTAGTTACAACTGCTCTTATCGGCTCGACTTGGTATTACTGGCGCCAACGAGAGCTCCTCGGATCGCAATAGAACTTATAACCAGAGAGTATGACTGTGCCTCTTTCCGACAGCTCAGGATTGATGATGCAGGCTCTGTTTTTTGCCTCAAAGGTAGCTCGCATATCAGCTTTCTACTGATCAGTGGCCTGCTTGAGCAAAACGTTTGAAAGCACCAAATCACCATGCCCATGTTTAGCGGGGTAATCCTTTTAGTACTGCAGGCCCCACTCAAGGTGCAGAATCTTTGTGGATAGCGCCATGCTGTACATGCGGAGATACCCTCACCTGCCGGGAATATAGTTCCGAGTTGCGTCAATGACAGATCAAGATTAGAAGGCCATGTATGCTAACCTTTATGGACAACCTTTAAGTTTTATACCACGGGATGACAAGTAGTATATTCCTATGGTTGTAGTTTCCTTTTGACGACGTTTGCGTTGGAGAGACACGGTGACATCCGAAAAGCTGTATACACACAACGGCTCGTAATGTTGAATCAGTACTTAGACATGCCTGTGACTTTGAGCAAAGTTCGGGAGGCTGCATTAGCTTCCTGTAGGGTATGAAATACACAGACTGGGGATTGAGCCACTGCCGGAACCGAAAAGCGGTAATGACAGGTCTGAGAAATATGTGTCAACGTACTTGAAGGATTGAATTGCTTCCCCCTCCAGCGATTATGTGATGTTGGCCTATGTCTAGAAGTTGAAACATCAAAGCTGTGATAAGCACCGCATGAATGCGTGTTCGACCCAGACGCGTGATATGCTCGGATTGCGGAGAGAGCGAGGTGAATCTGGTGGGTCCAGTTAGGGGACCCTGGGAGGCTTTCCTTCCTCGTGTCAGTTCGACCAATCGACGTTGAAGTTGATTTAGGGATGTTTAGGGATGATGTGATACAGCCGAGCTGTTTTCGGTGAAGGCAAGGATCGGGAACATGTCGCGGTGATATCGGGTAGCAACTTCGGCATGTAGTCGTTGTCTTTTTGTTCTGACTCGACAGCTGCAGTACGTCGCCAAGAACACATGTACTGTGTAATATCAGGCCTAACTGACGTGGCATAAGTGGCATGATGGTCCAGAGGATTCCCATTGTGAGAATAGAGCAAGCCTCCTGAGATTGGTGGGGGCTTGCGTGAATTTGACGAGCGGTGCTTCCAAAGGTTCCAGGGATACGCAAGTGGGATGACATGAATCGGCGATGAAGCAGGTCAAATGCTGGTGCAGATCTCAGACACAAGTAAGCCGCCAAAACGGACTGTTCCACAGCCGAAGTTTTCGGTGCTAGGAACAGGCAACCAATGGACGTGGCTGCAGCATGCCGCTCTTAATGGCTGTACAGACCCGGACAGGATTTCCGGCGGTGAGGCACGTGTTTGGAATGGCAGAAGATTGTGTAATCACAGCCAGAGGTGGTTTCAGCGGTGCTGTTGGATTGCAATATATCATCTCAGCGATAGCCAGCTTAGGCAAGGTATAAAAGCAATAATGCGGCCTTGGACACAGCACCAAGCTTCGTAGGTTGATCGGCGATCGGCGATTGCCCACGCTGCGCGACATGCGGCAGGGTGATGGGGCCGTGAGGGGAGCTGCCAGGTACTGACTCTTGGTCACTGATGTATGAGTCGGCAGTCCTGCCCTTGAGACATTTGAGAACAGGTGTTTGGAGCTGACTGCTTCGCTTGCAGCATGGCTACCGATGACGGCGGCGTGGATGGGCAATGGGATGTTTGTTTCCGATAACTACTAGCTAGTGTTTTGGGGCTAGCGCTGGACATGGGCCAGACCTCGGGACGCGTAACGGTGACTTCCGAGGACATGGCCATCAAGAACCTCGACGCATCTCTAATTCCTTCACACCATTGCGGAACAGGGCAAGGAACGGGGCAAGGAAACGGGAAGCGAGTGCTTTGTCCAAACTCTGGTCAATAACCGAATCGACGGGACCGCACCGTCACCCTCTTAATCTGCATGGCATGTACATGGTACCGTTGGGAAAGGAACCCGCTGCCGCGTCTCCATATTTGCTCCCGTCGGGTGTTGACCACGAGCTGCTGTCAAGCTGGTCGGCAGCAACTTATCTGCATGCCCAGCAAACCAAAGCCACTCACTATTGGTCATGGCTATGTATATGTGTTGCCAACTTTGTCGATCCCGTCCAGCCAACTGGCAGCCAAATCATGCCGCCATCGGATGCACCTGCCGCGCCTCGCCCGCCTAATCGAATAGAGAGGTAGAGCTCATCTGCGACTCGAAACGCCTCTATTCAAGCCTTGTATATATCATCTCTCCCGGTTCGCATGCGCCACGCCTCCTTGCCTTTGTAGACCTTCCAGAATAAGCCACTGTCATGTTGCAAGTTTGACTTCCTGACTTGCATTTAATCTAGCTCTTACTTTCATGTCTTCCCTGGGCCCATCGCAACATGTCCTTCACCTACCAACTCCAGAAAATCAATCAATCATTCGACCAGATTGCGGCTTGGTAGTAAGTACACTTCTTGTGCTTTGTTGTCAGTCCAGTCTTACTGATTATTCTAGTCAAGAATTTATGCGCAGAACCGAGTTGTGTTTTCGGAAACTGCATGAGCGCATCCTACTACTTGAGCAGAGGCCCCCCATACAAGCACCCACAGACGAGCAACTTGAACGTGTGTTACGCAACATCTTGGCTGAGAGGTTTTCGGATCCGGTCATGCATCATATGAAGAAAGACGACGTCGCGCGAGACGAGGGCTGGTTTGTCAAAGACCCTTATCCGAAGTCTATCAAGATGAACGTTGCATCCCTTCTCGTACCTCCAGAGTCAGTTCCATCACAGACATATACAGACACATTTCGAATGCTAGAAGATGGGCTTGATGGCTTTCCTGGCGAGGATTTGCTTTCAGAAGAAAACGAAGACCGTAGGGCGTACTGTCCTAAAAAAGACGGACGTTTTTCCCGCAGTGTCTAGGTGTATACCAGTCGTCTCGGAGTCATTCCAGTCTGCTCGAAGCCGCCAGTCTCCCACCTCCACTCTTCGATCCGTACCGCCGGTTCAATCCTATCCGCACTCGCTTACGATCACCCACACGCGATCATGTTCTACGTTGCCTATTTACTACAGATAACGAACAACGCTGCCAGCACGACGCCACCAAGGTCAAACCACCGTTCCAAACAATATCAAACGCTCACGCCAAACAACTTCGAAGCTACCAGCTTATACAACACTTCTGCGACATATGAGTGCTGAGCAGTTGGTCACAAAAAGGGAAACGCTGGCCGTACAATCACCCATATCGCTACTGATGCGACAATCTCATTATAACATACATATTGCTCTACTATCGACTACCTACTGTAGAAATACAATACATGCATCATGCTAAGACCGTCACTTCTTCAAACTTCGGTGACAACGTTTGGTAGTTGCTCGATGATCGATGCACTGTCATCACCTTACATGCATATGCGGGAGTAGAAAAGGGTGTCAAGACAACTGTCAAAGCACCGAGGCACCACTCGATCTGGAAAATGTGCAAAGTGTGACGGCGCTCTTCTCAGTCCAATCACAAGTACATGAATAATATAGTTGTCTGGGCTACAGTATATCCAGCACTTGAGCGAGAGCCCATTCGATCGCCACTAATAATGATGAGGCCAGACCGGAGTTTTTTTCTTTTTTCCCCAAGCGAGGCCTGATAGCATTACATGCATGCAACAGGAACCGAAATCTTGTGGCACACGACAACTCTACGATTCCACCGGTGAGGGTCATCCTGCACGCCCTCGGAAGTCGTGTCACTCCAATCCACAAACGTGGACCTCGGCAGCCAGCCGCTTTCCGGAGGCATGGCAGTACAAAAGTCGGGAGCAGTCACATCATCATCACGCTACCTTCCCGTCTCGTTTCCTTGCAGCCTGAGTAGGTGAGCTGTGTTCCTGGCGGCAACGCGCTTAGATTGGCGTGGGGGGAGGGGTTCCGGATCTCCATGTAGGTAGCCCTGGAAAGATCTGGCCAGAGGGCCGGTCATCTCGTCATCCTGTCCAGGGCCTCCACGACAACAATGAGTCTCCGAGCATCTTCCTTGCACACGGCATCAATTTGATTGTTGCCCAACGAAAATCTCCGATGACGAAACGACAAACGCAAATTAAGAAATGCAAGGAGCCGTGGTCTGTTCCCAGAGTTTGGTTGGTTGCACAAAAAGGCGCTTTGTCTTGCCAGCTGAGTGCCAAAACCCTATCGTCAGATTGGCAGGCCATCCAGGATGCTAGCGTTGCGGCCTGAATGATATGCTCCACTCGTTCTCCAGAAATGACCATCCCGGAAAGATGGGTTGGCTTTCCATTGTGGTACGTTCGGGCTTTCGTTGGTGGCGTATTCCAACAAATGGTCGCGAAGCAAATGCAACCCAACGTTGGGCAAAAGCAGTTGCAAGTCAGCTCGTCATCGACTCGCTCATGTCGATAATGGTCAAGCGGTTTCTTAACTGCATCTCCATACAAATCTTTGCTTTTTTTTGTTTTGACAATTACAATTAATTCACCACCAGACTGCTCATCGTGCAGCAAGCGAGTGGTAGCCCCACGCTGTCCGTCGTTACGACATCTGGTTTGTTTATTTGTTTTTGATGGCGAAACTGTCAATACTCGTTACGACATCGATACCAGCCGTATCCATCCCACAAGGCGAGAAAAACAAATCATCTCCAAACGACATAAGTTGTCGGATCGTGAGTATCGGTAGAGACGTCGGCTGCTTGACACTTCGGCCCGACTTCAGCCCAACTTGCGCTGAGCTTAGGTGTACCTTCGTAGCACCTACGTTCGTAGATAATCAATACCAATACCAGTCACCAGAAGAACCTCGTTGTTGTTATTCACCCGTACGATCGTACAAGGCCTACCAACATAAGTGGAAATTATTTAAATGGCGGGTCCGAGTAAGCGGCATGGACGCAGTATCTGTGGAACACTATCAACTACCCATACCTACCTACCTCTTGAACAGCCTAAACCAACCCCAGCTCAGCTCAAACATATTCTAGATGTCACCGTTGCTGCACAACAACACCGCCATCATATCCTCGACTGGACTCGAGACGGATCGAATTCCTTTTCCTCTCGCTACTAAAGCCACACCACCCAAACCTACAGTTGGCTAGGTACCCAGGCTAGACTAAACTGACACTCGACCGATACCGCATGTCTCAGCTCGGCACGAATCTCCAAGCCGGGAAGCGACACGAGGGGGTAACGCCACAGAGTTGTTGTTTTGTATTTGCCGGATTGGATGTCTGAGGTTACAGGCTGCATTTCCAAGGAGCTAGGGAAAGCAAGGGGCAGGGAGCAGACAACGGGCAAGAACGGGCGAGATTTTGTATAGGCAGGTTGGCTTACTTCCATGCTCCCAAGTTTTGGTTTGGTTGAGAATAATGATGACAATATTATTGCTGCATTATAGGGTTGACACCATTGCTGCCTCTCTTCCAAGGTTATCGCCTACTTTTCTCTTTTTCTTACCCACTCAAATGCCAAGATACAAGCCACCATATTTTCTTCTTCTAATTCTTTACCCTAGGTCCCGCGGATAGAGAAAACGGTTGGCTTCCATAGCATTTAGACAGAATCGCATCGGAGCTGGGGATGCAGCTTTCGCCCTTTTTTGCTTTTTCTCCGCAGCGTGAGCGAGGTAAGGCACACAGGCTGACAGGAAAAGGCTCGAGCAGAGAGTATGATAACTGATCCCATGTCGTCGTGCCACCTCTGCGTACCTAAGAAGGGTGGTAAATATTTGTAATAGAAAATCAAGCAGTATCTTGAAAGCCTTTGGGTGTTTCCTAACAGAGGTCTACTGCCGATGCTCGCTACCTCACCTTACTACACTCCTATGTATACAACACACCATCCCGAGGTCACGAATGTGAATGCATTTCAGGCAACCCATCACGACCCAACATTAAGCCTTCTCACCTTCACTTCCCCTGTTCCCGGCTCCGGCTCCGAGGGGGAGGGGCGCTCGGCACACGACACACGGGCCTCTCCCGATCTCCCTTCCTACCGCTATTCCCTGGTCCCGATACGATACATGTAGCAGGGGTATGCAATCTTGCGCCCCTTCCCTGCGCATACTGCACCTGCACATAGTTTGATCCTTCACTCCTTCCCAATCTGCGTGCTTTTCTGCATCGCGGCTAACAACACCGATCACCTCCACACATCTGCTCCTTTCCCTCTCCTGTTACCACTAATTTTGAGCGCGGAATTTATCTCCGCTCCACACCCCAGCCACAGAAGTTGTTCAAACTACAGACTAAAGCAAGCCACCGCAACTTCCCTCTTCCCCGGTTCCGCGGCATCCAGTTGGCTGGCGGTGTGTACATACACAGACGCACAAGCCCAGAACAGACAGACACGGACTTTAGTATACAAAAAACGTATAGGCTAGCTTGTCATTTTATACAGTATTGGATTACCATTACTAATACTAACAGCCATACACCATCGTCAAAAAGAAGTCCACGTCGAACTTTGATGTTAAGCCTCACTTGCCTTTGTGCGGATCAGGTCAGAATAGTATGGCCCCCTCCGTGTAACAAGCAGGTAGAGTAGTATGTACCAGCGCTCTGATTATCTCTACCAAATTGCGTTTATTTGTCTAACGATGAACAGGACATTTGTAGAAGAGTCCCGTCTGTTCGGCTCCCTCCACTTTCCATTTAGTACGGGCACCCGCGAGACAGGTGTCGAAGATAAGGGAATACGAACAGATGTTCCGGTACCGTCCGTATCTTTCTTGGTACTTCATCAGATACCTCGTACCCAAATCTCTACGGAAATCCCTCCGTGTTTCTCTCCAAAAATGGCAGTGATGCGAGCAGGGGTCCATCCGGGGGTTTCTATACTAGCGCTTACCTAAAACTTGAATACGATATTCTTGTTGGTGCTCAGGTTCGAAAAGTTCGGAGTCTGGATCCACGGCTCAAGTCGCGTGGTCACTTACCGGCAACACACCGTCACTACAGTAGGATGGTGGCGTCGAGCGAGATCTACCGAGATTTATCATACTTGCCTCGGCCTTAGCCCCGGAACGCTGCTTACAGTCTATACGATCAATTAGCTCGTCTTTGACAGCTTCTGCAACGCAGCCTCTACTTGAGCTTGAGTAGTTGCATCGTCGAGCCTGAGGTGGAAACGGCACTCTTCGCTTAGGCTTGCTCGGGCTTGCAAGGAGCTTTCATCAGCAGGTGATACCGGGTCAAGCCTGTATGCTCATGTTAAGATCAGTTCAGGCTAGAATAGACCCAGTTGTAGTAGTCATACCGGGTCAGCAGGAACAAGGATGTACGCCAGTCACACCCAAACCTATTCCTTAGCTCTTTCACCAAAAGATGCAGCTCGTGACCGTCAGCTTAGTAACTGAAAGAATATACAGGCCGTGAAAACCCCCGTGTATTCTGGTCGAAAGTGACGGGAGTTGGGGATGAGCGTCAACCGCAACTGCCATATTCAGCGGTCACGCCGCCCATACACACAGTACCATAGCATGACGTACGCGCACAGAGTTGGAATTGACGCCCTTCACGAACCGTATTGCGTCTTTGCTTCAACTGAGCCGGTGCGGCCAATGCCCTCAGCGCACATTGTCGCGGGAGAAAATCAGTACATGCGCCAGGAAAGCAATGCGAATCTTGAGTCTGCATAAATCCGATGACGTTGCCAGCAACTGCCGGGTTAAAACCGGGCGTCACTTGATTTCACTCTTTACCGCTACCGCTACAGCCTGCTTCTTATACCGGTATGATACATGCAGCAGGAGTGTGAGGTCTTACACGTTGCCTTACCCAGCCGCAGGAGTAGTTTAAAATACAGACTAAAGCAAAACAACGCATCTTCCCTCTTCCAGGTTCAGCGGAAGCTGTATAGGTTTAGAAAAGGGAATATCCGCGATGCCAGAGCCAAAAAGGATACGAGAAATCTAGATCTAGTTTGGATCGAGATCGGATCGGGATAGAGTTGAGCATGGGTCGGGTTGGCGTCGGAAGCTAAAGTTGTCAGGGTTCGAAGGATGTTGGGCTTGGTGGATTACGTGCAGTGTGCTTGCTTGGGCAGAAGAATTAAGGGGATGACATGCAGGAGGGTGGCGTAGCGGGGATGCGTCTTCGGTCCAGTGGGATTGTACCGTCTGCAAGTGTATATACACTTAGCTTAGGGTGAGGGGGCTAGAACGACCGCTGCTCCACTATATCTACCTAGTCAGCTGGACGACGATGGAAAGGATCAAGATGGTTTATGCACAAATGGTGAACTTGTACGGGGGAAGAAAGCTGAAGCCTATCATGGCATATAGCGAGTCACAATTCTACAATATCATCATCAGAACTTTAACGTGTATGCACTGATCATTTAATAAACAAAGGCTATATCTAGTGAACGGAGGTATATAAACAGGAGAAAACTTTGATTCATCAATGCGCCTATCCATGCATCCATACCGAAACAACATTGTTCGAAGAAAGGAGAAAGGAAGAGCGCCAACATAGACTGCCTGACGATTGTATCAGCAGTGATCTGCAAACCCACCCCAAAAACGCCGTATACCATGCAACACGTCCCAAGGGAATCCATAGAAAAACGCCACTTTCAACTCGGGCTCCGCAAGGCCACCCACCCTAACCACTACCATGACTCCTTAGTCTCCTGCCTGCCGCAAGCCCAGGCCCGACACTATTCCCGAAATTTGTGATATTCTCACGGTCACCCCTCTCGCCGGCAACACCCACCGTCTTCCTCGTCATCTTCTTCATTGGCAATTTACTGCCATCCTCGCCATTGGTGGTCCGCATCTTCTTGTTTGGGGGGACTCCGCCGACGAGCGAATCGCATGAAGATTGGGATGTGAGATGGGGAAGAGGCGCTGTATGGACTTCCTGCGCGACCACGTTAACATCCAGCTCCCGAAGAGACGAGGTCTTGCCTCCTCCCGTGCCGAGGTGCGAGATGGTGTGGGCGTGCGCACTAATCGAAGGGGGGGAAAAGATTGGATTGCTAGCGGTGGTGCCGAAGATGTCGGTTGGTGAGGGGAGGCTAAGGGTGCTGGTCGCATCATTGAAGATGGGTTGTTTGGAGGGGCTGCGTGTTGCAGATTCGGCGGTGTTGGAACGGTCTCGAAGGCGGGATAGTATCGTCTCGTGCGGTTCGGTACGGGGGAGGTTGGATGGGACGGCGTAAGATACGCGTTGAGGAGTCTCGCCGGTCGGGTTGTATTCAAGCAAGTTTTGGTTGCTGACGGATTCGCGGAGCTCATGGAGTGGTGCGCGAATCTCGGCATCTGCTGCGAGCGAAGGTAGTGTCTCCTTGAGGGTGCTTGCTTGCGCGGACATGTCAGATTCCAGAGATTGTACTCGGTCAAAGGACGAAGACAGATGATCGCCAATGCTGGAGTACGACGCTGCTACTGTTGACGATAAGGCGGCAAGAGAGGTTGTGTGGGCGGTGTGGTGTGTGTTGTTCTGTTCGCGGATACGAGCAACGATATCGTCCAGAGCCTGTAGTTGGGTGTCGAGGTGTGCCATCTGTGCTTCGACCGTCTTGATTGTGCTTTCGTGGACAGACGTAGTTGTCTCCTTGATTGAGGTGGAATGCTGAGTTGCGGCCTAGTCATCATTAGCATATGATTATGATAGTGAACTGGTATACCTACTGCAAAGTCTGACTTGATCTTCGTCTTGACGACATCCCTTGATTTGGATACACCTGCCAAGATGTCTCGCGACTTGTCTGACCACGCCTTCACCCCCTCGGTGTAAGCGCCCTGCTTCTCCTCGAACGCAGTGTTGGTGGCCTGGATTTCTTCACGCATAGCGGAGAGCCTGTCATCTAATCTCTTCTCCTGCGCATCAGCACTTGCATTGACGAGCGCAGTGATCTGCGAAAGCAGCTGTTGGCGGTCCTCGGCTGACTTTTGCTTCTCTTCGTCTACAACCTTAGCCAGTTGGTCTTGCGATGCCTTGTTCGCCTTAATCAAGGCTGCGTTGGTCTCTACGACCTGCTGGTGAAGTCGCTCGTTCTCTGCCTGCTGTTCGTTGAGATCCTTGACCAAGTCGTCAAAAGTGGTTTTGAAGTCGCGCCCGAGTCCTGCATAAGACGCGTGAACTTGGGTGTGGAAGGCGTCTAGTTCTGTGATGATGTTTGCTGAGATGGTTTCAGCCGCTGCGGAAAGCTCATCCAGACCTGCCCCAATCTTGATCTTAACATCCTCGCGTAATGTCTTAATCTCCTCCAGGACTTGGTTCATGTGATCGCGTGCCTGCGCAGTCTGCCCGTTGACTTCTTGCTCGGATGTTTGGTAAGCCTCCATCTTTTCCTGCAAGAAAGATTGCGAGGCACCTAGCTTCTCCAGTTCATCTGTGACAAAAGCCTGCATGCGTTCGGAAATGGCGTTCATCAGCTGTTCTTGTTGTTGCTGAAACTCCTCTATCCGGTCTTCCACCATACGAGTGGTATCCACGACTTGCGTCTGCGATGAATTCCAGTTGCGTCTGTTTTGCGATTGAAGCTCTGACTTTCGGCGGATCTTGGACCGTAAACCATCGATGGCTGAGGTAGTCTTTCCTAGCGTCGAAATCATGTCTCTTCCGACTTCTGCCAGCTCTTGCTCCGTCTTCTGGTGGGCCTTTCGTAGCTCCGTCTCTTCGGCTAGGTTTGTGCGCGTATGTTGGAGGACAATCTCCGTCTTCTCTAGGATACCCTTAGTACCATCCAAGGCCAACTGCGTCTGTTCGTTATCTTTCTTAAGGGTTTGGAAGCTCGTGGTCAGCTTGAAAAGATCTTCCACCTTGTTACGAAGGTTGACTTCCATAGTCTCGAGGCGATCCCGCTGCTCTTCACTGAGGATGCGCCTTGACTCGCTGACTGTTGTAATTTCTTCGTAGTTTTCCTGAGTAAGATATACACCGTTCCGTTGCCGGGTCGCAATCAATTCACTCTTCAACTTCTCAATCTCGGCCGTGTACTCCTTGAGTAGAGTCTTCTTGTTGATAGCTTGGTTGACCTGTGGCTTGTTCCGGATATTCTTGGCACGAAATGCGTAGTCCAGGGTCGATATGGTTTCCTCCAGGTTGCTCTTAGCTGGTGAAAGGGTAGCAATAATGCATGTCTTGGTTCGGCCACCCAGCGAGTCTTGTAACAGACGGGTCAGTTTTGACTCTCTGTAGGGAATGTGAGAGCTGCGTTCGACAAGGGCGTTGATAACGCGACCCAATGTTAGCAGACTCTTGTTGATGAGACCAGCTTCAGCAGCGCGCTTGTTCTCAGCACCGCTGCGCTGAATGTTCTCGCTACCAGCAAGGTCGACGAGGTTGAGCTTTCCAGCACTCAAGTATTCCTGGCCATCCTCTGATGTTCGCTTGATATATACGGTAATGGTGAAAACGGTATGACTTCGCGAACTCAGGTCATTGCACTTGGTGGCAGCAACTTGGCGCTTGTGACTTCCATTACGCAGCAGCGTGATACCCTCGGTGGCGCTCTTCAGGTGGCATTCCTCCATACCCTGGACCATGGTTGTGGTTGAGCCCTTTTTGCTGTTGTCGTCGAAGATTTTGAGCTTGGTGGCATCGTCGGCGGAAAGCAAATCGCGTAGCTCTTCGTTGTAGAGCTCGATGAAGGAACACTTGACCGAGTTCTCGATCTCGTCGGCTTCGAGACGCTGGAAGAGGGCATATAGTACACGGGGAATGATACCGGCGGCGTCTGGGAGGGGTAGGACGTTTGAGATGTCACCCGTCATGGTGTACGTCTTGCCTGTACCTGTCTGGCCATAGGCGAAGATTGTGCAGTTGAAGCCATCGACGACCTAGTTTGGTATTAGTGGCGTCCCTTGTAGAGTCGCATCATGCTGGCTCACCTCGTTGAGAATTGGCAACACGACGTCTTCGAATATCATGTTCTGGTCGGCTGCGGGCGAGAAGACCTTGTCAAACTGATACGTCTTATTGCTGAGCGCACTTGGGCCCATGGAAAGATCCACAGCAGAGCCCCTGATTCCGTTGGTTGACACTACGACTCCGCTATTTTCGCGCACTTCGCGATCGTTGCGCCCTCTGCATCGTACCACGACGTTGATATTGGTCTCCTCTCCTTCCGTCTCAAACTCGCGCTCTTTGCGTTTTAGGGGTGACGGTCGCGGGGCTCTCGCTGTCGAAGCCACCGATTCTGCTCTCGACGAGCGGCCGTCCATTGCAGGAGTTGCTGAGCGACCACGCGCCAGATGTGGTGGTCGCGTCGTGGGTGGGCGCATTAATGTGGTATTCCGCTTGACCGGCGCGCCTGGACGGGGTAGGCCAGACATGATGGCGTTCGGTGTAGGTGGAACGTATATGTGCTGGCGTTAGTATGGCGAAAGACTGGTGTTGCAGGAGAGTAAACAATCGGTAAACACATGCAGACAGGGATCTCAGCAGCTACAAAGCACGGACTCACGCCATCTCCAGCATCGCGCTACGTCAACGTCGGTACCTGCATGATGCTGCCTTGTTACTGTACATGACATGTAGGTAATGCAGTCGGTACATGTATATTGTTGATTCGCCCTGCCTGACCTCTTTCGCACTACAAACAAACACAGTAGCTTGTTCGACGCTGCCATTCACGACCCCACCATCCACCCCTCATAGACAGCATACTGTCGCCGACTTTATTCTTGAACCGTATTGCCCCGGCACTTGAGCTTTATTCACTGCTTTTCCCACTGCTGGCTTACTCGTCGTATCTTGTTTGAACTTGGCTCAACTAGTCACGCTGCTGTCCTCGTGGACAAAGCACGAGCTCCCGCCGTCTGCAAGTCAGGCCGCCCGTCTACAAGCACTCACAGCGACATCTCACTACCCTCCCACATTTGATACAAGCCCATCATGGAAGATGGCAGCATGCAGTTACAGCCAGGGCGCAGTGTAGGATTCATGAGTTCGTCCTGACCGCCTCGGAAAGTGATCAAGCTAACGGCAAGACAGCCCTCGGTTGCTCCCTACACGAAGTACTGACGACGATCAAAGCCGAAGTCAAGGCCTTTCCACGCTTCCAGTTATATCACGATGAACTACGACCCATCTCATCTCCAACCCAAGTCGTTCTCCCTGACAACGGTATACGATTGCAGTTTGACGGTCCTGACCAGCGGCTACGCCTCATCGAAGTGCTCGATTTCGCCAAAGCTAGGCTGGTATACAAGGACATTGAGGTATACAAACCAGAAGGTGGCTTTACTGGGGGTGCGCCCGGCCCCAGGTTCCGCCATGTCTATGACAAACTACTAGGGCCAACATACGGCGGAGAGTACGTACCTCCACGGTCGGAAGATCCTAACGCCAGGGGCACGTATAACCTGTCGTATCCGGGAATCGCATTCAACTTTCCCGTTCAGCACTCTGCATACTCTCCCAAGAAAGACTTCATCTCACTACTTTCGTCGTCGGCTACAGGTCCTGCAACCTCCATGGCCGTCTTCAACGGTGAATCTTGGCAAAAGGCTCGCGGGACCCTCTTCACAGCCCCACCACCAAACCCAAGATCTTTAACTTTGGGAAAAGCGAAAGATGGTAGCCCAGATGAGATTGAAACAGTGAAAATACATGGGGAAGGCAGGGTAGAGCTCGTCAGGCGCTCAAGCCCCCCGTTTTGGATAATTCTTAGTGAGACAACACCCCAGGACTTGATCATGGAGTTGGGAGCCCCCGACTCGATCTATCGCAAGAATGACCACCGCTTGTCTATTCACAAGGATCGGAGAACCAGTGATGCCTCCGATCTCTCCCCTGGTGGACTCACACCCGACGATGACTCGGATCACGGATCGGTCATACGAAGCGATGATGAGGATGCGTGGGATGACGATGATGATGCAACGGTCGAGGCTCAAGAGCGAGAAGTTGCGGCAGCAGAACATTTCTACAATTACTATCACCATGGATTCGACATACTCATCTCACAACCAACGCATATATCCCCACCTTCACCCACCGCAGAGAGAAGAGAAGCTAACTTGATTGAAGAAGGGGAGGTTGGCGCGCAGCCACTCAATCATCTTACTGCAGTCAAGATTATATTTCACGGCAATGTACCGGGATCATATCAATTCAACCGCCATAGAAGAAGCAGGTGGACGCTCGAACACGTGCCTTCTGCAATGTACAAGGACCCGCTTAACTCAGAAATGGGATTTGGTGATATTTCCGGAAGGTTGAAGGAAGTATTCAAGACTTCCTACGAGAACGAGGAACAGGAGCGACTGCAACAGCGCGGCATGGCCTTGAACAGAGGCTGGGGCGACAGCCCCGGTAGCAGCTGTGAGCTTCTCGGGGGATGGGAAGATAGCTCTGGAAAGAAGAGCAAGTTTGCAAACGCTGGTAGCGTGCTTATGGAGGGTGCCGCTGATGTCGGTAATGTCGAATTGTTCGGCTTCCCAGGTATGGTGTTCGAAGTGATGAAGAACGGAGCTGTGAGCTCGTTGACTGTATACTGAGAGCAGACCGCGCGTTGATAGTCGCAGTGTTTCATACAATGTCTATATGTTTAGGGAGACGCTGGGTTCCCGCATGTTATTGCAGGACGGAGTTCTGGCATGCAGGCGCAAGTGCAGGGAGCATAGAAATTGATTCAGCATCAATGAGATAATCAATAAAGAAACATTACATCCTAAGCTTTTCCATTCTAGCATCTTATCTCTCACCCTCGCATGCAAGATGACCCTGTTGCTCAGCTACCTCCGCCTTATCACCGAGCCTAGCCGAACCATCACCAGAGACTAAATTGATCTCCAAAAATGTCTCGAGCATCAACACCTTTTTTCCGAAAAGAACAGCACCGCCCATAATGCTATTATGCTAACCCAGGCCCGCAATCTCCCCCGCGTATCATGGTCCAAAACGCTCAGACTGCCCAAATCGAGCTTTCCTCCACGACCACAAGCGTCAAAGACACCAGAATACCTTCGACGATGCACCGATGAGCTATACGCATGGCAGCGAAGCCCCGATCGCATCATCTACAATGGATACCAGGGACAGCAGAAACATGAAGGATTAGATGTATCTGGGGAAATTGGGGGCAGCGAACCCACGAAGGAATTTACGCTACACGATGGACCCCCGTATGCAAACGGGCCATTGCACATCGGCCACGCATTGAACAAGATCACAAAAGACGTCATCTGTCGGTTCCAAGTCGGACAAGGGAAACGGGTATCGTACGTGCCCGGTTGGGACTGCCACGGCCTACCCATTGAAATCAAAGCGCTCCAGGCGCAGAAGAAAGATGCAGCGCAAACAGACGCCGTAAGCGTACGCCGAGCTGCGCGCGAGCTAGCAACGCGGACAATCAAGGAGCAGAAGAAGGGCTTCAAAGAATGGGCTGTCATGGGCGATTGGGACAATGCGTATCAGACTATGGAGCGGGAGTTTGAGATACGGCAGCTGGGTGTGTTTAAGAGCATGTTTGAGAAGGGCCTGGTTTATAGGATGTTCAAACCGGTGTATTGGAGTCCGAGTTCGAGGACGGCGCTGGCAGAGGCGGAGTTGGAGTATGATGAGGGGTTTAAGAGTTTGGCGGCTTTTGTGAGGTATCCGGTCAGGGTCGAGGAAGGGTTGAGGGTGAAGCTGGGTGGTGTGGAGGGTGACATTAGTGTTATTATTTGGACGACTACACCGTGGACGCTGCCTGCGAATAAGGCGATTGCTGTGCATAGGGATATGCAATACTGTCTTGTCAAAGATGCTGAGAAGGGCAATGAATTGATACTCATTGCGGCTTCAAGAGTGGCAGAGTATGAAAAGATTCTGGAACAAAAACTTGAGATTGTCGTACCAGATGTCCGTGGCTCAGACCTCGTCGATCAGGTTCAGTACGAGAACCCATTCCAAAAAGCGAACGGACTTCAACCTATCATCCACGCAGATTTCGTCACAGATTCTTCCGGTACCGGTCTCGTCCATCTAGCACCGGGACATGGAATGGACGACTACAACGTCTGCATGTCCCTTAACGTCCCCGCCTTCGCCCCCATAGACGACGCCGGCGCCTTCACAAAAGACGCTTTCCCAGAGCACCCTGAACTTCTCGAAGGCCTACCAGTCGCCGACATTAAGAAAACCGGTAGCAATGCCGTGTGCAAGTACCTCGAGCAACTGGACATGCTACGTGCGAAACACAATTATCGACATAAATACCCCATCGACTGGCGCACTAAAGAACCCGTCATAACACGCGCAACAGCGCAATGGTTCGCAAACGTTGAGGGCATCAAAGCTGCTTCCATGAAATCAATCTCAAACGTGAACTTTTTACCAGAGTCTGGCCGCAGCCGCCTCGAAAGCTTCATTCAGGGCAGAAGCCAATGGTGTATATCCCGCCAACGCGCCTGGGGTGTACCCATACCCGCATTATACAAAGTCGAAGACGACGGGACACTCACTGCAACAATGGACTCGGACACAATCACCCACATCATCGACATCGTCAAACGCCGCGGCATAGACGCCTGGTGGACCGACCCCCCAGACGACCCAGCCTGGACACCACCCCACCTCACAGGCACAGGCACATATGTCCGCGGCAAAGACACAATGGACGTCTGGTTCGATAGCGGAACAAGTTGGTCACTCCTCCCCCCGCCACAGCACCCCGACAAACCCCTTGCAGACGTGTATCTAGAGGGAACAGACCAACACCGCGGATGGTTCCAATCCTCACTCCTCACATACATTGCCACACATTCGTACACAACAAGCGACGCGGTGGTAAAAGCGCCGTATAAAACTCTCATCACCCATGGTTTCACCCTCGATGCACACGGCCGTAAGATGAGCAAGTCGTTGGGAAACGTTGTTTCGCCTGCACAAATCATGTCTGGTGAATTACTCCCGCCTGTTAAACGCAAGAAACAAAAGGGGGGTGCCGCTACAGCGAACAACACTGCTGCAAACGAACGTAATTACGACACCCTAGGCGCAGACGCACTCCGCCTCTGGGCCGCCACCAGCGACTACACCCGCGACGTAACAATCGGCCAACCCATGCTCGTCGCCATAAACACTTCTTTGCATAAATATCGCGTCACTTTCAAGTGGCTGCTCGGAATCTTCTCTTTAACAACCTGTCCCCCGCCGTTTACCTCGTTCAACAACACTCTTTCCCCCCACGATATCGCCAACTTGGGCCATCTAAGCGACCGTCTTGCACTGCACCGGCTAGCGCAGGTGAGCAAGGATGTACATGCGTGTTATAGTGGCTACGAATTCTTCAAAGGTGTGGGCGCGGTGAATAGGTATATTGGTCTTGATCTCAGCGCGGGATATTTCGAGATGATCAAGGATAGGGTGTATACGGGGGAGAAGACGGAATGTGAGGTGCTGCAGAAGGTACTTGGAGTGGTGTTTTATCAGCTACTGCAGATGTTGGCGCCGGTTGTACCGTTGTTGGCCGAGGAGGTGTGGGATCATGTTCCGAGTAAGTTGAGGGAGGGTAGTGTGCATCCTGCGAGGGCAATTTGGAACCCGTTGCCACAAATAGAGGGCACGGAGGCGTCGGAGAAGGTGGGTAGGGTGCTCGGGGTATTGGGGGATAAGATCAGGATCGCGCAGGAGAAGATGAGGGCTGAAGGCAGGATTGGGTCCGGGTTAGAGTGTGGAGTTACGATTTACCTAGAAGAGGAGGGTGTGGAGCTATTGGGCGGCTTGTACTGTGAGGCCATGGGTTTGGTCGGGAGGCCTACGGGTATGAGTGCTGAACTGGTGGGGGAGGTGGAAAAGCAACTTGAGGAACTCTTGGTGGTGAGTCAGGTTAATATCCGCAGTTTGCCTTCCTCTACCACGACAGATGCGCAAACATGGGCATGGTACGCAGAGGAGGAAACGACGCTACCCAGTACTGTAGCATCTACAGACTCTACACAAGATGGTGCGACTACGACTACGCTACATAAAGCGCGAGTGGTTGTGCACCCGCCTAGTCGCGAAAAGTGTCCGCGTTGTTGGCGGTGGGTAAAAGACGAGCATGAGGAGGTTTGTGGGAGGTGTGCGGGTGCTGTTGGGGAGATGGAAGCAAGGCAGGAAGAAGGACAGGAATGAGATAGTTGTATGATTATGTGCTATTTAATATACTCAATTGTAAAACCTTCATTCCGGTTGAAAAAAATTAAACGAAATAAAAGGCATAGAATATACACTGTGATCCAAGACGAAAAAACCATTTGGTTTACCTGATCCGATAAAAGCTTGTACCTGGCCTTTTCCCGAAACTACAAGTCTACAAGTAATGTTGATGCTTAGCGGCGAATTCGATCTTCAAACGCAGTATGGCTGTTACAGCAATAGAAACAGAGCAGTTGATGTCACTTTCTAGGACTTTGCACCCAACCAGTTTTTTCCCGGTCAGCTCCTTTCAATCAAACTAATGTAAAAGTCACTGTCGCGCGACTCCTAGCTTGATGGCTTGCTCGCAGAACAAGGCGGTTGGTTTGCCCATGTCGGGTGTTTTGTACATGTGTGTCTGATGTGCTGGAATGCACTTTTGCTGATACTATGTTGTGCAGTATCGTTGGGATACATTTACTGTATTAGTGTCTGTAATATTGATAATTTATCTATGTATATAGTGTTGTTGGATACATGTACTGTATTAGTGTCTTGAATATTGATGCTTTATCTATGTGTGTAGTATCGTTGGATACATTTACTGTTTTTGGTGTGCTGGAATGTGAGTTCAAGTCAGTAGGATGGGTGCGGCTGGATGCACGTACCGTGCTGGGATGTCGACAGGCTATGTGTGATATAGTTACCGTAATGACATCAAGTTAGTACTATACCGAGGGTACAGGCTATTTTGTAGAGTATGGTTGCTGGATACATTTACCGTGTTAATGTGATGGAATGTGACATTGAAGTTTGTACTATGCTCAGGACAGGCTATTTAGTGTACTTGAAAGTATCTAGGTAATGTGATGGGTATAGTGCAATGTGTTATGGCTATGTGCAACGGGTATTAGCACCAGATTGCCGTGTTGCATCCCGTACTGAGCACTGACGTATCACGAAATCATGATTGGAAGTTTGGACGATGCGGTGTTGCACACTTGGCGCTGGGATCGAGATGATTCGTGAGCGGGACGAGAGCTTAGGGCTCGCCAGGCCTGCACTTCATTTCCATGAAGGGCATCGACCCCGGATTTCAGCTGACCAAGACACGAGGATCGGCGGCTCTGAGGCTTGTCGAGGCCCTTATCTTTGACGGCGTAGCCAATCGGACGACGAAGGCATGAGTACGAGATTGAGTTGGGTGGACAGGGGTGATAAATTGATGAGCAAATGGCAGAGGGTGTGTGCGTGTGCTGTCTGTCTCTGGCCGTCCTCTTGTGGCCTCTTGTTCTTTTTTCCCAGCGCATGGAGCGACTGTTGTGGATGGTCACGGACCAGGCGCTGCTTACGTGTAGCTGGCCGAGGCTTTTCGGCATCAAAACAGGCGCACCTGCCGCTCTGGTGCTAAGGGTGGGACTGGGTCAGGCGAGGACTAGGAAGGAAGTTGGACAGCATCGGTCGTGTTTTCAGTTTGGGTTGTGTCATGGATGCTTGGGTTGTTAGGTGTCATGGTGAATGCCGTGTATCGTGTGGCCGAGTGCAAAACATGAGCGAGGGTAAGTAGAGGTAGGGCTGGTTGACGAGGTGCGACCATGTTTGGGAGTGCAAGCGGACCGAACACGGGGCTCGCTCGGTCCCCACAGACGCAGGCAGTGACGAATGGCGGATCTGCAGGCAGGAGCCACCGGCGGGAGGGTGAAGTCGAACAGGAAGGGACTCGCAATCGACTCGGGCAGGGTAATACGAGTCGCCGCTTCCAGAAGACTTCCTCGCTGGGGTGAGATGACGAATGCTGAATGCGTGGATGATGAGATTCAAGACATGGACTGGAACTACTGCATGCGTCCGAGAAGGCGTAATGTAATCTTTTCAGCATCGTGGGCCAGGCCAGCCCGCCATGGGCAGTGTTTCAGCACAGAAGCCGTCCTGCAGCCAAGCCATGCGCGAGCGGCTCTGGCTTCGCAGGCTTTCATGTTTACAGTGCGGTGCAGTAATATTATGTGCAGTAGCAATAATCGCAATACTTAGCAATAGCTATAGTTATAGCTATAGCACCGGTAGTAGCCTTAAACAAGCTGTGGTGCGGCAACATGCAGCAGCGAGACACAACGGACAGATGTTTGGCCGCAGGGCTGCCCATGACGGGGCGCGGGAGGATTTGGCGGGCTTCAAAAGTTTCCAGAAGCTTTGTTTCGGCTTTTTTGGCGCTGTTTTGTCGTTTTCGAGGGGGAGAGAGGCTCTGACCTACTACCAACCCACTGCCACTTACCTTCCGACCCCTGATCTTCCCCCCCCCCCCCCCCCCCCCAGCGTCTTTTCCCAGCCCGATGCTGCTCACCGTCGAGGCGAACCTGCGAGTGCGCTGCATGCGACACTGACGCCGAAGCCCCAACGCCCCTGTGTCTGCGTCTGCACACCAAAGCCCCCCTCGAGGCCTGGCGACGGCGCTGCGTGTCGAGTGCCCCGACCTCAAACACGCTGCAGCGCCATCCGCCCGTGACTTTGCTGCATCGCGCATACGCAGTTTGGAAGTGTGGACAGGTGCCGACAAGTGCTTTGTAGTCGTTCGCAGTTCTCCCCCTCAGTGAAAAAAAAGCCATCGACTGCTTCCATCCCGCAAGCACTGGGCCGCAACTGCGAACTGCCTACTGTCTGCGCCTGCTGCTGCTGCTCCTGCTCCTGCTCCTGCTCCTGCTCCTGCTGGCTGTATCCTCCCGCGCAAGCACCTGCCCACCGACCACCAGTACCAGCTCCCGTAACCGCTAGCCAGCCTCGCCTGTTGTAAACATAGGCACGCACGCACGCACGCACGCACACACACTCTCTCGGCTTCGTGTGCACGACTACCACCCGTTCTGTCGCACCGTCAGGCTGTCCTGGAGCCTGCACCCACGTCGCCGTTTCAGAAGCCATCTCAGACCACCGGGCGCATTCCCGTCGTCCCCATCGCAGCGCTCCCCCACGCTTCTAGAGCCTCTGCCCTGTCCCGAGTCCGCTGCCGACTGCGACTCTGCTCCATTTCCTCCACACGTCCCATTGCGCTCCACCAAAACCCCCCATTTTGCGCCAAAGCGTAAACACCCTCCCCTCTGCGCTGGAGACCAGTGCTGGCTGGTCGCCGCACATAGGCGGAGACGATGGACCATGGCGCGTGCAATGTAGTTTACATTGACCGCAGGGCAAACGACGAGCATGTGCGCAAGGAGACGCTGTCCAAATCCCTCGTTGCGAGAACCAGCACCGGCAATGTAGGCCAGAGTTATTTTGCCCTAGGCAAGACGTCACCGCGCGAAGTCCACGACAACGTCGAGGCCATTCTCTCCATATCCAATGAAGGCATGCTACCTACCAACCTCCCCATGGTCAAGACTAACCCGCGCCCCAGTACACATCTGCAGCACCGGCAGGGCCTGCTTACAGAAGATCACCCAGCTCATCGAATCCACAAGAAGCAGCATACCCACCTTTGTCATAATAGACATTCCCTACGACGAAGAGCAGCGCATGAAACGCCTGTCCCGCGAACCGCGCACTCCCTCGCCCACGTCGTCGCGCCTCAATCGCATCGATTACAACGAACCCGACGACATCTACGCAATGCACCTCCTTACTCACATTTCGTCTGAGATATCCTCACGCAACTTCTCAAAGCTCGTCGTGCCTGTAGTCATGCTATCTGGCTTGACCCACGACGAGCCATCTTCGTCTGGTCCACTCCCTTCGCCTGGTCTTCAATTATCCTTCTCGCTCGGTGACTCGGTCCGGTTAAATCGTTATCTGGATGCGGGCGCCGTCGACGTTTTGACAAGTCCAATGTCTCGCGATCGCATGCTTGGACTGGCCGTGCACGCCTATCGGTTACAAAAGGACTTTAGTCGGGAAGAGGCCAGTTTCCTGACTACTAAGCGCAATCGGAAGCTATCATGGGTCGGTGTTGACGATACAAAACCGTATGCCTATCTACGCGAAGCCATGGTATCCAATCTCATGACTGGTATCTGCAACCCAGAGACTGTTGGAGACTCGCTCGAATCCACGTACGTTCGAATTTCCATGTAGCCGCTCATGACTAACCCCTCCAGTGACTTTCATCTTGACCAGGACCGTAAGAAAATGGTGGAATATCTAGTCGGAACCTGGGCCTTTTCCGCACACGACTTGACTGATGACGAGCTACTATACGGCGCCTTGGTAATGCTCAAGCATGCCCTGCAAATGCCTGAATTGGGCAAATGGGCAATAGCCGAAGGCAAGTAGCAAAAATCAATATACCGACTACGCTAACACTCTACAGACGAGATGATCATCTTCCTCTTAGCCAGTAGGACCGCATACAACGAGTTTGTCAAGTACCACAACTTCCGCCATGTCGTCGATGTTCTCCAGGCCCTCTTCCACTTCCTCGTACGAATCGGAACGCTGCCTCCGTACCCATCCGACTCGTCCAGCACCTACACCACACCCGCACCGAAATCGCCAATTGCTGGCCTTCTCAAGCCCTTCGATGCGCTTACGCTTCTCATATCTGCTATTGGACACGATGTTGGCCACCCGGGAGTCAACAATGCTTTTCTGGTCGCGTTGAACGCTCCATTGGCACAACTGTACAACGATCGCTCCGTTCTAGAGTCCTTCCATTGCGCTGCCTACTCACAGATTCTGCGCCGGTACTGGCCGAGAGCGTTTGCCGATATACCGATGCGGAAACTCATGATCAACAACATTCTTGCGACGGACATGGGCCTCCACTTCAAATACATGAGCGATCTAGGCAACCTACAACAAAAGGTTGCGCATGATAAAGGCGCGGTGGATACGTGGAACTCAAAGGTGCAGGAGGAACAGAAGGATCTGACGTGTGGTCTTCTTATCAAGTGCGCAGACATTTGCAATGTGGTGAGTCCTCCTCAAATGCCGGTTTATACTGCCATCTAATCCTTGCCGAGGCGCGGAAATTTGAAACTGCTGCCAAATGGGCCAACATCCTCACGGACGAGTTTAGCAATCAAGGTTTAATGGAGCAAGAGCTGGAAATGCCCTCGTGTCTATTCGGTGGTCCGCCTGTCCGGGAGGACATCATCAAGCTTGGGGAATCCCAGATTGGCTTCATGAACATATTCGCCAGACCTCTGTTTGAAGCTGTTGCGGATATATTGCCTGCAATGCGATTTGCCGTGGATGAGATGCTCATTAACAAAGATATCTGGGAAAAGAAGATACACGATGAACGGCACCGGAAGAGGAAGCCCAAGAATATGACTCTCGGGTTGACGACACCGGGCTTTAGTATTGACCCAACTCCAAGCCCGCTATCTGGAGGCTCAGTCCGGCCGCCCGTGAGAATACCTTTGAGTGCAATCAAGACCATCTCACCCGACGAGGCAGCTCGCCGAGGTTCGACTGGCTCGATACGTACCACGTCATTTGATTCAAGGAGATCATCCTCCATCATTGACAAAAGCTCAAGGCGATCTTCCACGACCGCTACTCCTGCCCAAAGAGCTGTGGGCTCCAGCGAAAACGCCGCCTCGTCAAGACGAGGCAGTAGAGATCCTAGTTTGACCGCGATATTGGTTACCCAAACTCAAAATGCAGACGCGCAAAAAGGACCGACAAAGGGCCCGGAGGAGCGCTCGCAAGGAGATCGCAAAGATACCTTGACAAGATCGTCCTCTCCAAAGAAAGAAAGGGACAATGCGAGACCTGTTACGGCTCCAGCCCATGCCAGGCGTAATCAAAGTGAGTGAACATCACTCAGGATATAATTACCATGAACTAATCCAGAAAAGCTCTCGATCCTTATCCTGCCTCGGAACCGTCGTCACAGAGTCACTCTCAAGTCGATCTCTCGCAAAACGCAAACGGTAACA